TCATAAAAAGGTATCTTTTGTGTGTATGTTTTTTCATGCGAGCTTTCCCTGTGTTTGTGTGTTCCTACGCGTGTTTAAGCTGCACTCTAGTATTAAACTGCTGTCGCGCGTTTGTTTCTTTTATGAAAAAAAAAAGCCAAGAACACCGCTTTGGAAGAAGCGGCTGGAACGCTTTGTTAACCCCTGGCGTCGCGAAAGTTCAGATGAAGAAGACGAGCAGGAGGATGATACCTTGGCTAACCCAACAGACCGTGACGATGAAAACCAGGACGATGAAAACCAGGACGATAAAGACGCAGCGAACTTAGAAAAAAACCAGGCAGCTGATCCGATACCAATGGAGGTTGAGCATATCACCAAGGTTATCACGGAAGAGGTGGATACGCAGGTAACCGTCATTTCTGAGAACGGCACTGTTACCACTGCAAAGGAGGACTCACAGGTAAGGAGAGGCATCTATTCAGAGATGCATCAATCAGCTGAACAGAAAAAAACCACAGTAGTTACTGACCATTGACATCGTGCCCTGGTGTGTCTGTATGTTACAAAATAGACAACGTTGGTGGCACTATCTTTGGAGAACACCTTCACTCCCGAAGGAAGCATTGTGGACGATGTGGAGGATCAGGAGGAAACTAGGCGACAGATGGAGCGCGAGGAAAGTTTGCTCAGCGGTCAAGATTCGGACACAGTGATCGATCGCAAAGAACCAAAGCGCACCAGGAGGAAGCGGGAATCGCGTTCATCCACTCCTGTCCGATCGACCCGTAGAACCACCCGCAGTCAGGCTGCCCAGGTTGAACAGGATGTCCAAGTCGAGCAGGATGCCAATCCTAATGAGAGTACTGCCTCGCATCTACCAGCTACATCTAATGACGCTACTCAGGATCCGGAAGACGCTTCAGAGGAGGAAGCGCCAGCATCGACAGTAGAGTCATCAGTAACACTTGCTGCAGGAGACGAACAGTTGGAGTCAGTGAAATCCAAAGGCGGCAAGAAAAAAAGAAAGAGCAAGAAGAAAAAGACACCCGTCACTGGGGAAGTTGAGGAGCTCGAACAAGAGCTGGTTGAATCGGGCGAGCGCATTGCCGAAAAGATCCAACAATCACAGGAGCTTATCGACGCATCCGAGGACTTGCTGGAGCAATCCAATCAGTTGGATGAGGCCACGGTCGAGGCATTGGAAGACTCAAAGGGGCCATTCTCGGATGCACCTGAAAGTGGGGAGGATGAGGATGAGGATTCTAGAGCAATTGGCGAGGAAGACGATCAGACATTCCACTCGACAACTCAATTCGAGCCAACGGAGAATGAGAACGATGAGAGTGAGGAGCAGCAAGATCAGAGCATCGATTACGAGGAAACAAAGTACTATCCACCGGAAGATGAGGAAGAAGAGGAGAGCGCGGATACTGTCAGATACTATCCGCCAGAGCCACCAAGTATCGAGGGGAACGAGGACAGTGTCCAGGGGAGCATCGGTGAGGACGAGACCGACGAGCGAACACAGAAGGACGAACGCGAGGAAATTCCAGTGGAAGATCTGCAGGCCGCCTACTATATCGACTCGGCCGACGACCGGGAAAAGAGTCCATCGCCCCCTGCTGCCGAATACGTTCCAGAGAGCCGTCTGTTTGACTTTATGGAGATCGAGTTTTCGCCAATGCAGAGTCGGTCGCCGAGTGCTGCCCCTGAGATTGCGACGCCGTCATCAAAGGAGCATTTTGTGGATTGCCCACCCATCATGACACCCAAGGCGGAAAGAACTAAACACACAACGCCGTTGCAATGGGATCAGGACATGCACCCAACCTACAACATCACTGTTTTGGCAGCGTTTTTCGAAGAGCACAGAGGCCAGCTGCTCACTCCACACGAGGCCGAGTACTGTCATCGACTGATCGACGATTCTGTCATGCGTAAGTACAAATACTTCTTTTCGTTGCTATCGTTGCTATCCCAATCGATGCCATCAGATTTTAACCACCCCGATTTTTTTTTCTTGATGGTGTAGCCTATCGCAAGGATAGATGGCACAATGGCGAGGATGGTGTCTCTTTCCGGGACCCCGTAAGTACCCCTGTCAAGTCCGTAATCGCAGACGCTTTTGCCTCAGATCCTATTGCTGTTGGTCCTTCGACCTCCACTACCAAAGCAAACCAACACTCTGCTCCATTCGCGATCAAACGACGACCCTCCGGTGACTTGTATCGTGACAGAAAGGAGCCGACACCACGAACTCAGCCCATATCAAGTGAAGAATACCTCGAAATCAAAAAGTACGAGGGTGTCGAGTGGGAAGATCTGCCCAAGCATGTTAAGATCAAGCGCTTCTTGGAGTGGAAGGGTACAGAGTCGCCAGAAGTCGTCAAGCGGAGGCGGATCGAAACGAGACGTCTCCAGAAGGAAAGGAATGCTGAGATTTGGGATAAGGACAAAAAGCAAGACATCTCGTTGGCGATGCCGATGACAGAGAAGGTCCCATCTATAAAGCGCACTGTTTCGGCGTCAGGGATGTTGTCAGATGACGATGAGGAGCACTCGACCTACAAAACAGCGGCGGCGGTAGCTAAGGCCCCATCTCCTGTCAGCACTATTTCCTCAGCAGTCCCGGCGGCAACATCTGCGACCGTCGAAAGCACAGTTGCCGCAAAGGAAAGTACCCCCAAGCCCTCGTCTTCTGTCGCCCAAAAGCTGCTGCAGATTGTTGGAAAGAGTACCGAGCCCGAGGATGGTGTTGTAAACGAAATTAAGGCGTCATCGGCGACCTTTCCAGCGCCGTCCATTGCACTCGCTTCATCTACACCCGCGAAGCCTCCAATGTCATCTGGCGCCAGCTCATCTGCAGTGTCCTCCTACTCTGCCAGCCTACCCTCGCAAGCAGCTCAACCGGTTTCATTCCCAAAGTCGGCGACCCAGACTACTGCTGCTCTTACTACGTCTACGTCAGCCTTCAGCTTTGCGACCCCCGCCAAACCTACATCCGAGGCAGCTCCCAGTATCGTTTCCACAGCCCCTGCGCCTGGCATTGATAGCACATTCAAACCATTATTATTCGGCGCAGCAGCAGCGGGAGCCTCGACGGCCCTCGGATCCGCTGCCGTATTTTCATTCTCTACCCCAAAGACCGACGGAGCCGAGTCATCGAAGCCAACACCGCCTAGTTTCTCATTCTCAGCGCCCAAGGCGGATGCTGCAAGCCCATCAAAGTCAGCGCCCAAGGCCGACGTAGAAGGGTCGCTAAAGTCTGGACCATCCGGTTTCTTCTTTGGAGCACCCAAGGTTGACGCTACAGAGCCATCAAAACCATCCCTGCCTAGTTTTTCATTCGCGGTGCCCAAGACCGACGCATTCGAGCCACCAAAATCAGCACCACCTGCTTTCACCTTTTCAACGCCTAAATCTGATGTGACACTCCCATCCAAGTCAGCATCCCCCTCTTTCAACTTTGGTGCGCATATCACGCCATCCTCAACACCCACAGCTACCGCACCATCATTCGGTGCCATGCATGGCTCGCCCTCATCACCCACCGCCGACAAGGATGGCTCCAAAGCAAGTTCCGCACCCTTCAAATCCGCGGCCCCAGGATTTGGATCGACCCCAGTGAGTCAATCTTTCCCTAAACCCCCGGCATTCGGCAGTGGTTTTGTATTCGGGCAGACATCAGCAACAACCCCGACATTCGGCTTTGGCGCGACGTCCGCATCGAGTTCTGATTCACCTCAAAGGTCATCTGGACAGACATTCGGCTTTGGTATCCCCGCTGGGTTGAGCTCAGTTGCATCTCAGGCACCTGCGGCAAAGCCGACGTTCGGATTTGGTATCCCTACTGCGTCAGGCGCAGGCGCGTCTGAGAAACCAGCTATAAAGTCGACATTTAACTTTGGCGTGCCATCAGAATCGAGATCTGGATTCGGTCCAACGCAGGTCTCTTCCTCCTTTGGTCAATCTGTCAAGACAAGTCCCTCTGCGAGCGCCTTCACTGCTGCGTCGATAAGCTCTTCTTCTGCATTTGGAGCCTCGAGTAATGACAAAGCTGAGGGAATGGCGACAGTCTCTAGTCCGGCAATCGTTGTCCTGAGCGACGGTGAAGATGATGAAGACGACAGGAGCAGGAGCAATGATGACAGGGAGGCTGAAGATGATGAACAGGAGCCATACTCAGAGGGGGATAGTCCATCTGGGGATGATCATTTTGAAGATAACCAGTCCGGGGAGGAATACATCTATGGCGAGAATGGCGAGGAGATCACCATCAACGATGGTGTTGACTACGAAGATGAAGACGCATATGACGAGTATGATCAAGAAGATGAAGAGGAGCGCGATGGAGGAGATAGTGGTCATCGGAACGAAGAGGCAGACGAGAGTCTTGAGTCCGCCAGATCGCCGGAAGATCTGGATACCAGTAGTGGCAGGGGCTCAAGTCAGCCCGAAGCTGCTGAGTCTTCACAATCGACCTCGTTCAGAAGTTTCAGGCCTACGAGCGGATTCACTTTTGGACAAATATCAGAAACCAAGCCTACTCAGTCGTCTTCATTTGTTTCCTCTGGACCGGTTATAACGTCTTCTCAACAGACGCTCAAATCGCCTGGGTTTGCCATTGATTCCTCACGCCAGCTATTCTCGGGTTCCTCTTCGTTTACCCAGTCAACATCGACGACATTACCATCATCCAGCGCGGCCTTTGGGGCGAACGCATTCGGATCTTCATCGCCTTCATTTGGCTTTGACGCCATAACTGATACTCCTTCTTTTTCAGCTTTCTCGAGACTGCAAGAGCCGAGAGCCAGCATCTCTGAGTTTGAGGTAGCGCCGATCATCATGGAGGAGGAGGGATTCTACACCGAGGAAGGCACGATCTCTCCGCTGGGAAGCCCTGTTCTGTCTCCAGCTGGCTCTCCTTGAACAAGATGCTGAGCCGGCTTCGGTATCCATCCACTTCATTCTCAAATATCGTACCTCGTTGACATTGATGTAAATATATTATTGCCATTGAACAATAAAAGTCAACTTCAAAATAAAATGTATTGTACTCGATCTTCCGGTCAAGAGTCCAATGTACCTTCAGAACAGCATTTTAGATGTTGCTCTTTACACGAAGTCTCTCGAGTTGAAACCTCCCTTGAACATTCGAGTAGTATCTGATTCGCAGTTCTAGAGTCCAACACGAGGTTGGGGTAGCAGCCGTTTGTATGATCGGCTAGCAACGCGCAACATGGAAGACTGAGGGGGGTTTACATCCGTACATAGCTCGGAATTTACCCGCGCGCTTCTCCGGAAGGCGAACTTCGACCTGTACGACATAAACCCTCGCCAAGAGCCACCAGGACACCAGATTCTAATTCCTTCTTACCAAAACCATGGGGATGCTACATGTCTTCCTACTTGCAGCCATAGACGGGCTTTCTTTCGGGGTGTTTTTACGTTGTCAAAAAAAAAAATTGCGAGGTTGGATAATACGAGACCTGTCTACTGCACCATAGCTAGATCATAAATAATGCGCAGAAAACCAATACTGCCGAGATCACAACCAGGGTTAGGCAGGATGATCATTCGATCGACGGCGAGAACAGGAATAAAGGATACAATGGGGCTCTGGTGTTTTATGTGCGTTTATTTAGTGCAGTCGTCATGCAGCGCTCGAATACACAGGCGATACCTGTCAGATCTAATTTGGAATATGTAAAAACGGCCCCAAAAACAGCCTCGAGCAATTCACCAAAGCTCTTTGCGAGTTGAGAAGTTACCACCACCCAGCGCATCATTTCTGACGCTTCATGACTTCAGCGTCGTGATCGTGCTATTTCCCTTCACTGGGAATCTCCTCGCCCAGTACTCGACGGCAATCAAATCCAGCGCACAGTCCCCGATAAACCCCAGGCGTTGGTACTGGAGCGTGGCCATGTCCAGGGCATACGCCAATAGGCGAACGTCTGCCCTATGATGCCTTCCACAGCGTGAAGGCGTTCAAAGTCCTGTGCCTGTGGGCGAGGCAATGGCTTTGCTACTCTTCCTGTAGCATCCTGTGGATGGAAAAGAGCAAAAGAGAGGATGAGAACAAGAGAGAGAGAGAGAGGAAAAAAGGAAAGAAAAAAAAGTCGGTTAGATCAAGATTACTGCTTCAACTCGAATCAATATAGCGTGCAACAGGCCTTGAAGGAAATGCCTTATAACCAAACCAAAGTGAATGGTATCCATGGCAAGCTCCTCGTTGGCCTCGGAAGTAATCAAGAGATTCCTGTCACCTTGGTAGACCCCTCGATCACCTGTCTCTCCTTTGCAGCCTGCTCGACAGATGGCGCTAGTTATTTGTGAACAGTTTAATCGGCAATGGAGGAGACATGCAAAAGCGTTAGAGAAGCAGTAGTACTTGCGGCTGTACATGCAGTGCTGCTCATGCTGCTGCACTGTTCATTCTGTCTTCTTTCTGGCGTATGTTTGTGCAGATATGGGATCATAAGACTTACCACTCGGGCGTGCACCAATGGATGCCTCAGAAGGCCGACTGCGATCTCCACAGAGGTCATTATCACCTCGAACTCCATTGAGAGTGCTTGCCACATCTGGGCGTTGGCTGTCTCTGGAGCCGCAGCGTCCTGAACGACTGTGGCTTTGATGCGGTTGCTCTGGTAGGAGCGGCCTAGGCTCGGACCGAGAGCACGCGTGTCTGGCACTACAAACAGGACGATACCCTGCAAAAGAAGACAAGGAGGGACATGATTGAGATATATGTGTGAGTGCGGGTGACCGTAGGTGAGTGTGGAGATAGAGAAGCACATCCAGTCACGGTGCTGATAGGACAGATTACCCGGCCGCGGTGTTCCTGGCGTATCTTTTTAACAATCTGTGTGAGGAGCGGCAGAGCAAGCTGCGCGTCAACACAGACTGGATCGGCTGCCGCAACAATATATGCAGCAATGGTAGGGATGAGTGCGGTGGTGTTCATGATGGTCTGTGGCGGTGGTCGATGAAGATATGTAAAGTGGTTGATGTGATGGTGCTTCTGAAGAGACACAAAGGGCTGGAAAGAAAGAGTGAGAGTGTGTGTGTCAGTGTGTAAGTGTGAGTGTGTGAGTGTGAGAGAGTATGTGGAGCAAAGGTGAAGGGAACCAGGGTTTATATGGCCTGTGCTTCATGCTCTGGGTATATGCACACTCGATGAAAGGCACCCGGAGTTGACGGTGTCCAGGTTTATTCAGTCTTATTCAGTTCAGTTCAGCTTATTCCAGATCGAGTGTGTCCGTGAGGAGTATGTGGGAATGGTATGTGGGAATGGTATCTGTGAAAAACGAGACGCCCTTTTAATAATGGGCAAGTCGTGCCTTATATACTATAATATGCATTTAGTATAGGAGCTTAATGAAGAATCGGCACCGAGTATAGTGGCAGATGCAGAGAAACGGGAAACTTTCAATAAACAAGACAATATGGTGAATACACCACAGCTGGTAAGAAAGCGTGTGAGAATATGAAGAAAGACAAAGCAAAGGCGAGGGGGAAGCAGAGTTTATATGGCTAGTGCTTCTTGCTCTAGGCATATGCGCACTCACTGAAAAGCGCCCGGAGTTGACAGTGTGGTGCGGTAAATCCACAAAGAGTGCATATGGGGTAGCCGGATACAAGGATCAGGCACATCACTTGATATGATGATCATACCAACCACGGGCTGTACATGCAGTTATGGGATGTGCAAGTAGAGGGGCGTGCAGTTATGGAATAGTCATAGGGTTCGCATTCATATTTATTGGCTGTTGCTCGTAGCTCTGGCGCGACGGGAGCCGCTGCATTGCGGACGCGCTTTGGCCTCAAAATGCAAACCCCGAAGATTACTGGGCCATAGAGTGCTGTAATACAATGGCTACTGTTTACTACGATACATTTTGGTAGGGCACTGTACATCAACAGCTGTCGAAGAAAAGAGGTGTTTCCAAATGGAGAACCAAACGTAAAGGGTCGATGTCTCTGTTGGCTCGACTCCCTCGTACTTATCAGGCATCGACTGCTTCACGCTAAACATGCAAGGAAATAATATCAAATGAATTAGTTTCCAAAATAAAAAATACTTTGAAAGGCAATCGCCACCAAGGACAAGATGACCTACAGAATCCGCAGAATCTCGATGGTGACCATTTCGTCGGTGTCGTCTTCAAAACGAGACATATCCTCCTTGAGTTGTTTCATGAGTTCTCCTAACCTGGCTTCCTTGAGACCATCGTCGTCGTCCACAAACTGACGATAAGTTTGGAGGCGATCACGGATTTTTGGATACTCCAACTCGATGGCTGCTCGGCACTCTGACAACAGATCAGCATGTTGGGGGAAATCCTTATGAACATCCAGATCCACGATACCGCTGATAGCAGCACTATTGACAGGAATAAATGAAAAGTCGGATGATGAGAATAAAGGCGATACATACATTACAGCAAAAACAGATAGAAAACAACGCAAAACATTCCTCTTACAACACATCCTTCTTTTCGACCGTCGGCAACTCAAGGAACGTGTCCAATCGGTTCCAGACATAATCGTATAGGAACGACTGGCAGATACTCAACTGAGGTTTGTGCTTGGCTTCTTGAACGGCTCCCCTCGTGCCTAATAATTAATGTAGAAGGACAGGACAAAGTTAATCGTTTGGTGTGCGATGCAATCTCGACACCTGAGCAAATGTAGAGAGGAGATAAGCTTACTGCATGGTAGAGTGCTCTGATGAGCGGATGAAAACCCGGTTCGGGCTCCTCCTCCAATGCTTGAAGGTCTTGAATCAGGCCTTCAACAGTCTCTTCGCCCTTGCCATCCTCTTCGTCTTGATCATCATCATCGTCGTTGTCACTCGCGACTGTCTTGTCCCCATTACCAGCTCCCGTACTCTTAGTAACTTTCAGTCCGTCCACAACAGTCTCATCGCTTGTATCGTCGTGCTCATCGATGGCCTCATCGCTGTCCAGATCCTCCTCGACGCCGACATAATCGCCCCTGGCCATGGTAATTCCACTCCTCTTCTTGTTTGAAGTCTGTGGCGTTTGAGCAGCGGTTCGCTTTTCGGTCGACCTTGATGACGAGGTCCATGTAGACGGGCTCGACGTGGCATCTTCCTCTGCGAATGGATCAGGCAAGTTGTTCTAATAGCACAAGCAAAATACAGAGGAGGTAATTCAGAGAAGGTCAGCAACGACGTTACAGGAGAAAACTGCGCGCTCATTTTTTGGCAACGATACACAACTTGCCTTGTTCTGGATAATATTAGGAAGCTCGTTTGCTGCCGCGTCAACCAAACTTGTTCCCACGACCGACTTTCCTTTCTTGATAGCCAACGCTTGCTTTCGTCCGAGCCAGAACAGGGCTGCTCGAGACTTGTTCTCTTTCCATGTTTTCAAATCGTCAAGGGCCGCTCTCTTTGCGGACATTTTCCTCCTCGAATTGGTGATGGCGGACGTGAAATCGTCATATGCAGTCTGTGGCTGTGAGTACGCAAATTTGATGCTAGCGCCTCGATGGTGAGATTATTGGTGCTCTCGACCCATTCACGGTGCTCTTTTTGGACCCCCATGATCTTAGCCAGTAGACAACGGAAACAGGATTAAATATGTCAACGTATAAAATTATGGAATAAAAAAATTACTCCAAGCAATAAACTTCCAACTCGAGGTCATTTCGGGGAACCCGCAAGCAGGCGCCGTAAACCACGCCATTAAGGAAAGGAAGTACGGCTACAGAGAGAGAGCAGCATGCTTTGTAGATGCCAGCCTATCAGTCTCTTTTCTCAAAGAAACAAGTAAATTATCGTTCCTCGACCAGAGGTCCAGACAGGGGCATTCCTTGTGTTAACAAGGCGCAGACCCCCTGGATCCAGCTTCGGAACCCAGCGAGCACAAAACCTGTCCATCACACAATTGGAATCAGAAACGAATGATCCAGCCAGTTTTACGAAGCACGACTCTCTTTTCTTTCTTGCGCTCACAAGAAACCTTTTGTCAGTCTTGAGACTCTTCCTCGACTTTACCTACTCGAAAGGTCGGTCCTCTAAGACCGCAAGCTCAATCAGGGATTATCGGGTGAGAAAATGAGAGGGATGAATAGAGAGTGGGGTAGAGGAATTAGTTGGCGACTGCGTAGTGATGCGGGCGAACTTGGCAGAAAAGCGATCGATTGAAGATTGGGCGATGTTAAAAGGAGCGATTAATGAGGAATACGAGAAGGAGAGAAGGAGTGATTGATTGATGGCACATTTCCCGAGGAGCTGTCTGAAGAGACAGTGCACATCATCGTCCAGCGACCATCACACTCTCCATCAAGTAAGGGTGTATCTCGTTAATAACAACTGAATCGACTCATAAGAATTGTACTAACGCCGCCCAGCTTGTTCGCCGACTGCTGTGTTGTATAAGTTAAGACCCCGAAGTTGCCATATTGCGCAAACAGCTGTCCGACATGCTCGACCCATCTATAAGTATGTAATTGCTAGACAGAAAGGCGCGTCCATTCATTCATATCTTTATTGCTAAGTCAGGCCACAGCGCATCTTAAAATCTTGTAGACGTTGGAATTGTCGTCAAGCCGAACAGAAAGGTTGTGTGCAAGTGGTCTGCCATCGTAGATACGGTGACTGTGGGCGACTTGAAGGAGGCCCTTATCCGACATTATCCTCAGTACGAACACGACGATTATCTGGAATTACTTTTTTACAAAACATACACCAGTGAGCTGGAAACCATATGCCATGACGAGGACTTGCGGAGAATACTCAAAGTCGGCAAGACACAGTCCATGAACAAGATGATCATTTCACTGAATACTTCAACCAAGACTTTTTCCGCATGGACTCTCAAGGATATTATTTCCGAGTACAACCTCTCAGAATCAACCGATGACGGTCTTGAGGTATTTCCGCCGTTTATCGATATCCAAGCCGCGCCGCTGGACTCAGACCTTGAGAAGAAGATGCTGGATCAGCTTACCAATGAGGTCGGTTTGAGGGTGGACGTTCTGAAACTGCTTGGCGCAAACGAAGCAACAAAATCTATGGTAGTCGCTTCGTTTCTGGTTGCAGCGACAAAACTATTCGAGGAAGACCTGTACCTTGCATCTCAGCGAAACCTCAGCGGGCGCCGAGGAAATGGACCATTGGACTTTTCAGTGCATCCACGGAAGACACACTCTTTCACTCTTGACGTGACGGAGGTGAAGAAGGATGATTCTCGACAGGGCATGGCTCAGAACATTGTACAGCTGGAATCGGCCTTGACAACAAAGAAACGCAAGCGCGGCCCGAACGATGTCGATGGAAAGGAAGACCCACCGATGGAGATGAGGTCTTACGGGATTGTTACAGACGCAAGCCAATGGCTGTTGATTGAATGTACGATGCATGAAGACGAAACAGTGTCGTACAGGATGACTGAGCTTGGGCAGAGCATTAACTACAGTGGCGAGTGGCAGGATAATGCGAAATTTGTTTTCGAAAGGCTTGTATGGCTTTGGTCACGTATGCGGGATGAGATACCAGCACGCGAAAGATACTCCAGGAAATCGAGTTCTCCACCCAGCAATTGGAAGACCAATGAGTGAACGCTCATCACAATTGCTGCCTCGGATTGTAGATTCATATAGCTGGTATTTTTAGCAAACACAAGCGGTCCAAAAGAGAGAACATCAATAGCATAGCATGAGTAATCCAAGAATAAAATAAAAAAAAAAAAATTGCGACAACAACAATCAACATCAACAACGACATAACAACAGAGGGACGTGGGCAAGTGGACAGGGACAAGGACTAGGTTGGACAACAGATGAGGTTTATTGCTATCTAGGGGCAGCCTTTTTATGTGTTGCTGGAGGCATGCTACAGTCCTCTCTCATTTTCGATACTTTTTTTCGTCGAAAGTGAGATCGCTAAAGATTCCAGCGATTCTATTGGCTGGAGGGGCATTTTCAGTCAATCAGAGTACTCTATATCTAGGCTCGTAGCACTCTGCCCTCCATCATCCCCATCCCCATCCTCATCCTCATCCTCGCCAGCGTTCCCAGCATCACTAGCATCGCCAGTACCAGTGCTCCATAATCCCTCTCACCACGTTCTACCCATGCTTCCTAAGATTGCAGACGCGCTGGACCGACCTAAGTCGAGCGAGGACGCTTCATTGTCGGACGCAGGTCGCGGTAGTTGGACACTTGCTAGCAAAAAGCGGATCATGGACAATTGGGATATCTTTCACAGAGGCTATCAGGACCTGCTTGGCAATCCTGTACCAGAATTATCACCATCAATGAAAGACTTTGAGACGGCTAACAAGCTGCCACCTAAAACGATCACCCGACTCATAAAAATGAGGCCTTTTATCAACAAAATGCCTACCGGCTCTTTGGATACAAGGTGCTACACCAAAGCCCACATCCGCGAGTTTTATCCAGTCGAGACGATTCTTCACCAGGAGATCCAACGTCTCCGTAAAATGAACGTGCCGGTAGATCAATGGCTGTTACAGTTGCTTGCAGGAGAGGTATACGACCTGCTTGTGGAAAGAGATGGACCACTCACGTTTGAAAAGCCTAGATTCTCGTCCGGTTGGGTAGCCAGTTTCAAGGCCACCTGGGGACTGTCGTTTCATAAGCTGATGGGCGAGGCAGGGTCGGTTGATTGGGATGCGATAGCGGGGCAAGTGGAGGGTCTCAAGTCAATTCTTGCGACCTATGATCTGAATGACATCTACAACGCCGACGAGACTGGCCTTTACCTGCAGACCACCTCAAGTTGGACGCTCGATGTCGAGATGAAGGCCGGAGCAGCCATTCCAGCATCGCGCGTCTCCATTCTCTTCTGCACCAATGCCACAGGAAGCGACAAGCGAAAGCCTTTTATTCTCAGTAAGTATCCTGTCAGAAGTTGATATTCGGAACGAGGAGAGACATGGTTTATTTTTATTTTTATTTTTATTTTTTTATGCTGGATGCCATGTTGATCATATTTGGATCCATTTAGGCGAAAACCTTGCTTCTGGCTTCAGGAAAGATGAAACGCTGCAGCGCTTGGTGGATGTCATGCCATGGGATACTGCAAAGCAACCACGCAAGTCCAAGGCAGCTAAAGCAGCGGCAGTCGCCCAGCAACAGCATCATGACGCTAGTGGACAAGATGGCGCACCTGGCAATACACAACACCAGCAACAGGAGGCCACTTCACAGCATACCCAGGCGCAGAAGCGGCAGACTAACAAGCGAGCAGATTACATGACCAAGTATACCTTTACCCACTGGCTGCGCCAGTTCCAGCAGGACATCGTCGCGGAGGACCCTGATCGGCGCGTGGTCCTGCTCATCGACAATGCATCATGCCATGCAGTGGTAGAACGGTGCAGTGTCGATTTTCCGAACATCAAACTGCTGCTTCTGCCGCCGAACTCGACATCAGTAACACAGCCCCTGGACGCAGGAATCATTGCTGTTTTCAAGAGGCGGTATCGTAATCTCATCCTAAAGTTACGTGTCTTCAAATCCTCCCAGCCAGTGCCAGACCCCAATGCGCCTCCTAAAGCGGCCAGCAAGGGAAAAAAAAACACGAGGAGGGCCAAGGCAGTCGACAAGGCCATGAAGTCGAAGAAGGATGGGTCTTTTAGGGTGTCCAACCTCGAAGGATGGCACATGATAGCTGCTGCCTGGAACGAGGTGGAAGGCAAGTCCATCCGGAGCTGCTTCAGACACGTCCCCATTTTCGGCGAGGCCCAAAAACAGCAACTTTCAACGCACACTTGTTTAGAAGAGGAGGTGGTTGCGGCGCTCAAGGAGACCCAGCAAAACATTCTCCATCGGTTCAGGGTGCAGGGTTACCACGACTCAGTGAGTGGCAGAGACCAAGGTCAGAGCGGCTCGTCAACAACGCCAGTCCTAGATATTTTAATGGACGCCGCGGAACAAAACGCCCTCGTCCCAGAAGATGGCTCTTCGTCAGCAATATCAAGAGGTGTTTCAATCATGGGTGCTCTTGAGAGCCATGAGAAGCTGCTGGCTTCAACCGCGAAACTTTTGGATGGCTCGCCTTACATATGCGAAGTCATTGATCAACTACAGGAGGACCCCGATTTCATGTCCTTCTTCTTGTCACTACAGACGGGTTCGGAGCTTTTGGATGGCGACTGGCTAGAGAGCACAAGTGATGGCGAAGGCGCGGAAGACGACGATTTCGTGGTGGTGCCCAATCCATTCTTGGTGGTAACCAACGACAGAGGGTCTCCTCTGAAGCCCAAACATATCAACAAGCCTTTACACAGCCGCGTCTATATGAGCCGAGTCGAGCAATTGGCTTCCTCAGAGTACTCTGACACTGACCAGTCGGGACCACAAACAACTTCGACTGAGGAGGAAGGATCTATCGACGAGCATTGGGAGAGTGAAGAGGAGGAGGTCACAGGGGACAAAGCTGTTGGCGAGAATATCGTCAATCTATTGAGTGCCGCTGCAGTTTTGATGACCTCAAAGAAGCACAGGCGATACAGGAAACAAGTGGAGCTGCTTGCAGATACTCTCATGAGCAAACGCATGGATGACGCCTCAAAGAGCTACCGTACGTCCTTCGCCGAAGACTACAGATCCAAGATGGAGGCATTCAACAAGAAGAAGGCAGCTCTGCGCGTCGAGCAAGCGCGGGTCAACAAACGTTTTCCGCCAGCAAGCAAGACCGTCAAGCCAGCACACACCAGAGTAGTCATGCCACGATGATATTTATTGATATCCCTTTGCATAAAAAAAATACATATATTGAAATCAGTACGCCTAGGAGCGGTGGCGATGAGGATGAGGATGAGGATGAAGATGAGGATGGGGATGATGGAGGGCAGAGTGCTACGAGCCTAGATATAGAGTACTCTGATTGACTGAAAATGCCCCTCCAGCCAATAGAATCGCTGGAATCTTTAGCGATCTCACTTTCGACGAAAAAAAGTATCGAAAATGAGAGAGGACTGTAACATAAACGGTTCCCTGGCTCCATCTTCAGGTAAGCGCTCCAAGAGTCCATGGCTGAGTGCTAACTTTCTGTTGCATTCATGCCCTCTATCACGCATTACAAGTGACGCAATGTCCATACGGCTATTTGACAAAGAGCCCACGTGTCCACAGCGCCAGGCCCATAAAGAGCCCAAAGGCAAGTGGGAAGTGGGAACTACACCTCTTCAGAATCGGCTCATTAAAAATTTGGTGGGCTCAAATATTTCTAGCGAATAGGAGTTGTTACTGGTGGTAGGAAACCATAGGGAGTATAATAACTGGCTTGTGGCAGCCAAGCGTTCATAGCGACGTTGCTTTTTGATCCTTCGATGTCGGCACTTCCTACCATACTGAAGCAGAATTCAGGAAGCGTTGGATTGCTCACCCACTAATAGGGAACATGAGCTGGGTTTAGACCGTCCTGAGGCAGGTTAGTTTTACCCTACTGATGAAATGTTGTTGCAATGGTAATAGCTGGCAGAGTCGAATAACATGAAGACTCAAGCTTATTATCCGAGCTGAATGAAATCAGGCGGCCCTCTTCTGCACGTTCACAGTTGCGCCCCGCACATGGTAGTGCATGAGGAAAATATGTTTGTTCGGAAATACCATCGTGTGCCTGGCTGAGTGAGATACACGGCACTGTGAGCGTTCGTTTCATGTGCACTTGTACTCTAACGTTGTTGCTCACGGATGTCAATGGACCCTGTGCCTCAAGTGCCTTGTGCTATACGAAGACAAGGATAAAGGATGGCAGCTCATGATGGAGTGTATATATTTCGTATGTACCAAGGCATGCGGCATGGTGCATGGTGCATGGCATGTGTGGTAGGTATCATTTCTCTCATGAATTGCTGTTCGCCCTTGGCTAAGACCTATCGCTGAGAGTAGAAAAAAAAGTTACCTCCCGAGATTGAACTCGGGCTAGGAAGTGCTATTAGCGGGTGCTCCCAGTAAGTTCAACCGGACCCAAACGTAGAGAACAGAACCACTCCTCCTAGTTTTTTTTTTTTTTTTTTTTTTCGCGGTCGGAAGGGTCTGATGTACCAGATCATTTCTTTATTTGCATTTACCCTCCCTAAGTGCATTATATCCTTAACTGCACGCTTACAATTGACTCGAGATACATAGAAATTGGATCTCTATCTGCACGCTCTGTAAAGGCGTTGATATCCATGCAGGGGATGGGGAATACTACCCTTTTTGTAACACGTAGGCTTCAGCTTTTGATACACTGATGAGGTGCGGCAATCGTTGCGCAGGCCCTAGGAGTAGGCCCGGGGGATGTGACCTGTCTTTTGGCGACTGTGGGTTGGTTCTACTTTGGTGGAAAGGTCTGATAGATTCGCAGGGTCAATCGAGAAAGACTGATACCGGAGTACCTCTCTGAGTCGGCGGAGCATACTTTCTGAATAACGTGCACTTTCGACCCAATCGAACCACTTTGCCACCGCTGCACAAGTCAATGATAGTGTTGGTACTGATGATGGACATCATATCGTTCACGCTAATACCCGGAAATCTCGGCCCACCATGGACCGCCTATTGGTCAGCCTATCGGGTCCAGTGATGAACGGGAAGGCAGTTAGCGATCTACAAACGGCTAAAAAACAGGCGACAATCCAGTTGAGCGTAGCGCTAATTGATCCAGATCAATAATTGACGACGATTGATGGATACGGGGCCAAAATCCATGCCCGATGAGAATGGTGAAATTTTGAATCGTATTACCTTCAGTCTACTTTCTATATGAGAAAATATTACCTTTATGCGGGGATCGAAACACGACTTGATTTTTTTAGGTAGACAGGTAGGTATATCATTGTCGCTCATGCATGATGTAAATCGACCTATTACTTGAAGATGACATTGTGCAGGTTCGCAGATGGGATAACTCCAGGTATACTACAATTCACAAGCATAAAGTCTGCAGAACACAACAATAGTCTATGCGAATATGTCTTTATAATGTTAATTTTTTTCTTTTCGTTCTATACCTCGCTCTTGAGGATATCTGCGACGATTGCCACACCATTGCCCAGCACATAGCGCACAAATTTGGACCCTGTAATCGCCCCCGCCGCATAAATTGAGTGGTCCATTAACGGCCTAACCTCTTCCTCCTCTTCTTTTTCTTCCTCTGCAGTTGCATACGCCTGTGATTCTAGCTGCTTGCACGACCCAAGATCAGCAGACGGCGGAGAGAGCTTTACCACGCTACATTTTTCTAAATTGCGACCACTGCCTCCATTCTGAGCGCTCGACAGCGACGGCGGTTCCAGCGAGGCCGAGCACAATGTCAATAATGGGAGCGCTGCCTGCTCTGGAGAGATGATCTTGTACCCCAACAGCGGGGTACAGGGCATCGAGATGCAGGACATAGCCATCGATTTCATCGTCCCTGAAGCAGATGACTTGCTGGTGCCTCCTACATGGTCTCCCTTGGTGGAGGTACACTTGTCGCCAGCCATGAGGAGACACTCGACTTGTGTGCCAGTCTTGATATCGTCGGATTCTTCCGAGTCGCAAGAAGACGATGCGGACGAAATGGGAATGATATCCGCGGTAGTGGCTGTCATTGCACTGGGTTGTCGGATTGGATAGCAGGGAAGGCGCGTGCAACGCTTGGGCTTTGTTAGGAATGCGGGAACAGGAGCACCCACGGCTGAAGATGAAGCAAAGGAATGCGATGTCGACAGGTCATATCCTCCACTAGCCACGACGGCCCTTGGGATGAGGCGGAAGTTGTACATATCCGAGACTAGCGGATGCAGCAATGTCAATACCTGTGAAGGATCGACCTCGCCGCTATCATCGCTTTCATCATTGTCTTCCTCTTCATTTTCCTCCTTATCCTCGTATTCACCCTTTTCTTCCTGCGCTTCTTGATGCTGTTCTCTGTCATTCATTCCCTGCCGTGTCTCATTTACAATCGTATCCTCGTGGCTCGGTTTGGGGGACGAAGACCTTGCTGAACATCTGAGTCCCAATCCCTGCGCCGCAGCCTGCAAAACCTGCATGTGCCAGCTTATTGGCCGAGCCGTTGTCGCCACCCTTGGCCCCAGCACCGGAGACCGCGGCGGTGTACGCGGCGGTGTCGGTATATCGACCATCAAGTCGCTCAGCAAATCCTTCTCAAATCGCTGTCGTACGGATCTTCGCCCCCTGCTGTCACTACTGCTCCTCCTTGCCCCAGGAGCCACTGTACCACCAGCTGCAGGACTCGTGCCATGTTCTTCGGCTGAGAGCATCTCCTGCGCAAGTGATCCCTTCAAGAATCCCATATGCACCTGCTTGCCAATAAATACGCCTACTGCAGCAGCACGCTCCTTGATGACGACGCCATGGCCTAGAATGATGACAATCTCGCCCGTGACGGGGTCCCAGCTGCTCACAGACGCGTCAGGTAATCCTTTGTACCAACATGTGGAGCACAATGGTGTGAAGTCTTGCGTTCTCATCGTTGCGTGCCGTTGCTGCTGCTGTTGGGGATCCATCGCAACGTCGTACTCCTTCATAGCCATCGCTTCGCATTGCTCGCACGGCTCCCTACTAAACACATTCGTGTGCTGTCCGCCTCCCTCCTTGCGAGTAGAGTACTGCTGAACCGAGTTTTTGAGTGTCGCACATTTCTTCATCCGTACCCAGATTGATGCGTACTCTGGATAGACATCGCGATGGCATCGTTTGAGTGGAGAGGGTTCCGAGGCAGAATAATGTTTGTAGATATGGATGATTTGGCGCCAAGGTTGTTTCTCTTGGATGAGAAGGATGGCATCTGCGGCAGAAAGACCAGTCCCGACAATGACGATTGGGAGCGTAGAGGAGAGGATCGATGGTCGAGAGGTAACAACTGAGGAGGATACAGGCGAGTCGGCAGACGATTCTAAGAGAGATACCGCTGTTGTGGATGGCGAGGGTGAAGATGGTGAACAGCATGGTGATGATGGCGGCGTAACTTCAGAGGACACCGTGGCATAGGTCGAGGATGGTTTTTTCCGCGATGCTGTCGCCCTAGGTGTTGATAAAGTATTGTTTCTCTTCATCCATTCCTCAAGTTGTCGTGTATCATGAAACGTTTGCTGAATTGTTGCTCCAGGACTAATAGGCGGTGAACATGGATGTGCGCTGACTGCAGCAAGTCTCTTAGGCTGATCAAAGGTTCCCGTTGCCAAGATTACGGATTTACAGCGGATCATGAATTTCATCCGCTTCCTTGGAACATTACTGTTACGGCTAGTGCTGTTGCTGCTGCTGCTGCTAGCGCTGTTGTTATTGTTATTGTTGTTGTTGTCGAGTACTGCTGTAGTGTCGACATACCCAAAAACCACATATCGGGAGGCCGCACACTTCCTGCACGGCGACATTCCGGGGCCTGATCCAGCAAGAGGTGCAGAGGATGATGATGAAAAAGATATTGTTCCTGGTCGGCTCAAAGTCCTGCTTCGAAGTCGAGGATCGAGCGAGCAACAGCAATGGTTTTCCAAATCCTTCAGATGATATATACCAGTGACGGTGGTGTAGTTCGAAAAGTTGGACTGAATCCCCATATGTTTGACATAGGCCTTGTAATAGGCCGAAACCGTGGATCGGAGAGGTCGCTCAAGGTTCTCAGCGCCTCCGCTGTGTTCAGGGTAGTCGTGAACAAACTTGCTGAACGGATACAACGGCAGTTCCATGTGTTCGTAGTAACTATAGTTTGATAATTAACATTAGTAAAGGATATCAGGTATTGAGGAAGAACAAGCTCCGCAGATGCCTAGTGGTGATCATGGCCACTATCGCCGTTTACCTAAGTGTCTGATTATGGTCATGGTCCATATCTGCCCAGATACCTCCAACATCTCCCCGCCCCAGGACAACATGAGGCCTCGCTGTGCTCCTGTGGGCTATCACACGACCTGTATGGCAACTTTCATGGATTGTCACCGTGTGCTTCAGGACTGGTGTTGGTGGCGGACTATCAAGTCCCTCCATGACAGGAGAAGGACTCTTGACAACGGGGGGACTTTCAGGATGGCGCCATTTCAGAAACGAGGGAAACTCGCCTCGATGGGTGTCAAGCAGTGGATGTGCGAGTGAATCGAACATGGCGCTGATGGGATTGGCATCCCGACCAGCCTCGGCCAATTGGTGTTGGATATGGTTTGTCAAATGGACAAAGTTCTAGCAAAGAAAACATTGGTATGAATATTCAGCATACCTAGCATGTACATGTCCGCAGTGCATAAAGGGAGGGCAAAAGGAGTGATATAGTCATTTGGGATGCAAGGGCACGTGCAAAAAAGGGGGGCAGCAGATTAGATTGGTCCTGTTTGGGTGGCTGTTCGCTTGGGTGTGTTTCTCCACCCATGTGCTGTATTAATGTGTTGTCTGTGTCATGGCAGCTGTGCGCAGATTGATTTTAAGGTTCATATTTCTCCCCACTCCAACTGATGAGATTGTCCAATAGCGCCGTCGCTCCCCTAGATACGCGTAGAAACAAATGCTATCTCGCGCACAAATAAAATAAAAATTCAGAGGGCACTGCATCTCTGATATCTGATATCATATGGTGTCATCCGCTCACCGTCGTACACCTTCATATAGTCCACCCACGAATGACAAAGCCATCTAAACCTATATCCTGCTTTTTGCGTTGCATTTTTGCTTAGAGAAGAGCATTCCTAGGTGATCATTGGTATCTTTTCTAATCGCGTTTGTGTGTACAGGCAAAAAAGAAAATGAAAGGGACGTTGCAGCCCACGGGGAGAAAAAACAGAACACACACACGTACGCATATCAACTGAAAGCATACAAGCAAGTATGAGAGGGATAAGGGTAGACTCTAATATTGCAGATGCCCCTCCCCCCCCCCCCCAAAAAAAAAAAAAAAAAAAAAAAAAAACACCGACCAATGGATTACTGCATGCATTTTCGTCTTCCCCTCAACTGGTAGTCGATTAATAATCACTGTCCAAAAATACATATTGAAATATATATCGACTTTAATAAGGGAGGGAACAGACAAGAATACAAACAAATAGGCGGCGCATATTTCTTTCGAAAAAGTTTTTTTTTTTTTTTGGCCGAGAACGCCCCATGTGTATTGCCCTGTTTCTTTTGTTATTGTGAAGCGACAAGAATTCTCTTGGTACAAATATAAATAAAAAAGTTACCTGGCTATGCAATGATCGCGGTCTGCTCTCCGTCAGCGCAGAGGGCGCCAGCATGCGATGCAGGATCGGATCAGGGTGTGGGCGGGTTGGATCCGCGTGATAGTAGGGTTCATAGCCAGTCAGCAGGAGCGATAGCAAGATCCCGGCGGGTCCATTTCCTGCGGAACGAGAAGGGATTTTGGATGAAACAGTATTTGTTTTATTGGTGTTAGATTTTTTGGCGGGGATAGAAGTTGTCTTATCTGAAGCAAATATTCTCACCAACGACAACAACGTCTGTGCTTGAGGGGAGATGCGCAGTTGAAGGTTGCATGGAGGGCGTGGTGGGATGTGGATGTGCCCGCGAACTGGAATGAGAATGAGAATGAGAATGAGAATGAGATCTGGAAAGAGGTTGAGGATCGGGCGAGGGTAGATCAGCCAGGGGTTCGAATGAGTGTCCGAATCCTGGCAGGGACTTTGCCATTTGACACATGAATGGAATGAGCGGCTGAATCCAGTTTCTAGAGAGGGGGGGGAAAGGGGAATGGGATCTCGAGAGTGCAGTGAGGGGAAGGAGAAGGCGGTGAAGGAAGGGAGTGCGTGGAAAAGCAAAGGCGGAGGCAGAGCAGAGAAGTGGTACAAGAGCAGGTGTGGGATTGCGGAAGGAGGAGAGAGCAGTTCAATTGAACGGGTTCAATTGAGCGGTTGCGCTTCTTCTGACAAATCAGATGTAGTGCGCGCACTTCGTTTTGACTCGGCTCGACCGCCATTGCTGAACCGAACTCGCCCGGGATTTTTAATGCAACAGGTACTCTTTGTCAGGTATTCCCTCTCCCTGCGGACAGAACTATGTTGTCAACTTTCGCCATCAAAAAGAAGCATCATGCATTTATGACATGCATAGTACACGTTCAAGCTCCTCCCCCTAATGTTGTATCATAAACAACGGTCCCGGCATCATCGATGCCAAGTGCCTATGTAAAATGGAAAGGAAGGGGGGGAAGGCAGGCCAAGGCAGATCAATAACAACAATACTGCAGCTAATGCAACGCTATCGCGCCAATCCCTGTATTCAGCGAACAAGAAAAAGGGAACCATATGCATAAAGACAGAGCATTCCCATGTAGCTGTCTCACGCACGATTTTCTATCAAGAAAGAAAGAAGCCTCCGGTAGACAAGACGCGAATGGTTCCGCTCGCCGATAGCACTATCCCAGTCCAGCACATACAGTTCAAAGAACAAAAAAAAAAGAAAAAAAAAAAGCTTGGAGAGATGACCATGACCAGGGCTATGGTCACGCCGGATCTCATCTCTGCGTTCTTCTCGTAAAGCTCTTTTTGGTTGGTACAATCCAAGAACTACTTCATTCTGAACAAATAACAAAAAAGTGCTCTTTCCCCATAAAGCTTGTGGGCTATAAACAAAATGGTTAATATCCATGCGAGCACATGCTGTCGAAGTCCACCCACCCCTCTTTTTCCCGTATTGCGCAATATCTATTTGGTTTATACGTTGTTAGGGAGATCGCGTTGCGGAAAGGTGTCTAGTCTGAGTTTGATACTCGATCCGATTCAGTGAAATAAGATCTATATTTTGTGTAGGCATCTTATTCCAATGCAGCATATCTCTAAGCTGCAGAAGAGACGCGTCTAGGTAGGCGCAGTCCCTCTAGAGCGCGCTATCCTATCGCCCACGTGATCAGCTACAGGGTGGCATTCGTTCAGGTTGAGCTACATGAACCTCTCTCTCATTGATCTCGGTAACCATTCTCACCAAACTCACGATCCCCCACATTCCACAGATCCTTTACGCGGCACGATCACGGCAGTATGGATAACTCGGCATCGCAGCAACAGCAGGATGGTGGCGTGCAGAGCAGCCCTAACGACTCCACCAATACGCCGCAGGCGCAGCAGGAGGAACCACACCCGGTCGTTATAAATCCAGAGGACTCCTCAGAGTGGGAGACAGAGCCTTCAGACACTGGCGGTGAGGGCGATATGGACGAGGATGAGGATGACGACTTTATGGACGACGATGGCTTTTTTCCTGACGATCCAGACAGAAATATTGATATCGAGGCCCTCACGCCATCCGTCCGGGCTAACAGGCGGCCCAATATCGACGACGATACCTGGTCAGAGTTCAGTGGCGATGAAAAGTATGAGCCAAAGGCTTCATACGACAGTGAGCCTGGCGGAGGTGATCGGGATATGGTTGATGCCAATCCAGAGGAGATGCCTATATTTTCTGAGAGGGGAGAGCGCAATTTGACACACAGTATCCGGCAACTCATGCTCAACCTGACCAAGGGTCGTAAGGATCGCGAAAGAAAACTCAGGATTGAAGCATGGCGAGAGGGCGCATTTGCGGCAACATCATCGTCCTTGGCATCAGCAACTTCACCTAGTTCATCATCCTCGACATCTCCAGCGAGCGGGGCATATCTATATCGATTGATGGTTCGCGGAACGGCCTATCCTCAGGAAGTAGAACATTCGCCTGCAGTCACTTTCCATCGCCAATGCGCCAACTCCCTTACGGTTACGCCGTCTCCAATGGGCGTTATGGACGATATCTTTACTCTCAACGTTGATTCGATTATGCGCTGCGGCGTACTCGACAAGATGACAATTACCACTTATCGCAAGCGAATGATGGCATCCATGGGCAATGATCCCACATATGACGATATTGCAGCCCGCCGTATTTTCCAGCACGATATCGAGGGTCTAAAGACGGTCAAGGCCACGAAGTTCCTAAGGAACTCATTGTACCAATTCAACCAGCTTCCGCCCTCGGAACACTATGTCCCGATCGACGAGAACGAGAATCCCATCTGCATGGCTCACAAGTACGGCTATCTCGCTATGGGCTCGCACGATGGCACATTGGTGGTCTATTGCACGGATATCGAGGGCGAGCCATATGAAATCCATAACGACAAACTTACGGAGTCCCTGCGTTTCGTCATGCTGAGCAGCATCCAAATTGTTCGTTGGCCGCGGTATTATCGGAGCAGGACGATGACGGACGAAAGCGACTTGGGCGCGACAGACTGGAACAACAGTACAGAAGAACTGGACCAAGATGGGGAGGAATATGATGAAAAGGATGGTTATCCGACAAAACCTGGGCAGTTTGATCATTATCTGATCATGACGGGTAACAACAGTGGTCTGTTTATCGCCTCCCTTCCGGATCATCCTGAACGAAAGGATCAGCGGTTGCCACGCAACTATGATTACTACTCTGAAGACATGCACGAGCACCGGTACAAATTCAAGGATGATCGTACATGGATTCGGACAGGATTTCATGAAGATGCATTAAACGACGCCAGGGTTTCACCAAACGGACGCTGGATTGCAGTTGTCGGAGATGCGAGCAAGATCTGGACGCTTGAGGTCACTCATGTGCCCGAAACTGAGAAGCAGCGCGAGCAGAGAGAACAGGAGATCATGATGGAGGATTTGGAAACGGACTCAGAATACGCGACCGACGAATCCACGTCAGAAATAGAAGAGAAGAACGATAGTACCGATGCACTTGGGGCAGCACGCGGGGAGAAGCGGTCTCGGAGCGCAGACGACGATCTATCTGATTCCGAAGACAGCTCGTCCTGGACCCCAAAACTCAGGGGAGCACGGATACCACGACTTCTTCATCAATTTGGTACTCCAGTCGAGATGCATATTCCGGAGAAGGCTCTGAAAATATCTCAGACAAGACGCGGCACTAGGCGATGGGATTTACAGGAAAGATACAGTTCTCAATACGTGACATGGAACGCGACTTCGACCAAGCTTGCGCATTCGTCCGACGTGTCCTCATGCGTGCTCGTGTGGTCGATGCCCTCTCGAGAGATCGTCTGCTCTGTGGATACTGGTGGACCTAGCTACGGAATTGACTTTCACCCGAGGTTGGAGAATTTGTTTGCGGTCGCGAACTGGTATGGTTTCGTGCATGTGGTGGATGTGACAGGATGTTGCGTTGGTGACGAGGATCTTGTCCCGGACGAAGAGCACTATAACGGCAAGATAACTCAGGGCCCTGGATTAAATGGCTGTGAGGGTCCCCACTATGAGGAGAAGCACGACATCCTCATGCTCTCATTCCGAGGTGAGAGTGACAAAAGTCTGCGCATCCTGGATGCTATCCGTGGCCTTGGATGGAGCACAGACGGACGGCATTTGTATGTGGCGACACTTCGACGCGTGCTGCAGTTCGAATTGGCGGACAATGATGTGCGGATCCCAAGTCTTTTCCAGCTGTGCGCGCGCAAGGTGCGGGAATGGAAGGAACGGGTTCATAGCCAGAAATACACGCAGGAGTCTGAGGCGAAGATCAACATGGCGTTTAAACCGATTCCGGAAGAATGGGAGTACGTGCCTTATTTCGTCAAGCGTCGGATCTGGGGTGACCTGTTCCTAATGCGTTCACACGACGAGTGAACAGGCGTACGTTATAATAAAAAACAATAAGAAAAAAGCAATGGAAGGCGATATGCGTAGAACGATATGTACTGTGTATAGTTATCTCTTGTGTGCGATTGAGAAGTACGATTGAGAGCACTTGTGGGCATCAATTGATTAACAAAATGAATCATTATTTCAAAGGCTGGCCCCAGATTTCGCCCTCGTTTTACATTAAGGAATGCATGCAGTCCGTGTTATCTGGTTCTCGCTAAATATGGTACTGGACACAGGACAGGGCACAGGGCACAGGGCACCGAGTGCTGGGTGCCAGCTGGGTTCTCCGAAAGGATGGTCCCCATGAGGACAAATAATTCACATTCGGTAACATCCCAACTCGCAGCTCTGTTCAGCTCTCCGGCCTTTAAAAGAGAAATGAGCACCTCCGAGGAGGTGGTATTAGTCCGTACATGTAGAGTGAAAAGAAAGAGCCTTTTTATTCATATAAAATTAGGCGCCATTGGGTAGGGCGAGTACTTGGTTGTGAGCACGAAACAGGGTGGTAGCGCCGTTCTTTCTTCCGCTTTGCTCTCGTTCAAAAGTGCATATTCTACGCTTTCTGGTATGCAGTGTTGCGGATTGTAAGACTAAAGACTGGGATTAAGTGAAGCGAGGGTATCCAGCCCGGATGCGATGCCCAGCAATATCCTGCTGGCGCGTTTGCCCGGACATACGAATCAATTGAGTCAGACAAAAAAGTCTTAAGCGGGCTTGTTTTTTTTTTTTTTTTTTTTTTTTCTGGAAGGCCAAAAAGGAAAACGCTTCCGTGATTTCCATTTTTCACTCTCCGGAAAATGGGCAGCAATCACAACAAGCAACCACAACAAGCAACCATTAAAAAAGAAGAGCAAGCAATAAGCTGGCGTGAGTTGGGCAGACTCATTGGCATGCTGGGCCGATGAGTGTTGATGGAGATAGGCTGGCAATTTACCTTGCATATGAGATTAGGGCAATGATGTGATCCGGCAGAGGAGAGCATGCCGGCTACTGGGATGTTGCCCCCATACAGCCCACGCGGACTGAGAACCAGACACCAGCAGCGGCGAGTGGCAGCAGCAGCAAGCAGTAGAATCTAGTAGAGTCTGTCTCTCTTTCTTCCCTGTCTTTTCTCCTTCTCTTTTCTGTTTCCTTATTCTCGAAATCCCATTCCACGCCTCCAGCCTGCTCACCTCTGAACTTCAGAGTTCTTTCTCGTCGCTCTTTCTCCCTCTCCCTCTCTCCCTTTCTCCTCCTCCTCCCTCCTTACTCCTCCCTTCTTCCTCCTCCTCCTTCCTCCTCCGTTCTTCATTCCTCCCTCATCTTCTCTCCACCTTGTCATCACCTTCTCCTCATTTCGCTTCCACTAAACACTGAACAAAAGGCAAGTGTGCCAACTCAGTCCGTACTGCAGCTGTCACTACCCTGTTTCAATCTATTCTATTATACCGCCAAAAGCCCAACCCATTTTTTTCAGGAACGACCCGAATCAACAACACCGACAGCATCAACAATCTCATTCAACATTGCGAAATCGCTCAACCACCCCTCCTCAACCCTTGACCCTTTCCCCAAAGACTCTCACCCTGCCTCGTATATCTCAGCCCTACAGTAAAATAACGACAATAGTAATACTTTAAGAACGAGTTTCAGGATAATTTTTTTCTATGCCCAATTGAGCCGCCATCTCCCACTTCCAGCCTCCCCATCAACAACCCCTCTGATGACTATCCCTCCTCCTCTGCTTCTTCTTGATCCTCCTCAGCCTCGTCAATTGCTATCGCTTATCTCTTGGGAGACAAGACATGTCTAAAGCAAAGCAACTACAGTAAGCGACCTTTGCGGAATCACTCTCTTAACTAAACTAACTTCCCGCATCCCCCATTTTAAATTTTAGATACTCTTGTAGTGTTAATCAAGTTTAAGCATTTTTCTTTTTTTTCAGGAACGGCATACCTCTTCACGGAAACGACATTCTGCATTATCCTTATTTTTATTATTTCGTTCCTATTTCCGTAATGAATCAATTCGACGCTAATCTTATCCTGGCACAGCCATTCTTCCTGTGCTCGCTGATCCTCTTCGTGGTAAGGAACTACCCCTCGAAAGCAAACAGAGAACCCCTCTCCCCCCAAGGAACAGGAACAGGAACAGGAATGTTACGATTGCAATTAGGCGCGGACAAAACTATGCAGTTCCTGAAGACTAATACACGGATGATGTGGAGGTTTTCTGAAAAAAAAAAAAACAGGACTTCGCCCCTAGGCACGAAGGACTGTTGGGACACTCAGGGACACTTTACAGAGAATCCAGGACTACATAGTATATATCTCCCCGCAAGCATAAACCCTCTACGGAAACACCGATAACTGATATTGCGACTTTATTTTCCTCCACAAACCTCCATCTTTCCTCCTACATAGATCGGCTGGGTCATCACCTTCATCTCCGCCTGTATCATCGGTGCGAGCATCCACCTGATCTGGGTCGACATTTTCTACAACCTTTTCCTCCTGCTCGGCACGACTCTCTCCGTCGCGACCCAATCTCTGCACCACTACCGCCTCGTCATCCTCGCCTTCATCGCCGGCTCGCTCTCGTTGATCTTCGTCTGTATCGATACCGCCTTGAACGTCCACACGGATACCAACAACTATGCCGCAAAGTACTCTGCCGCCGGCGCTGGCATGATCTTCCAGGCCTTCGTCCTCATCTTCTGGGTCATCTACTTTGGTGCCGAGGATGACTCGCTTGCCAAGCGGTCCATTAATGGGTTCACTGTTCCCAGGACCCCGCTGACCCATGGCGGCGCTGTTGGTGTTACGGGCGCACATGATGTTGTCATGGCCCAGCAGCAGCAGCAGCAGCAGCAACAGCAGCAGAATGGACAGAACCTGAGCTCCGTGGTCGTGGCACCGGCTTCGAATTATGCGTACAAGGCTCGGGCGCTGTACTCCTATGATGCCAACCCTGAGGACAGCAATGAGTTGAGCTTTGCCAAGGGCGAAATTCTGGATATCGTTGACAACAAGGGCAAATGGTGGCAGGCCCGTAATCAGAATGGAGCCGTCGGTATTGCACCTAGCAACTACCTTCAGTTAGTTTAAAGGAAAAAAAAAGAGAGAGAAAAAAAGATGGAAACAGAAACGGAAAGAGAAAGCTGCAGGGATGCTCATTGTCGGTGCAAGAGAAAAGAAACAGGGAAAAGAAGAGAAGCACGATCCAGGAGATTTGTTACTTTTCACTTCCTCTTCAGTCTGTGCTACCCCTGTTAAACTACTTTTACTGTTGATACTCGAGCTCGAATCCTATCTCTTAGTCGCGCCATCGTCGTCCCTTCCCCTCCTTCTCCTCATGGTGTTTGCGACAATAATAAAGATTCAAGTTCAGTCACTCGTTCTAGTGCTCAAGATAGAGTTTTTCATTTGTTCCGAAAAAAAAAAGTGTTCTACTTCTAGCCCTCGGTTTACGCGACGCAAAGACCATCGCGACTAAAAAGCCAGATGACTCCGATCCACACCAACTGCAGAGCAACTCCGCTCGCCAGGGCCTGCCAAATGGGAACAGCCTGACCACCGCTTTGCTCATGAAGTCGATTACCATAGTCTCGATGCTCGGGCGACTCGTGCGATCGTCGTGCTTTAGCGAGCACACCGCTGGTCTGACCGTCATTGTTGTTCTCCTCAACACCACGATCATCCGAGTTCAAGTCCGTTCCTGAGCCTTGATCGCCACTGTCCTCCTGACTATGTTCGTCCCTGCTCTCACCATCTCTTCGTCTTCCTGCTCCTCTTCGTCCAACTCGTCCTGCTACCGTCGCCACTGCCGAGCTACTGCGCGATAACGATGCGGCTCTAGACTTGAATCTGAACCTATCCACGATTAACGTGAGCACATACCGATCCCATACCACCGTCAACACTAAAACTGGATACAGGACCAACGGTCGGACCATCACCGGGTTACAAATCGACAGACAGAACCACGTCCGCAACACAAGACTCAGCGCTGTGAAATGCACCGAAAAATCTTCCGGGACTAGACTGTGCTGCCGTTGTTGCTGCTGTAACTGTTGTTGGTGCTGAAGCGGCATCCTGGATTGAGACGCCGACTGGCTTCGCTTCTGCAGGGCATGCTGTGTACTCAAAGAATGCCGTCGCTCCCTCTCCATCGAATGCTGGACTGAAGAACGGCGTCGCTCCCTGCCCATCGAATGTTGCACAGAAGAACGTCGCCGCTGCTGTCGTCGTTGTCTGGTCATTAAGGCCGTCGAGTCGACCGAAAGATCATCCCCCGACTCGTATCCTGCGTTCGGGGTCGCCGCAGATGCGGTAGCTGAAGAAAGATCGCTTGGCGGCTTCGTAGTGGATAGAGATCGCTGGTGTGCATGGGCAGAAGCGAGATTCGCCCAATGGCTCTTTCCTAGAACAGGCCTCCTCTCTGCAACCACATCTTCCTGAGCCTTAACGGACCGACTTCCTTCAGGACGAAAGTTTCTAGAGCTCTCTGAATTTGAAGATGACTCTGGGCTCGGAGACCTGTAACGCGGTGCTACTACAGAGTCAACAGGAGGAACGGCGTCCTTTTGCTCATACGTGGAAAAGTGAGAAATAAGAAAAGATGAGGATTCGAGAAAAGCTTACACATTGCATCCAGCATATGGCGCGCGCTCTTTGTGATAAGCGAAAAAGTGAGAGCATTTATTGACGATGGGAACTTACATCGTGAAGCTGGGCCTTTTTGTGCGTGGTACCAGATTTCAGATCCTCGACTACTGCCGCGACCTCGCGCGAACGCTTGTTTACTCTCATATCACCGCTTGACTGTGGCTCTGATCTTGCCGGTGCCAGCTCCATGCCTAATCCCAGCGCCGAAGGCTCTCTAAAATCGGTTGCCAGCTTTCTGGCGCGAAACACCTGCTGTTGTCGCATCATATCCTCCTGCGTCGGCGAGATTGATTTGACTATCGACCCGCTTGTCGCCATCGGTGCCACCCGCGAGCTTCTTAGCGCCAACGGAAACGAGACGATTGGAAATGAGGTACCACTTCCAGCTCCGATTCCATTCCCTGTACGTCCGGTATCACTACTCCTTCTCCTCGGCTGTCTCTGTATCCCGCTGCTAGTCCCAGGCACTGCCGGATGCATCATTTTCCGGCGTAGCATGTACCGGAGCCCTATCCCCAACGGCTTGACTCGCTTATGCAAATTCACGCTGGGGCTCGCAGTGCTTCTAGCACTCGCGGGAAACGAGGGCGACAACTGCGAGATGGCGTGGCCAGGCACTGATTTCAAGTTCTCAGTGACAAGAGTCGTCCTGCTCAGTCGGCGATCAGATCCTCCTACTGTGTTGTTGCGGACAGGCTGATGAGAATGCCGGCGATGAATCTGCAAATTACGGCTGCTCCCCGCAGGAGCCACATGTCCGTGTCTTATTGTGTTTCCTGCCGAGTTTCTGATCACCCTCTCCTCGCTCACTTCCTCCGCACTGTCGTCTTCAATCTCCATGGCATCTCCGACTTCTGTACCCGCTCTGGAAGGAGAATTCTCAGCATTGGAAGGCGAGGACGATCGGGCCGGTGCGGTGGGCATGTCCATATCCCCATGCATCATGCGATCGCGCTGGTGGCTCAATTTTGAAAGGATATCATCGCATGATGGGCGCTTAGACTTGTCGGGGGATAGCAGGACGCGAATCAAAATCTTGAGTTCCTCAGGGATAACACGACCATCGGGTCCGTCCTCTGGTATGGTGATGGATTTGAACTGTCGGATCTCCTTTCTGAGGATATCCACGTCCTCTATCTGAGAGTAAGGAAGTCGAGAGTAGCACAGATAGTAGAGCACCATTCCGAGTGACCACATATCTCCCTTGAACGAGAATTCGTCAGTATATCGACCATCCACATCCACTATGTAGTGTCGGCAATAAAGAACACGGAGCAGTTAGTTGACTCGACCAATACAAAACATGCCTTTTTCAAGTAGTGGCAAACATAATTGTCGCTCTTTCATCGTACCTGCCAAGAGCTCGGGAGCCAAGAATTCAAGTGTGCCTGTCGCCCCTGTCCGATCCCTCTTGGCCTTCTGGTCCAGAATCTCGCACTCTCCGAAATCAGTGATCAGAATCCTCGGTCGTTCGCCTTTCTTTCCCTTCACCTGGCTGTCAGAGTAGCTCAGAAGCAGGTTCGGTGGCTTCAGGTCGCGATGAATAATTCCCAGCCGATGCAAATGCGCTAATCCCTCACAAATATCGAAAAAGAAACTCCAGATCTCGGTGATGGACAGGTGGCGCCGCAGAGAGGCCGTTCTTGAGTCGGATATACTGCTGCCTTCACCGCCCTTACCAGTTGTCGATGCCAAAGAACCCTGTAGTCGCTGTCGCTTAGTCTGCAGACGCTCCCTGGCTGTCATCTTTGTTGTCTCTCCATCTCTACTGGACCCTTCCACTCCTGCGTATGACTCGGTATTTGTGGGAAGCGTCGTCTCTAGAGGTTGTTCGATGTACTCCTCCAGGTTGCCGCCATTCGCGCATTCCATCAGAATAAAGAGACACGTAACCTCCGGTCCGAACTTGTGAAGCTGATGATTCTCGAGCCATGCGTGCTTATAGCTCACAATATTTGGATGATGCAACCTCTCCAGTAGGTGGACCTCCCTCAACATTTGAACGAGCCAGTCATGGTTATTTCCGACAGCGACCTTCTTGATTGCATACTCGCCCAGATGGATGCCGTCAAGGATATGCTGACAGAGAAAGACTGATCCGCGGAATCCTCGCCCTAATTTCCTCTGCTCGACAAAGAACCGATCGTAATAGCCCTGATTTAGTGCATCGTGCGAGAGATGTATTGGGTTTGGTACGTTTTGAGCACGGGCAGCGGCGCTGTTAGTATCGAGATCAAGGGATGCTCTGCTCGAAGATGTTGGCGATCCAATTGTCGACTGCGCATGAAAATGGCCTTTTGTATCTGCCTGCAGAGATCCGCGTCTTGAGAGCGCAATACTATAGTAACAGAAACCATACGACTTGTTAGCATCGATCATTAAAAGACCGTTCTTGCAGAGACCTTCGGATTTTTTTTTTCTTTTTTCTTTTTTTTTAACGTACTTTGCATCGGCTAGCATCCTGAAATAGTCCGAGTCCTGAAACGCGGCAGAATTGGTTGAGATATCCTATTTGAAGAAGAAAGTGCTTCAGTACAACTATTCGACATCGATTCACATAGCGTGAAGTGAAAACATTTCCCAGCCTGTGAGCTTGTGTCATACCTCGTCATCCCCTGGCTCGTCCAAGTCCAGTGGTCGTCGACACAAAACACATATCTGATCGTTACTAAGTGACTATTAAGACCGAGTGGTTTCTAGTTAGTGAACAAAGAAAGTCTCATTCTATAAGTGGCATAAAGAGTGACCTACCATCCGATGAGAGTCAAGTCCCACGGTTGTCTGGACGACCAAAGACTGCATCTGCGGATTGTAAAGCACAGTGCGACCTCGAGGTGGAGAGCGTCTAATATATCAAGTTCAGTTTTCTTCATATTATCAGTGGTCGGTCCATAGCAAATTAATAGAACATATGGATCAACTACTGCAAAAGCCCGCTTACAAAATGACACGCCATTCTTGAGAATAGGGTACAACTTCGCGATGGTCCCTTGAAGGTGAAAGCAACGCTCGTGGGGCCCTCTCATCGTCCCAGGCGTTAGGACTTATGGACAAGGACATGCTTCTATTGGTCCGCCGGACTGGGTACATATCGTTATCAAGTCGGTCAAAGGACGTAGGAGGCATAAGGTTACTCGGAGGTGAGCTGCTGAAGTGGACCGGTGGACGCAGTAGTTCAGAGGGATCGGATTCGTGGCCCTGGTCGGAGGTGTTATCGCAGTACTGCTGCAACTGCTGGTCGTTGTACGAAGGCGATGGTGCGAGTTGACGCTGCCGCCGGTCGTACCCTTGGACCAAAGTTCTGCTGGACGAGGTGTCTTCTGGCGTAGGTAGATGGCTGTTCTGGGTGCTGTTGATTTGCAGCAAGGGTGTCGAATGTGAATATGGACGAGAGTATCGGCCATATGTGTTGTCGTGGCCTTGAGCGTGGTCTTGAGCGTGTTGAGCGTGGTCATTGTTCCGCCATGAGATGGGTAGATTTGGGTGTGGAATCAGCCATGGCTGCTGTTGGTGCTCCAGTTGCAAAGGGTGTAACTGACTTGTCCTTGTCCCCATCGCGGTGCTATTGGCACTCATGGTGGTGTTGGTGGCACTCATGTTGCGATATTCTTCTTGCCCTCCTCCCTCGTCTTCATTCTGATTGTGATTCATGTCGCTGGCGCGAGAGAGACGTGGAGAGTGAATGGAAACGGGTGTCTTAAGAAAAGGAGCATGTATGAATGTGGGGTAAGGCACGTCACTTTTGGAAATAGAGCCCAGGCACACCATTGCCGCTGCAGACACACACAACCAATTAATTATAGCGCAATGTTGTTAGCTTTATTACATCGAGCGAGAAATAACTACAGACATTCATAGTGCGTTGAAGATAGCAGGGACAATGGTCATGACCAAGAACACGGCGGAGATCTTCTTTTGCAAGCTGGTTGCAGCCGAGGGCTTTGTGGCGGTCGTTGCCGTTGGGGCAGACGTGATCATGGACATGGTTCTCGTGACAGAGGACATGGTCATAGACATGGTCATGTTTGTCGAAGGAACAGCGACGGAAGAAGATGGAGCCATTGTGCCGCTGGTGATGACGGGACCTGGGGCGACAGAGGGCCTTCCGCTGGGCATGGTCATCGAGCCTGAGGGAGGAGAAGCCGTGGGCATGGAGACAGAAGCCGAGGACATGTTGCAATTATTTTTCGATGGGTAGAAGTGAAGAAAGAAGGGAGGTTTTGGAGTGGACAGATGGCATGAGATGAGGAAGAGTGGAGGTGAGGATGGGTATTTATATTCGTCTGAATGCTTAACAATCGCTTATGATCGGACAGGGTCCAGACGGCATGTGGACGAGACTTTGTTGGTATGGCAGTGCCTCATTTTCCCATCTGCACAAGAAGGTGCAGAAGCAATTTAGCCGCGTAGCGTGGGCTCTGTTCCTTTCTTCTTTCTGTACCCCTGTCCATTGTGTCCAGCTGGACAGCGACTTTCTTGTTGTGGTGGTTGTGCTTCCAAATGCAAGCAGAGGCATGCACAAGTGAGAATGTGAGAAGAAAGTTGCAGGCTTCATGGCAAGTGGACATTTAATTGGTCCTAGCTCGGCTCCCGCCGATACCACTTTTCCCTATACTGTTTCCAAATAGGATTCTATTTTTCATTTTTTTGTATCCCATATCGTGTCCTTAGTATATCAGTCACTGTTGCCAATTGCCCCTTCTGTGCTACCCTCCTGGGCGGTATCAACCTTGAAGATGACGATGCAGGCTGAGACGAATCCGGCCCTGCTTTTTTTATATAAAGAATCGTCTCTCGAATCGATTGGCACTGCAAATCCATCGGAGCTAACTAGCAATGATTTACAACAGTTGCCATTCACGCCGAAGCAGAGCCGATCCTCAGTCGCCTAGGGCCTATGCAGCAATTGCCACACCTCATCAGTGCGTTAAAAGCTGAAGGCTACGTGTTACAAAAAGGGTAGTATTCCCCATCCCCTCCGTGGTTGTCAACCGCCGCTGCAGGGCGTGCAGGTAGGGATTTTTTTTTTTTTTATTAACATAAATCCCCATGAGCACGCGACGAAGGGCGTGCAGTTAGGGAGCCTATTTTTATAAGCGTGCAGTTAGGGATACAATGCACTTAGGGAACGAATGCAAATAAAGGAATAATCAGGTATATCAGACCCTTGTGAACGCGAAAAAAAAAAAACTAGGAATGCGGCTTGAATCCCACCTGTTTAAGTCTGGAGGGACATACCGGGAGCACCCGCTAATGGCATCTCCTAGCTTGAGTTCGATCTCGGACAGTGACTTTTTTTTTTTTACTATCTTCAGCGATAGGGACAATCTATTTGACAACCGGGTTGACACTGTTAGTTGGCAACCCCTATACTAACTCCATGTAAGGCCAACATTTTTTAAATGTCGATTATGCTAGTAGTCCTTTTGGTATTGCATCATGAGATGGTATCCTTCGTCCTTGTCTTCGCATAGCACAAGGCACTTGAAGCACAAGGCACTTGAGGCGCAGGGTCCATTAACGTCCGTGAGCAGCAACGTTAGAGTACAAGTGCGCATGAAATGAACGCTCACAGTGCCGTGTGTCTCACTCAGCCAGGCACACGATGGTATTTCCGAACAAACATATTTTCCTTGGGCACTATCGCGTACGGGGCGCAGCTGTGAACGCGCAGATGAGAGCCGTCTGTTTCATTCAGGTCGAGGTAGGCCCGTGTTTTGCCACCAGTTCGTACATGGCGTTCGCATGATGAGCGAGACACACGTGGAAATGCATTCATTAGAGACAGAATAGGTCTATTGAAAGGCACTACTCGAATACGAACTATTCTGCATGGATTTTGTGCCAGCCTTCATAACTGCAAACACAGCAGCACATAAGAAAATTTATCAATTTAGCTAGAGATAGATCTATTGAATAGGAAATCTATTAGACAAACCAGGCTGTGGAGTTTGTCGACTGCGCCTCTTGTCTGCATGCGCGAAAGGTGCAGGAGCGACAATGTTGTGGACGTGCTCAGCTTCGATGTACGCGTTGTTGCCATTGCTGCTGGTGCTGTTGCTCTTGCTGTTACTCTTGCTGCTGCTGTCGTCGTGGTCCTGTTCACTTGAACTTGCCTTTGTATACTAGTCTGCTGAGTCCACTGCCATAAGCCGAATAATTAAAGATACGTCTTTCCTCAGAGGGACCCTGCTATTTACTCCCTGTAGCAGATTGAATAGCAAGCAAGTGAAGCGACCAACGTCCAGGCAGTCTTCCTCTCTCCCTCTCTCCCTCTCTCTTCTTTCTTTTCTGCACGGGAGTGTATGCATACAGAATCGTGGGTGAGGGTGGGAACCATGTATAGGGACAGGCCCCAGCTCCATATCAAAAAAAGGAGGTTGGTGTTCTTTTGCCTCAACCGTTATCAGAGATTGGGCGTTTCCTTTTTGGGTTAGGTTTAACCTCATTTGGCAACATCCAACCCATGGATCACTGCTGCTTCTGCACGCTGCTTTCCTCGATAGTGCTGCTCATTTGTCCTGTGCCGCTCCATCCACACGTCTCTCGCGTCGCACCGATGAGGGTCGACTGCCGCACTTGCTCGTCTTCTTCTTGTGCGCCAACGATCATTTCTGATCGACAACGAGAAAGACAGAGACAGAGACAGAGACAGAGACAGAGACAGAGACAGAGACAGAGACAGAGACAGAGACAGAGACAGAGACAGAGACAGAGACAGAGACAGAGACAGAGTCAGGTACAGGGGATTTCCTGCTGGACAAAAGCTGGCGTCTGTCAAAAGCATTTCCCAGCAGCTGACTCCCCCGCCTTTTCTCTTGGCACCCGTCCTGCTGTTCCTTATGCTTCATGCTCCATGTTTCATGTCCCGTATGTCATCCGCTGCTATTTATGCTCTACTCATTACTCTCTACTCTCGGTATTCTTCATATTCTCCACAGTGGCCATAGTATTGCAGCATTCTATGGTCCAGTGATCTTCGGATTTTGCATTTTGAGCCCAAAGCGCGTCCGCAATGCAGTGGCCCCCGTCGCACCAGAGCCACGGACAGCAGGTGCCTCTCCTCTCATTGCCAGTGCCAACGAGCCAATAAATCTAGAATAAGCTGAACTGAACTGAATAAGACTGAATAAACCTGGACACCGTCAACTCCGGGTGCCTTTCATCGAGTGTGCATATACCCAGAGCATGAAGCACAGGCCATATAAACCCTGGTTCCCTTCACCTTTGCTCCACATACTCTCTCACACTCACACACTCACACTTACACACTGACACACACACTCTCACTCTTTCTTTCCAGCCCTTTGTGTCTCTTCAGAAGCACCATCACATCAACCACTTTACATATCTTCATCGACCACCGCCACAGACCATCATGAACACCACCGCACTCATCCCTACCATTGCTGCATATATTGTTGCGGCAGCCGATCCAGTCTGTGTTGACGCGCAGCTTGCTCTGCCGCTCCTCACACAGATTGTTAAAAAGATACGCCAGGAACACCGCGGCCGGGTAATCTGTCCTATCAGCACCGTGACTGGATGTGCTTCTCTATCTCCACACTCACCTACGGTCACCCGCACTCACACATATATCTCAATCATGTCCCTCCTTGTCTTCTTTTGCAGGGTATCGTCCTGTTTGTAGTGCCAGACACGCGTGCTCTCGATCCGAGCCTAGGCCGCTCCTACCAGAGCAACCGCATCAAAGCCACAGTCGTTCAGGGCGCTGCGGCTCCAGAGACAGCCAACGCCCAGATGTGGCAAGCACTCTCAATGGAGTTCGAGGTAATAACGACCTCTGTGGAGATTGCGACCAGCCTTCTGAGGCATCCATTGGTGCACGTCCGAGTGGTAAGTCCTATGATTCCATATCCGCACAAACATACGCCAGAAAGAAGATAGAGTGAACAGTACAGCAGCATGAGCTTTGAAGTGCCTGCAGGCGCCATAGGTTCGAGTCGGTGGTTTGGGCGTTTGAATACGCCGTCGCAAACCTCGGCCCATGGTGTGCAGTCAGTGTATGGCACCCTGCATTGCAGGACTTCAAGGCCAGAGCCATGAGTACGGCGTCAGCGTCGGCTCATGAGAGTCGTCAAGCGATTGACGACTTGACAGCCATTGCGGACAACCTCGAACATGCGCCGCAACCGAACCCCACGATCCGAGGCAAGCTGGATGGGTTGATCAGGATCCTCCAGTCATATCGCAACGAAGCCAATGGCTTCTGCGCGATTGTCCTCGTTGAGCGTGAGGTAATTGCGCGCGTCCTGTGCGAGTTCCTGGCGCAATTCGGACAGGAGTTTGGTCTGGACTTCGTCCGGTCTTCACTGCTTGCTGGTCGCCGAATCAAGAGGGTGGATGTTGGTCGGCGCCGCGAGCAGGCTGCAAGGGAGAAACAGGCGATCAAGGGCTTCCACCGAGGTGACAGGAACCTCCTGGTCACTTCCGAGGCCAACGAGGAGTTTGCCATGGACGCCATCCACTTTGGTTTGGTTGTCAGGTATGTCCTTCAAGGCCTGTTGCGCGTTATATTGATTCGAGTTGAAGCAGTAAGGTCGATCTAACCGCTATCTTTTTTCTTTTTTCTTTCTTCTTGTCCTTGTCCTTGTTCTTTTTTTTTTTTTTTTTTTTTTTTTCCTCCTTTCTCTCTCACTCTCCCTCTCGCTCCCTCTCTTTTACACCCACAATAGGCTCGAACTGCGGGATGAGGACCTCTACGCGTACATAAAGTCGTCCTCTTTGGCTCAAGACCAGGTCAGGGACGTTGTAGTGCTGAGTTCCTGTCGCGACGCGTCCCACCTCGTGCTCGTCACCCCTTCTGCGATCCGGCCGCGAGCACCTGCTGCTCCCAAAATTACCCCTGCCGCAACGTCTGCTGTCGGCAACATTGTGTTCAAGTTCGTCATTTCTCTCAACTTTTTCGTGCGGGATTTAACACTAGGCTAGGGCCGCCTGACCACGCAGACGAGCGTCATGGTAAGCAATCAAATCCTCAATCAAAACCACCCTGCAACGAGCAGTAGTGGCTCCAAAAGACAGCGAGCTAATCCGAAAGTAAGGGCGGACAAGGCTAAGCTGGGGCGAGCTTTCCTTGAGGATGGTTGGGACGAGGTTCTGGCTGCAGCCGTAGTGCTTGTTGGCCCTCTACCGGGGATTACATTCTGGAGCAATTTTTGGGATGAATTCCAAGATGCTGCAGCAAGAGCGGCAAACACATTGCCTCGCCCACGGACACAGGACTTCGAGCGTCTTCACGCTGTGGAGGGCATCATAGGGCAGACGTTCGCCTATTGGTGTATGCCCTGGACATGGCCACGCTCCAGTATCAGCGCCTGGAGTTTATCGGGGACTGCGCGCTGGATTTGGTTGCCGTCGAGTACTGAGCGAGGAGATTCCCAGTGAAGGTAAATAGCACGATTTCGACGCTGCAGTCATCGAGTGCCAGAAATGATGTGCTGGCGGTGGTGACCTCCCAGCTACAGCTCCACCATCATATCGAGGCAAAGCAGAACCAGAAGGATAGCCTGAAGCGTGTAGCCAGCCTAGTCGGTACGGAGGTGCAGGTGCCACCAGGACTGAATTTCTTATACTACTTGAAGGGTCTTAAGCTCACAAAGAGCGCCGGTGATCTGCTCGAGGCTGTTTTTGGGGCCGTTTTTGTAGACTCAAAATTCGAGCTGACAGCTGTGGCCGGTATATTCGAGCGATGCATGTCGCCCTTGCTGGAGAAGCACATTGCACAATACAGCGATAGTATATATTAAATAGAAAAATAAAATAAAAAAATAAGAAAAGATAGAAAGGCTTTTGTGTCCGATAGCAGGGTGTGCACGGCAGGAGTAAGGTGTTGAAGCTCAAAGTACAAAATCCTAATACCTAGTCGATACAGCGCAATTCAGCAAGGAACCATAGGAGGAGTGTCTGCTTCATGAATCCACTAGTTGCTTGATGTAGCGTATATGCGCTTTTTGCATGGTATCATTGTGGATGGGACGATCTACATCATCCCACACACAAACATACTTTGGGCGACCCAACACTCCATGCAATCGCTACCAAGGCAGGAGGTTATGAGCCACTTGAGATCACTTGATGATCCAAAGAACCCTGATGACTTGCTCGGCGCTGTCTTCGGGGCGGGTTTAACGGACTTCAGCTGACAGCAGTCGCCTGAGCCATTGAGTGCTGCATGCGGCCTGCGCTTAGCCAGCAATTTGCATAGAGAGGCATCTATTAAAGGTATTTCCCAAGAAACGTCCAATCCTATTTGGGAAACAATATATGAAGCGAGAGCATTAAAGCTTTGAAAGTGAGAACGATTGGAGTCAAGAGCGCAACTAAGTATCATTTCACAAATGGGTCATGAACTCATTAGTTATCGATAAGCCGTGTATGTACTGTAATATCTCACTGTCTCGAGCTCATTGGTCGTCTCGGCAGCTTTGGCGAGATATTTCATGGATCAGTATTCGGCCGCGAGCACGCTCAACACGCAATCACCCACCGGTTCCAGAGGCTCGAACTAGTGAAGTCGAGGTCCAACGCGTAGTAAAGCAGGGCGAAGTCGTTGAAAGAGCAGCCAATGGCGTACAAGTACATCGTTCGGAAATTTTCATTCGTGCTGGAGGTGGTTTCGGTCTGAAGCATTCACTCCAATTGAAAATATATAGATAGGCGACAATGTATGTTTTTCCTTACTCATCCTCCAGCAATCAAAGCCTATCTACAAAGAGCCCTAACTCATGCTCTAATCTAGATTTATTGATGCGACGCAACTTTTCCGCGACATCGACAAGGTCTTGAAAGACACTTTTTGCGTCGTCCAACTTCTTTTTTGATGGACTTGATTCCGGCGATACGTATTCTTGAAGAATGGCAGCGGCGGGAGAGCGGAGAACAAAAGTGATCTTCTCCTTGTTTGGCCTCTGAGGAAACCGATAGTCCATGTCCGAATCATCAGCCTCATGAATCTCGTCTTCCTTAACAAAACCATTCTCCTTGTACTGCTTGAAAACGTCCCTGAATCTTTCATCTCCAATTATTCTCATGGCAGACTCAAGGACCGACTTGGAAGGGTCTTCGGTATTGCACATGCTGACATAATTGAAGACGGCAACGTTTTCTTCCCCGAACGAATAGCAAAAAAAATGCAGAGGAAAATGCTTAAACAAAACACGCGTTACCGGAAGACATAAAGGTTCAGGCTAGTTGATCCTATTCCCAGCTACGCAGCATTCATGAGTACACAGCGTACATGAGTGCAGGGTTTGACGTTCTGACATGTGCTGGCTGCACCCCCTATCATCTCGTAACCACGCGCTGGCGCTGCTTAAGCCCAACCCACAGATAAATGGCCCTCCGGGTGTCCCCCATGTGTTCGGCTGATTATTCTCCGCGCGATTGCGGTTAGCACTTTCACGTTACCTTTACCGAGCCGCTTAATGAGAGAGGGAGTAAGAGCGTGGGATACCTGCAGGGGTTGCCACCAATTTCAGACACAGCCACCCCAGCGTGCACGTGCCCCAAATCTTTGTTGGCCACACAGCTCTTTTTTTTCTCTTCTCTTTTCTTCTTCACTCCTCACCCCCCCCCCCCCCCCCCCCCCCTCCCTCACTCTCCCTTCTGCACTATTCACTCCCTTCTGCGCTCTTCACTATCTTTCACACAGCGGACAAGACCACCACGGTAAGCAAACAGAGCTACAAAGCTCCTCCTCTTTTCCTTTCCTGCCAACTGGCAACACAACCACAACCACTGCCACTACCACTCCTGCTGCCACTGCACCCCTTGTACCCACTTCTACTGCCACTGCACCTCCTGGTACGTGCTCCACTTCTGTTTCTCGTCCACTGACCACTTGGCCTTGCTCGGTCCTACCCTACCCTGCCCTTCCTCTCCTTCCTTCTGTCCCTTGACAGAGCAGCACCTCTTTCGTCTCTGCTCCCACAACAGACCCCCACAAGGTAGGCAAAGCGCGTCCACACCACCTTCCCTTGCACACAACCAACCTCCTTGCTCACTTGCTGAGCTTTGTCATTAAGGCAGGGGCCCCCAGAGCGTTTTTAGTCCCTTTTCACGTGTCCACGTGGGTGTGCTTTATAAATGCATAGAATATGGCAGCTAGTATCAGTGCCATTTCGTGTGTGCCGGTTTGAAGAAGATTTGTTGCAGCACAACGGCAGCCAGGCGCAGTGCGACGGGTCCTACCACTGACCTACATGTGGATTCCTCACGCTGTGGAGGATGAAGCATTGGGCATGTCGCACAGCATTTAAGTGTGTGCGGGGTGAGGGTAGGGCCTTAGAGCCACGATCCAACAATGGCCCCCGAGTGCTCCATTTAGTGACACAACGGCACACGCCCTTTCTGGTGTTGCACTACCCCCTGTTGCTTCATGTACAGCATGCAAGCGCACCACTCCTTCTGCTCATGGGCATAGTGTGCTGGGGCCCTCTTTTGAGCCCATACGGCGCAGCACACTGGGTAGATGGCAAACGCAATACCGCTTGGGATATTACACAGCGAGCAGCATCCTCTATCTCCACAATTTTCTGCACAGTTGTTCTTCTTTCCGTTTCCACTTCGGATTCTTGTGTGCTCCTTGAGCGCCAAGATGGAAATATGGATGTTTGAAACCGGATGGGTAGCTCGCTGTCCTTTTCTATGTAGTTTGTTTCTCGTTTCTTTTTGTTCTGCTGGTTCTCAGTTCCCCAAGGCAAAGCGAGACAAAGGCGGGGGGATGGGTTGTGGAAGTTAGCGCGCCTTCACAGGCTGTGTGATATTGGCAAGTTACGTCTACAGAGCTAACAATTTCTTTTTTCTTTTGCATGTTCTCTCTCTTTATGGTTGCAAACACAACAACGCGAGCACGATGCGCACTGGACGACACCAAACGGCACCGGAAGGTATTGGACGGTCCTGGTCGGCACCAGACGAGAGTACGACGACACCAGAGTGGCACTGGAACAGCAGCAGGACGTATTCAGGGCGATTGAACCGGATGGTCGAGCAGGGCAGGGCGAATGAACAATACAGTCGAGTAAGGACGGCTTGAATGCAAATAAACAATCATATCACACATAACAAGTGCACGGGCACCAGCAATGCTAACGAAAGTGATGCGGAGCTTGTTGCTTTGGACGCATCGCCATGTTGTTTCTTTCGTCTTCGTCTTTGTCTTCGTCTTTGTTTTCGTCTTTGTTTTCGTTTTCGCGTTCTTTTTTTTTTTTTTTGTTGCCATATCGCGCAAGCAGCTGCTACGAACAGCATCCCATGGTCTTGCAGTCTATCATGGCCAAGCATGGGAATGCTTCTTCGATCTTTTCTGCACAGCTGTCCCCAGAACACAGATATCGCTCTGAAAAAGTTTTCTATTCTCTTTTCACTCTAGCCTCGCATGCCTTGGCTTGCATCAACAATCAACGGTTATCCTCGCTCCTATTCACCGACTGCGTGTTTCTGCTCAGCGGATATCTATCACTTAATGTGATACATACCCATCCTGCAACTGTATCCTTAAACAGGTCTGCATCGGCATCGCCCAGCACTCCTCCGACAACCCGCGTTTCCGTCATACTTGGGTACGCATACACAGATTATTCCATAGTTAGGTCCGGCGCACTTGATCACTTCAGCAAGTACAATCTATTCAGACCAAGAACGATAGTTAACACTCGGTAGGATGTCCTCTTCATGGCGCCTGCGAGCGACAGGGATTGACCAGAAGGCAAGTCTAAGGTGAGCAGAAGGGCCTTATCGGGTTAAACGCTCGCTGCCTGTTCCAGGTGTAGATAAGCTCCTGATATGCTGGGAGGTTCAACTTCAGCAGTGCGCTGAACTGCTGTGGGGACTAGGCGAAGCCTGCTGACACCATGGCATATATATTCGGGGTCCCAAACTTTTGTATGTATGTTCCATTTGTGCTCCGCTGCAATTCCATCTGAAGAGAGTGAGAATGGAGTGAAAACGGAACGGAAAGCCGTTGGAACGGTTGTTGAAGCGGTTCAGACCTTTCCATTTATATTTCATTTGTGCTCTGCTTCAGGCATCACACAGCTTACTTCCTCCTGGCATGCAAAAATGCAGAAATGTAAAAAAACAAGAATGCACAAAAATCCCTTTCACTTGCTCACATCCGCCATCATCCACTCTCGATTTGACGATAGAGTCTCGTATGGAACCTCAATTAGCTCCTACAAAGCACTCTCTAGCGCAGCAGTCGTCTAACATCACTTCCAAAGAAGACGGTGCGTGGCGAGATATCCATTTTTAGGCGCCGTTCAATCGACACCTGATCATATGCTAAACTTGATGTTCCCAGAGTTAAATATGGCCAATGATTTTTTTTTTTTTTACTTTGGAAGAAGCCGGGAAGCCTCAATATGATCGCAAAGGAAAGCGGAGAAGGGTAAGGAGATAGTGGTGACGAACGACGCGCCATATGAAACAGAAGGAAGCTGACACTCTTTGTTTTAATGACTTTGATGTCGATATCTGTTCCAGATGGCTTGAAATCGAATCGAATAGGGCGGTGGTCTTTAGGGCAGGCAACATAAACCGTATAGGAGAAACAACAAGCGCGAAAATGCCTGGAAGGTGCTGACTAACTGTTTCAATACAGTGTCCGATGAACCTTGCAACATTACAGGAAAAGCAATGAGGAGCGCACTTTGAGATATAGATACGGTCTCTTTCAGGTCAAGGCAGCAGTCGACGATACTGAGTTCGATGTTGCCATAGCTGATCTCGCTGGAGAGATCCAGATGGCCAAACAGAACCGGGAGCATATGTGTCACGGCTACGATAGGATGGATGCTATGTTTGGACGAAAGCCGAATGTCGATCTGGCACATGAGGGTTAGTTTGATCAAGCAATGACCTCTGGGAAGACTACTCGAGGATGCAGTGCTACGAAGTCTCGAGAGAAGGATGCAGAGGATGCAGGGGATTTTAAACAACGCTGAGCATGCAGAGAATATTGAGGATGCCACACGTGTCCAGGATGCCGAGGATATTTAGGACAACAAAAAGGCCTGGAGGAGCGCACTTGCGCCTGAAAAACATTTCGTGGGACCTGAGGACGTTGATCTTGGAAGTCCTGGATTCAGTACGAGAAAATGCGTTGTTGCAAATAGAAGGATGATGGCCAGTGTTGATTTTGCCTCGGAAAGCAGCTGGGAGCAGCCTTTATTAACGCTGGCTAGCCCAAGGTTCGGCTCCACGCTCAAACGACGGCTCTTTGATGGATAAAGCTCCCTGAGCAGAGTTTCTAAACAATCCGACGCACGCAGAGCGCCTCCCAAACCGGATGCTGGTTGCTTTCGTCTTCGTTGACATATCTTTACGTGCTATGTACTTTTCGCTTAGTTTTAGAATCCATCGAAGAGAAGAACCTGCAGTTGGAGGAAGAGAAGCCTCAGTCCACACAGAAGGTCGCATCAGGTACGAACAAGCACCAGCTTATGAACAGTATTGTTGATTAAAACAGCCGTTGGGCCAAATTCTGGAGTTCCTTGACGCGGCGAAGAAATTCTTACAAGTACTTTATTATCATGTCGATATCACATCGATATCGCTCCAATAAATTACCCTTTGCGCGATTTGTTTCGAGCGCTGTTTCCTTCAAGCTCTTTCCGTACTGTTATAGCGGTCGCTGTCGTATCAGTTAGGCTGGCGTCGAAGGTGAACATCTTCCGCGTACATCTTTTTCCAAGCATCGCCAAGGAATGCTGGCGTGTTGAGCAGCACACAACATCCCATCGCTCATTCAAACAATGACCGCACATCTTCATTGCGGATACATATCCTCATTTCCCTGAGTAAGCTCCACCGAGATTTCAATACGCCGATACAGTGTTCATCGCGGACACAGGACATAGCCAAGCAATAGTTGAAAGCAGTATTGTCAGGGTGGTTCGCTGCAGGAGACTTAGTATGCAGGGATGAAGTACTTTGTGAGTCTATGCGCAGAGTCAGCAAGGAGGTTCTCGCTGAGTAAGAAGTGCAACTCCAGATTCTTGTATACTTTCATCCGATTGTAGACCTTATAGTCCGCGCAAGTTCCTGGGCAACCCACATGCATCGTCACGTTCTGTCTATCCACATCGCAAACAGTCTGCATGGCAACAGAATTTCTATTAAAAACACCTGTCAGTAAAGATGAGTGATGGGTAGATCATATCTGGCCATGATGCAAAACTCCGTACCTTTTTCTTGTCAAAGTATACTTCTCCATCCATGGCGGGCTCCTGGGATAGAAGTATAGTCATCCCATCAATGAATCCAATGCAACTGGAAAGCCTTCCTCACACATTATTTGACCAATTTCCTCCCTTCATTTCTCGTTCGGCCATGCACTCACTCATGCACGATGGACAACAACGCGGTTATCATTCGCTTTTTGCACAGCGTCATTGTACCTGTTTCAGTCCCAAGCTCAAAGGTCGGCTCGAAAACACCTACTTGTTTCCATAATGTCCAAATCCAGACAAAACGACAGCCAGGTGCCGCTAGGAATCTACCTAGGAGTATGCTGTATTGTTGTGGAACACTGATAATCTCGATTAAGGATACATACGGCAGAAAAGTCCTCTTTCGTAGTGCTAAAAGTCGTGCAACACTGGTTGCTTGAAGGTTGAGAAAGATATTCAGAAGGAAATAAGCTTGTCGATTGCATGGTTGTAGGTAATGGATGGATCGAGAATTCGCAACCATGGCGTAAAGAAGGACTGCGTCTTCTTCCTCTTTTTCCTCGTCATCCGCACTTACAAGGACAATCCACATGCCCAGATCGGCGATGAGCTGCATACGTTCAGGCATGCGAGAACTAAAACAAAGACGAAAACAAAGACGAAGACAAAGACGAAGACGAAAGAAACAACATGGCGATGCGTCCAAAGCAACAAGCTCCGCATCACTTTCGTTAGCATTGCTGGTGCCCGTGCACTTGTTATGTGTGATATGATTGTTTATTTGCATTCAAGCCGTCCTTACTCGACTGTATTGTTCATTCGCCCTGCCCTGCTCGACCATCCGGTTCAATCGCCCTGAATACGTCCTGCTGCTGTTCCAGTGCCACTCTGGTGTCGTCGTACTCTCGTCTGGTGCCGACCAGGACCGTCCAATACCTTCCGGTGCCGTTTGGTGTCGTCCAGTGCGCATCGTGCTCGCGTTGTTGTGTTTGCAACCATAAAGAGAGAGAACATGCAAAAGAAAAAAGAAATTGTTAGCTCTGTAGACGTAACTTGCCAATATCACACAGCCTGTGAAGGCGCGCTAACTTCCACAACCCATCCCCCCGCCTTTGTCTCGCTTTGCCTTGGGGAACTGAGAACCAGCAGAACAAAAAGAAACGAGAAACAAACTACATAGAAAAGGACAGCGAGCTACCCATCCGGTTTCAAACATCCATATTTCCATCTTGGCGCTCAAGGAGCACACAAGAATCCGAAGTGGAAACGGAAAGAAGAACAACTGTGCAGAAAATTGTGGAGATAGAGGATGCTGCTCGCTGTGTAATATCCCAAGCGGTATTGCGTTTGCCATCTACCCAGTGTGCTGCGCCGTATGGGCTCAAAAGAGGGCCCCAGCACACTATGCCCATGAGCAGAAGGAGTGGTGCGCTTGCATGCTGTACATGAAGCAACAGGGGGTAGTGCAACACCAGAAAGGGCGTGTGCCGTTGTGTCACTAAATGGAGCACTCGGGGGCCATTGTTGGATCGTGGCTCTAAGGCCCTACCCTCACCCCGCACACACTTAAATGCTGTGCGACATGCCCAATGCTTCATCCTCCACAGCGTGAGGAATCCACATGTAGGTCAGTGGTAGGACCCGTCGCACTGCGCCTGGCTGCCGTTGTGCTGCAACAAATCTTCTTCAAACCGGCACACACGAAATGGCACTGATACTAGCTGCCATATTCTATGCATTTATAAAGCACACCCACGTGGACACGTGAAAAGGGACTAAAAACGCTCTGGGGGCCCCTGCCTTAATGACAAAGCTCAGCAAGTGAGCAAGGAGGTTGGTTGTGTGCAAGGGAAGGTGGTGTGGACGCGCTTTGCCTACCTTGTGGGGGTCTGTTGTGGGAGCAGAGACGAAAGAGGTGCTGCTCTGTCAAGGGACAGAAGGAAGGAGAGGAAGGGCAGGGTAGGGTAGGACCGAGCAAGGCCAAGTGGTCAGTGGACGAGAAACAGAAGTGGAGCACGTACCAGGAGGTGCAGTGGCAGTAGAAGTGGGTACAAGGGGTGCAGTGGCAGCAGGAGTGGTAGTGGCAGTGGTTGTGGTTGTGTTGCCAGTTGGCAGGAAAGGAAAAGAGGAGGAGCTTTGTAGCTCTGTTTGCTTACCGTGGTGGTCTTGTCCGCTGTGTGAAAGATAGTGAAGAGCGCAGAAGGGAGTGAATAGTGCAGAAGGGAGAGTGAGGGAGGGGGGGGGGGGGGGGGGGGGGGGTGAGGAGTGAAGAAGAAAAGAGAAGAGAAAAAAAAGAGCTGTGTGGCCAACAAAGATTTGGGGCACGTGCACGCTGGGGTGGCTGTGTCTGAAATTGGTGGCAACCCCTGCAGGTATCCCACGCTCTTACTCCCTCTCTCATTAAGCGGCTCGGTAAAGGTAACGTGAAAGTGCTAACCGCAATCGCGCGGAGAATAATCAGCCGAACACATGGGGGACACCCGGAGGGCCATTTATCTGTGGGTTGGGCTTAAGCAGCGCCAGCGCGTGGTTACGAGATGATAGGGGGTGCAGCCAGCACATGTCAGAACGTCAAACCCTGCACTCATGTACGCTGTGTACTCATGAATGCTGCGTAGCTGGGAATAGGATCAACTAGCCTGAACCTTTATGTCTTCCGGTAACGCGTGTTTTGTTTAAGCATTTTCCTCTGCATTTTTTTTGCTATTCGTTCGGGGAAGAAAACGTTGCCGTCTTCAATTATGTCAGCATGTGCAATACCGAAGACCCTTCCAAGTCGGTCCTTGAGTCTGCCATGAGAATAATTGGAGATGAAAGATTCAGGGACGTTTTCAAGCAGTACAAGGAGAATGGTTTTGTTAAGGAAGACGAGATTCATGAGGCTGATGATTCGGACATGGACTATCGGTTTCCTCAGAGGCCAAACAAGGAGAAGATCACTTTTGTTCTCCGCTCTCCCGCCGCTGCCATTCTTCAAGAATACGTATCGCCGGAATCAAGTCCATCAAAAAAGAAGTTGGACGACGCAAAAAGTGTCTTTCAAGACCTTGTCGATGTCGCGGAAAAGTTGCGTCGCATCAATAAATCTAGATTAGAGCATGAGTTAGGGCTCTTTGTAGATAGGCTTTGATTGCTGGAGGATGAGTAAGGAAAAACATACATTGTCGCCTATCTATATATTTTCAATTGGAGTGAATGCTTCAGACCGAAACCACCTCCAGCACGAATGAAAATTTCCGAACGATGTACTTGTACGCCATTGGCTGCTCTTTCAACGACTTCGCCCTGCTTTACTACGCGTTGGACCTCGACTTCACTAGTTCGAGCCTCTGGAACCGGTGGGTGATTGCGTGTTGAGCGTGCTCGCGGCCGAATACTGATCCATGAAATATCTCGCCAAAGCTGCCGAGACGACCAATGAGCTCGAGACAGTGAGATATTACAGTACATACACGGCTTATCGATAACTAATGAGTTCATGACCCATTTGTGAAATGATACTTAGTTGCGCTCTTGACTCCAATCGTTCTCACTTTCAAAGCTTTAATGCTCTCGCTTCATATATTGTTTCCCAAATAGGATTGGACGTTTCTTGGGAAATACCTTTAATAGATGCCTCTCTATGCAAATTGCTGGCTAAGCGCAGGCCGCATGCAGCACTCAATGGCTCAGGCGACTGCTGTCAGCTGAAGTCCGTTAAACCCGCCCCGAAGACAGCGCCGAGCAAGTCATCAGGGTTCTTTGGATCATCAAGTGATCTCAAGTGGCTCATAACCTCCTGCCTTGGTAGCGATTGCATGGAGTGTTGGGTCGCCCAAAGTATGTTTGTGTGTGGGATGATGTAGATCGTCCCATCCACAATGATACCATGCAAAAAGCGCATATACGCTACATCAAGCAACTAGTGGATTCATGAAGCAGACACTCCTCCTATGGTTCCTTGCTGAATTGCGCTGTATCGACTAGGTATTAGGATTTTGTACTTTGAGCTTCAACACCTTACTCCTGCCGTGCACACCCTGCTATCGGACACAAAAGCCTTTCTATCTTTTCTTATTTTTTTATTTTATTTTTCTATTTAATATATACTATCGCTGTATTGTGCAATGTGCTTCTCCAGCAAGGGCGACATGCATCGCTCGAATATACCGGCCACAGCTGTCAGCTCGAATTTTGAGTCTACAAAAACGGCCCCAAAAACAGCCTCGAGCAGATCACCGGCGCTCTTTGTGAGCTTAAGACCCTTCAAGTAGTATAAGAAATTCAGTCCTGGTGGCACCTGCACCTCCGTACCGACTAGGCTGGCTACACGCTTCAGGCTATCCTTCTGGTTCTGCTTTGCCTCGATATGATGGTGGAGCTGTAGCTGGGAGGTCACCACCGCCAGCACATCATTTCTGGCACTCGATGACTGCAGCGTCGAAATCGTGCTATTTACCTTCACTGGGAATCTCCTCGCTCAGTACTCGACGGCAACCAAATCCAGCGCGCAGTCCCCGATAAACTCCAGGCGCTGATACTGGAGCGTGGCCATGTCCAGGGCATACACCAATAGGCGAACGTCTGCCCTATGATGCCCTCCACAGCGTGAAGACGCTCGAAGTCCTGTGTCCGTGGGCGAGGCAATGTGTTTGCCGCTCTTGCTGCAGCATCTTGGAATTCATCCCAAAAATTGCTCCAGAATGTAATCCCCGGTAGAGGGCCAACAAGCACTACGGCTGCAGCCAGAACCTCGTCCCAACCATCCTCAAGGAAAGCTCGCCCCAGCTTAGCCTTGTCCGCCCTTACTTTCGGATTAGCTCGCTGTCTTTTGGAGCCACTACTGCTCGTTGCAGGGTGGTTTTGATTGAGGATTTGATTGCTTACCATGACGCTCGTCTGCGTGGTCAGGCGGCCCTAGCCTAGTGTTAAATCCCGCACGAAAAAGTTGAGAGAAATGACGAACTTGAACACAATGTTGCCGACAGCAGACGTTGCGGCAGGGGTAATTTTGGGAGCAGCAGGTGCTCGCGGCCGGATCGCAGAAGGGGTGACGAGCACGAGGTGGGACGCGTCGCGACAGGAACTCAGCACTACAACGTCCCTGACCTGGTCTTGAGCCAAAGAGGACGACTTTATGTACGCGTAGAGGTCCTCATCCCGCAGTTCGAGCCTATTGTGGGTGTAAAAGAGAGGGAGCGAGAGGGAGAGTGAGAGAGAAAGGAGGAAAAAAAAAAAAAAAAAAAAAAAAAGAACAAGGACAAGGACAAGAAGAAAGAAAAAAGAAAAAAGATAGCGGTTAGATCGACCTTACTGCTTCAACTCGAATCAATATAACGCGCAACAGGCCTTGAAGGACATACCTGACAACCAAACCAAAGTGGATGGCGTCCATGGCAAACTCCTCGTTGGCCTCGGAAGTGACCAGGAGGTTCCTGTCACCTCGGTGGAAGCCCTTGATCGCCTGTTTCTCCCTTGCAGCCTGCTCGCGGCGCCGACCAACATCCACCCTCTTGATTCGGCGACCAGCAAGCAGTGAAGACCGGACGAAGTCCAGACCAAACTCCTGTCCGAATTGCGCCAGGAACTCGCACAGGACGCGCGCAATTACCTCACGCTCAACGAGGACAATCGCGCAGAAGCCATTGGCTTCGTTGCGATATGACTGGAGGATCCTGATCAACCCATCCAGCTTGCCTCGGATCGTGGGGTTCGGTTGCGGCGCATGTTCGAGGTTGTCCGCAATGGCTGTCAAGTCGTCAATCGCTTGACGACTCTCATGAGCCGACGCTGACGCCGTACTCATGGCTCTGGCCTTGAAGTCCTGCAATGCAGGGTGCCATACACTGACTGCACACCATGGGCCGAGGTTTGCGACGGCGTATTCAAACGCCCAAACCACCGACTCGAACCTATGGCGCCTGCAGGCACTTCAAAGCTCATGCTGCTGTACTGTTCACTCTATCTTCTTTCTGGCGTATGTTTGTGCGGATATGGAATCATAGGACTTACCACTCGGACGTGCACCAATGGATGCCTCAGAAGGCTGGTCGCAATCTCCACAGAGGTCGTTATTACCTCGAACTCCATTGAGAGTGCTTGCCACATCTGGGCGTTGGCTGTCTCTGGAGCCGCAGCGCCCTGAACGACTGTGGCTTTGATGCGGTTGCTCTGGTAGGAGCGGCCTAGGCTCGGATCGAGAGCACGCGTGTCTGGCACTACAAACAGGACGATACCCTGCAAAAGAAGACAAGGAGGGACATGATTGAGATATATGTGTGAGTGCGGGTGACCGTAGGTGAGTGTGGAGATAGAGAAGCACATCCAGTCACGGTGCTGATAGGACAGATTACCCGGCCGCGGTGTTCCTGGCGTATCTTTTTAACAATCTGTGTGAGGAGCGGCAGAGCAAGCTGCGCGTCAACACAGACTGGATCGGCTGCCGCAACAATATATGCAGCAATGGTAGGGATGAGTGCGGTGGTGTTCATGATGGTCTGTGGCGGTGGTCGATGAAGATATGTAAAGTGGTTGATGTGATGGTGCTTCTGAAGAGACACAAAGGGCTGGAAAGAAAGAGTGAGAGTGTGTGTGTCAGTGTGTAAGTGTGAGTGTGTGAGTGTGAGAGAGTATGTGGAGCAAAGGTGAAGGGAACCAGGGTTTATATGGCCTGTGCTTCATGCTCTGGGTATATGCACACTCGATGAAAGGCACCCGGAGTTGACGGTGTCCAGGTTTATTCAGTCTTATTCAGTTCAGTTCAGCTTATTCTAGATTTATTGGCTCGTTGGCACTGGCAATGAGAGGAGAGGCACCTGCTGTCCGTGGCTCTGGTGCGACGGGGGCCACTGCATTGCGGACGCGCTTTGGGCTCAAAATGCAAAATCCGAAGATCACTGGACCATAGAATGCTGCAATACTATGGCCACTGTGGAGAATATGAAGAATACCGAGAGTAGAGAGTAATGAGTAGAGCATAAATAGCAGCGGATGACATACGGGACATGAAACATGGAGCATGAAGCATAAGGAACAGCAGGACGGGTGCCAAGAGAAAAGGCGGGGGAGTCAGCTGCTGGGAAATGCTTTTGACAGACGCCAGCTTTTGTCCAGCAGGAAATCCCCTGTACCTGACTCTGTCTCTGTCTCTGTCTCTGTCTCTGTCTCTGTCTCTGTCTCTGTCTCTGTCTCTGTCTCTGTCTCTGTCTCTGTCTCTGTCTCTGTCTCTGTCTCTGTCTTTCTCGTTGTCGATCAGAAATGATCGTTGGCGCACAAGAAGAAGACGAGCAAGTGCGGCAGTCGACCCTCATCGGTGCGACGCGAGAGACGTGTGGATGGAGCGGCACAGGACAAATGAGCAGCACTATCGAGGAAAGCAGCGTGCAGAAGCAGCAGTGATCCATGGGTTGGATGTTGCCAAATGAGGTTAAACCTAACCCAAAAAGGAAACGCCCAATCTCTGATAACGGTTGAGGCAAAAGAACACCAACCTCCTTTTTTTGATATGGAGCTGGGGCCTGTCCCTATACATGGTTCCCACCCTCACCCACGATTCTGTATGCATACACTCCCGTGCAGAAAAGAAAGAAGAGAGAGGGAGAGAGGGAGAGAGGAAGACTGCCTGGACGTTGGTCGCTTCACTTGCTTGCTATTCAATCTGCTACAGGGAGTAAATAGCAGGGTCCCTCTGAGGAAAGACGTATCTTTAATTATTCGGCTTATGGCAGTGGACTCAGCAGACTAGTATACAAAGGCAAGTTCAAGTGAACAGGACCACGACGACAGCAGCAGCAAGAGTAACAGCAAGAGCAACAGCACCAGCAGCAATGGCAACAACGCGTACATCGAAGCTGAGCACGTCCACAACATTGTCGCTCCTGCACCTTTCGCGCATGCAGACAAGAGGCGCAGTCGACAAACTCCACAGCCTGGTTTGTCTAATAGATTTCCTATTCAATAGATCTATCTCTAGCTAAATTGATAAATTTTCTTATGTGCTGCTGTGTTTGCAGTTATGAAGGCTGGCACAAAATCCATGCAGAATAGTTCGTATTCGAGTAGTGCCTTTCAATAGACCTATTCTGTCTCTAATGAATGCATTTCCACGTGTGTCTCGCTCATCATGCGAACGCCATGTACGAACTGGTGGCAAAACACGGGCCTACCTCGACCTGAATGAAACAGACGGCTCTCATCTGCGCGTTCACAGCTGCGCCCCGTACGCGATAGTGCCCAAGGAAAATATGTTTGTTCGGAAATACCATCGTGTGCCTGGCTGAGTGAGACACACGGCACTGTGAGCGTTCATTTCATGCGCACTTGTACTCTAACGTTGCTGCTCACGGACGTTAATGGACCCTGCGCCTCAAGTGCCTTGTGCTTCAAGTGCCTTGTGCTATGCGAAGACAAGGACGAAGGATACCATCTCATGATGCAATACCAAAAGGACTACTAGCATAATCGACATTTAAAAAATGTTGGCCTTACATGGAGTTAGTATAGGGGTTGCCAACTAACAGTGTCAACCCGGTTGTCAAATAGATTGTCCCTATCGCTGAAGATAGTAAAAAAAAAAAAGTTACTGTCCGAGATCGAACTCAAGCTAGGAGATGCCATTAGCGGGTGCTCCCGGTATGTCCCTCCAGACTTAAACAGGTAGGATTCAAGCCGCATTCCTAGTTTTTTTTTTTTCGCGTTCACAAGGGTCTGATATACCTGATTATTCCTTTATTTGCATTCGTCCCCTAAGTGCATTGTATCCCTAACTGCACGCTTATAAAAATAGGCTCCCTAACTGCACGCTCTGTGAGAGCGGTTGAATACCATGGGAGTACTATCCTTATATACAAAAAAAACCATTAACATGAAAAAGAGAAACTAGATGGAGATCGTTATCGACATCTACTTTTTTCCCCATCCCTTCATCATTCGCATTAAGTGGATGCAACAACGAAAAATGCCTCATCAATTCAGACGCCTCCCACTCATTCAAGCATGGGATTAGTGACAATGTTGTCGGAACCCACAAAAACAAAGATGGGCAAATTCCTCATTCTGATTTCTCTCTTTTGCACTCAGAAGTGATAACAGAGGGCAAATATCGTGAATAAGAGAGAAGTTAAAGATCAGCCTTCATAAATGAAATTGTCTCCAAAATGCCCTATAGACAAAGGGATACTTTTTGTGTTTGCATTTGTGGAGGTTGGCTCAAAATCCATGCAATGTAAATTGTAAATTTTTATCTTCCTTGAATTGAGTCGGGCCATTGATGAGATATAACAATTGTTGTGCAAGCCCTAGGGTTAGGCGTTGGGAATGTGGCCTGTCTTTTGGCGACTGTGGATCGCGGCGAGAGAAAATCGCGAACCTGTCAGCCAACAGAGAAATAATTAGTGGCAAATCAATCAGACGGTCACTAAATTGAAAACAGTTTTTTTTTTTGTGCTCCTCTACCTTTCACCTCACTACAAACTAAAACACATACACAATCACCATCAGCATGGTAACGAATTAGCCGAATCGGATTTCCCAGGGCTTGTTCAAGAGCATGCAAAGGACATCAGCTCTAATACTCTTCTGCTTGCATTTTATCAAATTGTAGCCAGGAAGTCTGCAGCCCGATACCCTTTCATACAAAAGCACTGTCTTTGACTTTGCATTTCACCCAACCCAGGATATTATCGCTACTGGACTCATTACCGGACATATCAACTGGTAAGGACCTAAGCAATCAGATTTGCATCCGCCATGAGCGTGCATTTCTAGTGCCATCGTCAAATACTCGATCAAGAGTGTGAGAACTGACATTCGAACATTGGTCCCCGATAGCGTAAAATACATCCCTGGACCTGGGAACAACGAGCCGCTGTGGAGCGTTCGTCCCTCAAAAAAGTCCTGTCGTGGCCTTGCTTTCAGTCACGATGGCGCTGGTACGTCGCTGACCACACTCGACTTATCTATCATCGACTACACAAGTTTTTACACAGAAACTAACCAATGGCACTGCTTTCGACTTCAATTAGGGTTGTTTACGGTGTCCAAGGATGGAGCCATTGGCGCATTGGATACAAATACCGGAGACGTTTTGATCAAAAAGCCTGACGCTCACGAGTAAGTCTATGATTTGGATCAGCCGAAGCAAGTTCTTCACATATTGCATGTAACTCATGACTAACGATAATGACTGGTCTTCACTGTAATTGCCTACAGCCATCCAATCAACGCAGTGAAACTACTCACAGAAACCATCCTTGCGACTGGAGACGACAGCGGCGTCATCAAACTGTGGGATGTCAGAACAGGAAACGAGGCCATGCAGTACAGCGACCACGATGACTTTATCTCAGATCTTGATTTTGACGCTGATTCAAAGACCTTGGTTGCGTCTAGCGGACAGGGCACTATTTCGATCTACGATATCCGGAAACCTACAATGTTGGCCATGTCTGCGAATCAAGACGACGAGCTCTTGTCTATTTGTATTGTCAAGGATCGCCGTAAAGTTGTGGTCGGATCGCAGGAAGGCGTGCTTAACATTTACTCCTGGGGAGACTGGGGAGACTGTACAGATCGTTTCATAGGACACCCCAACTCGATTGATACCATCTGTAAGATTGACGAGGACACAGTTGCAACAGGATCCAGCGACGGCATTATCAGGTACATTTTTGTTTCCGGTAGCTCATGATGCTTTCCTCACAAAGGAATCAATATTAACGACACCACTGAATTAATTGCTTCTGATAGAATCATCGACATCCTACCAAACAAGTTCCAGGGTATCGTAGGCGAGCATGAGGACTTCCCAATCGAGTGCATCAGAATGTCACACGACAAAACGTATCTTGCCAGTTGTTCCCACGATGATACGGTGCGGTTCTGGGATGTGCGCTACTTGACCAGTGATCGGGATGAGGAGGAGGACGACAGCGAGGAGGCCCAGGAAACCACTGGTGACAACAAGAGTGATAGTGACGACAACAATGACGAGGCAGGACCTAGTGGAGGCATGGATGTCGATTCTGATGATTCCGATGCGCCTAAGAAGAAGAATAATAGGCGACCCAAGAAGCAGGCGCCTGTACCAAGCAATCCTACCTTTTTTGACGACTTGTAATCAATTTGCGCGCACACCCTTTCTCCACAGACAAAATAAATCTCGATAGAACGCTGTACCACACTCCGATGTCCGGCTGACAAATGGCATGCCTCCGTTTTTCTCAAGAACCCAGTGACGTGCGAAACCTGTGCAATTGCCCACTGCTCTCTGCACAAGACGGACATAGAAACAATGATTCCGACTCGAGTCCTTACTTCCATCAGACATCTCTCCACCACTTCCCTCATTCGAAAAACCACCACCATGCCTGCCACTATCGTTAAAGTCCCAGCTATTGAGAACTTCCACGAGATTGTAAACAAGACTGTCGAGGAGCACAAGGGCCAGGACGTCTACATTTACTTTTACGCCTCCATTGATCCTGCCACCGGAAAGTCCTGGTGCCCCGACTGCGTCACTGGCATGTCTTGCTCCCCAATGGTTTCGTTACTTCTCGCATTCGTTGTAAGGATCGCAGCTAACCAATGGCTTATCTCAATCAATACATTGTTATGTTAGCTGGCCCGATCGTCGAGGAACGCTTCTCCAAGCTCGATAATGTTGTCTTTGTAGATACACCCGTTGGAGATCGTCCCACGTATGTCTTTGATTGATTATCGTTCGCAGTGGCATTTAGTTACTTTTGTTCAATTGAGAGACCATGAAGACTCATAATATCTGTTCGTTGTTCTCATTTTTTAAGATGGAAGGATCCCAACCACCCTTTGCGCCACGACAAGGTGATCAAGATCACTGCTGTTCCTACTCTTGTCCATTGGAACACGGTAAGTTACAATAACATTGCGTCTCGTTGTGATGTACCCTTCGCGTTTTATCACGGGCAATAGCATTAAGGCGTTGCATCTAATTGACATTTTTTTGTTTCTTATTAGAAATCACAGCTCGTTGAGACCGATTGCGAGGATCTTACCAAGTTGGACCAGTTCTTGAAGCGCTCCTGAGCGGTGTCGTATACATATATACATAGTCCAATGCTTTATACAGTTATACAATCGTTTTGCCAGCATCGTGCAGGTCGTCACTGAACGATTGTTGGATCGATATGAAAGAGTAACCCTTAAGGATAAACTCTCATCTTTGCACCGCACATTTTCCTGCCATTAAAATCGTGCCACCAAATTATTATTAGCGGGCTCCAGTGCGCTTCGATTGAACTCCCTCTTTTGATCAAAAACCATGGCAAGTCTCTCAAAGAAGGGATTGGCAGTCACAACATACATCCTCAGCAATGGATCCGACCAACAAAAAGCCCAAGGGAGGCATCCATCCAACGGCATATCAGTCTATCATCAATGCTTGGGAGAAGCTGCATATCCCCGCAACCATGACTGAAGTGGCCCATGGACAGGATCTGGATTTTATTGTGTCTGGCATCCGGAACGATTCTTGGCATAGCTCCATTGTGCGATGAGTTGATGCAACTCTGGACTGGCTTGAAGAATACTCTATTAGAAGTACAGTAGGAACGAAGGATCGGCAGCTGCACAACGGAAAAGTCGCGGGAGACACTACTTGCAACTCGACATAGCATGGACAGAACGATCGCAAGAAGAGGCGACCCATCGTGTCTGCGCTGCAGCAACGACTTTTTATTCGAGGAACGAATGACTGACCGTTATTCATGTCCTCTTTCTTCGGTTGCATCTTTTTAGGCTGATTCCACTGCTACCATCAGAACCCGCAAGTTCTTGACCAACCGCCTCTTGGCCAGAAAGCAAATGGTAAGGAGAATCAGGATGTTCAGTGTCAGCATAAAGAGCAGGATACAGAGCGCTTGATCGTCAGGAGAGGCTGATCGCACTTGTGTGGATTGCCTCGAAACACTCTGGTCATCAGATTCAACGAGAGACAGAAGAAAGGTCGAACCCATCGTCGATCGCGTGTACACCTTTCAGCGAGATCTGGCAGCTCGACAATGTTTTATTATTATTATTGCACGGAATTGACCACTGTCAGCTCTCTTTCTTTCTCTTTTTTTTTCTGCGCACCGCACTATGTTGATATTAGGTCGTGGATATCATCCACCCTGCCCGTGCCAACATCTCCAAGGATGAGCTCCGCGAGAAGCTCGCCAAGATGTACAAGGTCGACAAGGAGGTTGTCTTCGTCTTTGGCTTCCGCACCCAGTTCGGTGGTGGAAAGTCCACTGGCTTTGCTTTGATCTACGACAACTTGGAGTCTGCCAAGAAGTTCGAGCCCAAGTACCGCCTCGTTCGTGTACGTATTCTCTTCGCCTTCTCGGCAATTGCACAACTCGTGAACCGGTGAATCATTTGTATTCAAAAACAACAGGATAACAGCACAGTTGAAAGTATTACCAGGAGATCGACAAAAGCATCAGGACTTGGAATAATAACTGGCAACTATGGATGAATATGCATCCACTGTTTCCTCATGTGGATCGACAGGATATCTTTTTGGAAAAGGCCAGCAATGTTTGCGACATTAAGGCAGTTGAGTGACATCCGGACAATCTACGCTGCAACGGCTTTAACATCTTGGATCAATCATTGCTTGTCATTTCACCAGCATGAAAAGAGAGAGCATTATGGCTGGATATATCAATAATTCGGCGGATTCGTGGCGAAGCTGGGTGATCAAACCGTTCATAAGGAGATCTTTTGATTCGCGTCCTAATTGAATGTCTCTGTTATTGGATGATAATACAATATATAGCACGGTCTTATGGAGATCAAGAAGGCTTCCCGCAAGCAGCGCAAGGAGCGCAAGAACCGCAGCAAGAAGCTCCGTGGCACCAAGAAGGCCAAGGCTGCCGTTGCCAAGAAGTAAACGTCGTATCGTTAGACCTCTTCATAGTATACGCGTTTCACATCTTGAAAAGAATTATTTGACGTTCAGCTCAGTGAAAAATAACAATACTCCTCGTATCCCAGCTCGCATTGTGTGTTTGTTGCAATGGTTGCCATGGCTTTAGTGTGCAAATGTGTATGGATCGGGTGGGCCAATGTCATTATCCACGGATCTACAATTTTATACTCGCTGCACGCGATATGGACCCAGCTTCCTTGAGGGCCTCCTACAGGAACGAGCGGTTGACGCTAAATGATTGTGACAGGTTTGTGTCCTGGTGCTTCGCCCTGGCCCTGCCCAGACTCTGGCTTTACTCGAGCCTGCAATGTTGGCCTCCACTTCTGCCGCGGTAATGATATGCGGGGCAAGATAACCCCAGGTTCAGTCAAACCTAGATACAGGGGTGACACGGGCAAAGAGCAATTGATGTTCACTCTGTGTTGTGGAGAGTTACGGAATCGACGGAATGTGTCCTCCAGACTTCCGTCCTTTTGGCTAGGAGTGATAGAGTATCCCCCATGGTTCTTCGGAAGAAGGAAAGGCTCCTTGTTCTCTTCAAGAGCATAATGCGTTGTGTGCTACAAAAGGCGGGAAAGTATTGAAGCGGGTGAACATGTTAAGGGGTAGCTTATCTGTCTCGATTTGGTAAAAAAAAAAAAAAGAAACAGTGAAATAACAAATGGCTCTCGAGCACCGTCCTCGAAACTACTCCTCCTTGACCTGCGTCCCTCTTTGATCGACTCATAGTCTTCTCATTCACCTACCCTTCATTGCAAGCTGTCGTGGAAGCAGCTCCTTTTTATTCCTTCTTATTTCCTTCTCTCTGTCGCTCACCCTCCTCCGCTTCTTCTTCTTATTCCTTTCTTATCTGGACTCTGATCCTGTCCTTATCTTTTCTACAAGGCGCAAGGTGAATTCCGATGGCTCGAAACACGCCTTTTGCCGCTTCGAACACCACAACCACAGCTCAACTGCACCACCTCCAATCCGACTGAATTGACATGCATGCGATCATGCAGTCGTTATCTCGCTCCATGGCTTTGTCCATCAACTATCGTTCCCGGCTCAGCTTTTGGTCACATCTGACTCACAAAGGCGTTTATTCGTTTCCCAACCATAGGAACCCCTTTGCCACCAAATTCATATATAGGCCTGCAGCAAAGGACTAGAATTATCTTGACGACAACAGGACCCCATATAACATCCACCGATACCGATATCTACACTTGCATCAGCGCAGCCATTACAAATCATCTGTTGTAGCAGAACGAACAGGATCAACTTTATTATCAACTTGAAAAAAAAAGAGCGGATCTGCGCACAAATACGGACACTAGCCCAGCTACAACTTTTTTTTGGTTCGCCAGATTTCTCACGACATCGCATCATTCCTCAACCCAAATAACGCTCGACTGTACACTCAGCTCACAATACAAACATACACAACACAAAAAAGTATGGCTGACCACTCGTTGAGCCGGATATCCGTCGCGGTGTCGCCAATTGTACCCCCACAATCACCTACTGCATCATTATCAGCAGTACAACAGGTCACTGCAGCAGATGTTTCAAATAGCGCAGGGCCCACCCAACCTTCTCCAGCGCAACGCATGATCTCCGCCTGTGCTGGCTCCCTATTGACATCTCTCCTTGGTAAGTCAATTGAGGATTACCCCCCCTCCCCCCTCCCCCCCCCCCCCCCTCCATCACTGCTTGGTTCTTGATATCAATGGTCTTTTTCACTTCGCCTTTTTAAGGTTGAATACTAATACTCAAGTTCCTTGCTTCATTTTCAAACAGTTACGCCGCTGGATGTGGTCAAGACAAGGCTCCAATCACAAACAGTCGTGGCTACACCAACGTGTGCCGTGCCATTCACTTATACCAGCAACGCGTCTGCATACGAGAAGCTGTGCACCTGCTGTCGCGAAGTCTTCTTTGCGCCCGAACCTCGACGAACAGCCACAGCAGCGATCCGACAGAACATCGCCAACATACTTTCAGGAGCGATCTCAAAGGACAGACCATCACAACCCCCGCCACCATTCTATCGCCACAGTAATACACCACATGATCCCCACAGCCATCATAACCACCGCCATATCCGAGGCAAGGATGCAGGATGTGGGCCGAGCATCCTTCAGCAGCACCAGGAGGGTACGGTTGTGGGGATGAAGGCTACGCCAGCACAGCAACGACGACTGGAGCAGTTGGCGGCAAATTGTATAGAGAACAACCATGCGAGCAAGGCGGGGCAAGAACGGCGCTTTCATGGAACGTGGGATGGAATGAAGAAGATTGTACGGTACGAGGGTGCGACTTCGTTATGGAGGGGGCTTTCTCCGACAGTGGCAATGTCGATCCCGGCGACGGTAATTTATTTTGTGGGGTATGATTATCTGAAGGATGTGTTGTCAGAAACGGCGAGGAAGGCGTCACCGGGCTCGTTGTTGGGGCAGACGCTTGTTTTCGAGTACGGCGGTTCGCTTGCACCACTGGTCGCTGGAGCATTTGCACGGAGTAAGTTGTTACAAAAACGTCTGTTTTATCCTGTTGTGTTTCTGTGCGGCAAGAAAAACTTTCTAATGTTGTCTCTGGTCTTTTCGTCGAGTAGCTGTAGCAGCGACGGTGATTTCGCCACTGGAGCTATTCAGGACAAGGATGCAGAGCGTCCACACGGATACAAAGGGGAACTCGGGCTTATTCAGGGGCGTATCGCAAGGAATTGTGGCGATGGTGCGATCAGAAGGCGTACTTTCACTATGGCGAGGGCTGGCACCAACTCTCTGGCGTGATGTTCCCTTCAGTGGTAAGTCGACGGCTTCTTTTCATGTCGGCCTTTGTTGACGGCGTGTGTCGGCTCTTTTTGCTTTTTTTTTTTGCTTTTTTTTTTTCTTTTTTTCGCATTGACTAACGCGTGGTAATTACGTCCGATTTCGCTATATTTGCGTAGCGCTATACTGGATGGGCTACGAGAATATCAAGAAGCGCCTGGTAGTATGGAGTAACAATCATTCCCAAGTACCATTGAATGAATTCGAGATTGCATTCTCCAGTGGTGCTCTCTCTGGCATGGTAAGCAATCTGTATTCAGTTTTACACTGGCTTTTGTTGAGAGTGTGCTTGGTTTAATTGCGCGAACCTTTCTTTTTTCTACCTTGTACTCACCCATCTACTCCTTCTTTATTACCGCCTCGTGTGCGTTAGATCGCAGCAACGTTGACAACGCCATTCGATGTGGCCAAGACCCGCCGCCAGGTGGATTTGATGCAGCCTGTTCACACAAAGATAGGGTCACTGATGCGGGCAATCGTACAGGAAGAAGGCTACCGTGGACTCTGGCGCGGTCTGACGGCTCGGGTGGCCAAGGTCGCACCAAGCTGTGCGATTATGATCTCAAGCTATGAGATCGGAAAGAAGGCCCTTTCGGAGCAATGGTGGGGACTCGGATCGTCGTCTGATGGAAAAAATGGGAGTAGTGGGAGCAGTGGGAACGCGAAGGTCGTAGGAAGCGGGGGTGCGACAGGAGCGGATGATCGGTTAGTGTTGATGCGTGTTGCTGCTACTGCTGCAGGCGTCAGTGCCGCTGCTGCTTCATAAAGAACGATATTAAGAGGCTCGTCTAGTATTTGACCATGAATGTTGCACATCGTCTCCATACTGCATGTTCTTTATTGTGAGAGTACTTAAAACAATATACAAAACTGGTTGCACTACGCGAGAGAAACATCAATAATGATCATGGTTGACTTTTTTTTTTTGTTTCCTTTGCAAGACTTATTGAGAGAACAGAAGTGACAAAGAAAGGGGGTATGGCGGAGCAAATAGACTTTTTTTTTTCATGAAAGAGTAAACGTGAGAGGCAGGGCGGGAGGAAATAGCAAAAGGGAAAAGGGCATATGTACATTATGCGGATCAAATTACAGAAGCGCGAGAGAAGAAAGACAAACTCACACAAAAAAAAACACACATCATGGGAGAAAGAGAGGAGTGAAGAGAAAGGACCACGTAAGAGAGAGAGAAAGACGACCATTGATTTAGTAGGCCAAGGTAGAATCCCTCAAGAGCCCCTCCGAAAAATCCTTCGTGTACTGCTCCTGGTGCTGTTTCAACAGCGTCCGATCATCCTCCTCATCCAACAATCCATTTGGGGTACTCGTGCCCGTGCCCGGCATAGCCGGTCTGACCACATCCGCAACATCGTTCAGCAATGCTGCCGTGATCGCGTTTGTCGGGAGGATCAAATCAATCGCCGGATCGAGATGACTCTGTCCTGTGTAGACCTTGAACTTGATATTCGGGATCTCGGCCGCGCAGAGCAAGTTGAACAGGGTCTGGGAGGAATGTGCAGGGATGAGTCGATCGTGTTCGCCATGGATCAGCAGGATCGATTTCGGGAGCACCTGTTCCAGCAGCTCGGGCTGTTCCAGCGTCGCGGTCGCGGTTGAGAGGATCCAGGAGGGCGAGCAGGCGAGGTAGTTGTTGGCGGAGCGGTGCATCACCCTCGGCATCGCTGAGACCTCTTCGATCCCGCGCTTGTGCAGATAGGCGTAGTAGAACGTGATGTCGAACACACCCGAGAACAAAATCAATCCATGCACGCGTTCCTTGAACTGCTTGCTTCCATTCATTTGATGATGTTCGTGGTGGTGCGTCGTCTCTGGTTGCTCAGGCCATGCAGGGATCCTAACCAACTCTGTCAAATCTCCCTCGACCGCCGGGTCTGGGATCCCTCCCAGCTGCTCAACGGCATCATGCATAATCGCCAACGAGGCCACATGCGCGCCCGACCCCGAGCCCATCAAATAAATGTTCGAGGGATCACCTCCATACCGGGTCGCATTCTGAGCCGTCCAACACACAGCATCCTGAACATCTCGGACCATATCCTCGATCCTCGCGTGCGGGTAACGAGTGTAATCGGGTACGACGACGACGTATCCTTGGTTGGCCAGGTTCTGGGCCATGGGCATCATCATGCTCTTGTGACCCGAGTCCCAAGCCCCGCCGTAGACGTAGATGATCATGGGGCTACCATTCGATTCGACCGTGTGGTCCGATTCCGCGTCATCGTCCGCGTGATGATGATGGTGGTGGTGGTTGCTGTTGTTCAGTGGGTCGGAAGAAGCTGCTGAGGGGCTACCGATGTAGATATCCAGCAGGTTGTTTCCGCGTCCATAGGGGATGTTTCTAAATCATAAGAGATGTTCGATAGACAAAAAAAAAAAAAAAAAAAAGAGGGGGGGCAGTGAGGATAGGGGAATTCCAAACTGAACGACAAAGGGAGGGAGGGAAAACTGGGAAGGAGACATTCACGCCCGATATACCCATGTAGTTTTCCCTACTCCCCCCCCTTCTTCCCAGGCACACACTGACACACACGAACACACAAAGCACATTAGTACACAACCACAGGATGGAACAAGGCACATACTTGACCATATCAGTTTTCTTGCTGTTTGTGAGCTGGAATCGCGCAAAGTGCCCAAAGAGGGGCACGAGCCGCATAACCTTGCTAAACTGCAGACTCGCATAGGTGGTCACGACCTTGTACACACGGATCGGATGGTAAGGCAGGTACGGGTACGATTGAGGCGCATCTAGACACGCGAACAAGGACAGGGGAGCAATGCACACATATGTGTTAGTCTAGTTGGCGCTGACACGAGGGAGAACATGAACATGAACGTAACACCATTTATGCAGCAGAGGGAGGAGAAAGAACACAACATTGCATGAGGATACAATATAGGGAGGGAGAGAAAAAAGGGAGGCAGTGGGGGGATTAGGCGAGCGAGCCGGCTGAGGGGGGGATAATGCAATCCTCATGCCAAGTTGACCAAATCATATGTCATTGACATTGAAAGTATATACAAATGCGTGGTGTGAAGTCTATGCATGCTGCTCTCTCTTTTTCGTGGAGCGGAGAGAGAGAGAGGCCCATCGATAAACCAAGATAGGGAAGGGGGCCTATGCTTAGGAAAGTTGTTGTGTAACGCGCATTCATATAACGATTTTTTAACAACCTCCTTACCTGTCTGAGCTGTTGTTCGATCGTGGAGGAATTACCATCGAGGACCAGGAGACAAAAGACCGAAAGAAAGCGGATGAGGAATAGGTTAATGGTTAGTTACAGCCCATTCTCTCACATCCCAGCAAAGCTCTACGCTCCATCTCAAATGCATGGCACGGATACCCTAGCCTAGCGGTATCTTTTTTTTTTCCTTTCGCATTTCCAAATGGCGTGCGTAACCTCAAAGATGTACAGAAGAAAGGAGAGAAAGCATAGTCGATGATAAAAGGGCTATGATTAATAATATAAAGTGATAGCGAACAAAGACTGCCGAGGGAGGCCCCAATTGATCGCTACCCTCAAGGTAATAACCATGTAGCCCCCCTCATGCCTTTCAAGCCAGCAACAACAGCAACAACGTGTATCTGATATCAAGATGTCCGGGAGAGACAGATACAGTCAGGGGAGGTCTAAGAAGAATGGTGGCTGTAGATCTCAATTGGTTGGCCCACGGCGAGGAATCAAAAGTGGTTGGGGACGAAATTTCAGGGTTTTAGACTACAAACACATGCCCTCTTTCCTTTGTTGGTTGGATTGGGAATCCCCCTCCCCCCCAACACGACAATAGGAAAAAAGAAGTCGAGAAGAGGGGTGCTTTGACAGGCTGCTTGCATTTCCCATGAGTTAAATGATACTCAATGCTGCTGTCGTTGTTTGTTATTATTTTTTTTTCTGCTGTTGATGTTGTTTGTTTTTGTTTGGATGGGCTTTTTTTTTTTTTTTTGAAAAATGAGAGTAGGGAGCGTGATAGAAGTGTGTTGAGAGCGGGGAATTAAAAAGGTCAAGGGTTGACAGAGCAGAATGGTTTTCTGTCGAGTGCTGTAGTGCCGAGTGTCTGTCTCTTTTGCATGCAATAAAGGATGTTGTGCAATGGATAATGGGTATGTCTGCGGATAGTGGTAGAGTGTGCTGAGTGTGCTGAGAAGAAAAAAAAAAAAAAGAACACTTGCCATAGCGAAGATAGATGAGCCATGCGATGACATAGACCACGCCTAAAGTGTCAAGATAAGAATGAGAATCCAAATTGAACAATGGGTTAGTGCGGATGCTGTTCCTTGCTGCTGCTGTTGGTTGCTTGCAGAGGAAGGAGCGAAAGATAGGAGACGAAGCATTTACAGGTGAGTGCGATCCAGACGGGGAGGAAGAACGAGGCGAGGAAAGCGAGCCACATTCGCTGCCTGCGCGATAGGGACGTGGTCGACATTTGGTCCTTTTTTGTTGTTGCAGTGCGGTAGTGTGGGTGCTTCTGTGGGGGGTGTGGGGGTGTGGGGGAAAGAAAGAGGATGCAGAAGTGGATGTGAATTGGATGAGAAGAAGAGCGATGGAATGGAGAAAAGGAAAAAAGGGTGTGAGAATGAGAGAACTTTTCCGAGAGAAGAGGCTCCCGACGACCTGTGGAGAAAGAAACAGGCGGACAAACTCTCTTGTTTCAAACCCGTCTTATTTCAACTGCCGCTTCTGGATACGTGTTTTCTCTTTTACTACGCCTTGGGGAGGGTTACTCTGAATATTCCTTGGTTAAAGGTCAATACATACATGGCCCATGCTGTCATGGCTATTTCTCACGCTCTTTCCTTTACGCCTTGCTGCGGTCTCCACATCACAAAAACGCACCGAGCAGCTGTACAATAAATGCCACTACGACAAGACCATACACCTGCACAGGCACCCCATTCCTCATTCCTCCAGACCTTGGCGGCGACCTGTGAATAAACTCCAGCAATACATTTCCACTTCTAAATCCTCGAGCCTGGATGTCAACATTTGGCAGCAGCAACGTTGGTTCCTTGCGACCCATTGCCATATATCCCGTTAGCTGGTGCCTGTTCTTGACTGTGTAAACGACCGGCACGTCGTTCGAACTACGTCGAAACTGTCGCTCGCCTTCGTGCATTAGATTGAATCGACCCTGATACGCGATTGGAGTGAACTAGATGCACACCAAAATAACACAAAGGGTCAACAAAGAGCCTCTCTCTGGTTCAAGCAATGCAGCGAAGCATAAAGACACTGCACTGGAGCGGTCAACTTACGACTTGGACTTGAATAGGTCCACCGCCGGCCGTCATAGCCGCCAAATCCAGCGCCTGCGCAGGGTCTTCTTCTGGCTCTGCTTCTATCGCAGGATCACCACCGGCCATCATCACCGTTCCATTCCTTCTTGCAGTCGCCGTCATCGTCATCGTCGTATTCGCCACCATCCTCGGCCTTAACCCTGACCCCGAGAATATTCGCTTATCGTTCCCATCAATATCCAACTGAATCCTACCTTCGGCATCCGTGACCTTTGCACGCACTGTGTGCAGGGTTGCCAATCTGCCAGAGATCTCTCCTTCTTCAAGTTTGAGCTCTGTCAGCGCCGTGCTTGCCGCGCTCAAAAGTTCAATTTCTCCGCCCTTGTCCGTGCTCGACAATGACAACTTGTTCCGGAACACCCAGTTGGGCAAGTTGACGGACACACGGCTATTATGTACTTGTACGATCAAAGAACCCGTACTCTGGATAACATTCCCCATCAACCCTGTCTCACTGTCTCCTCTTCCGCCTCCTCTTCCATTCCTCTCGTCACCACCTTCCTCGTCCTTGTCGCCATTTTCTCCTTCTTCTCCTCCTTCGCCCTCACTTAATCCCTCGGGCTCCTTTCTTTCCTTCCGTTTAATTGGGTACACGATCTCGACATCGACCCTCGCACACTTCCACTTCCGAACCTGGTCTCTGATCGTCTGTGTCATCGCTGACACATCGACCCACACCTCCGCCAACTGCCCATGCCCTAGATCCGGATGCGTAATGCTCTTTGGTTGAATCGCCTCGCGCACCTTGTCGATGGGTGCTCGGATCTTTAGCTTCATGTCCACAGTTCGGGACCCTGGGGTATCGGCTTCAATGACCATCACGCGGCCATGCTATTGATTATTTACACAGCAAAAGATTATGTGCGTGTGCTCAGGAAAAATACACATGAAACAAACAACATACAGGGACAACAACAAACACAAGGAAAGATAGCAAGTAGAGGGGAGCGACTTCTACTTACCACCGCTTCGTCCAGATGGAGACGAAGGTTCGTGTAGATTTCTGGGTCGAACGAATAGTTGGCGTACACGAACATATCAGATCTACCCGGGGAGCTGCACATGAACGCGTAGTTTTCTTTCCAAAACTGCGTGCATTCAAAGCGATATGAAAAAAAAAAAAAAAAAAATGAAGCATTCGTTACTAGGGCGAACATGCAAACAGAAGGAAGCAATGGGTCGTCAGACAATAGGAGCCCAAGGGGGGGGAGAAGAGTCCGACAAAGGAGCTTACTGCATTAAACCCATAGATGAACAGACCCATGAGCGAGAAAACCAATAGTACGATCAATACTATCATAACACACACGCAACGCACACACGAAAAAAAAAAAAAAAAAAAAAAAAATTTAATTAGAGAGCACTTTCGCAGCACCCGCCTCTTTTTTTTTTTTTTCTTTTGCAAACCCCAACCATGAAACATGGAAAAGACAGAAAGAAACATACCGAGTTGGCCCACACGAGGACCGCAAACAATATCGTCGCCTGGTATGGCTCTCCAGGGTCTTTCCCCTAGAGGTCTCCCACCGTCTGACTGTGTCCTTGATCCTGTCTGCCCCCGCGAGGATGAGGGCATCGAATTATTCGTTGACTGAAAGCTGCCATAGTTGCCACTGGAGCCTGCACCGTAGCCATTCCTCTGGCTTGAAAGCGGCGTTGTCGATGATCCAGAGGTGTTGTAAGGAGTTGTTGGTGGAGACCGAGGACTCGCCGGATTCGTCGTCGCGCGGCTCGAAGGTATGTTGGATGATGAGGGGCCCCCGCTAGACGGCGTTGCTAGAGGGCTTGGATTCGAGCGGTTCGCAGTTGGTGAAGGTGTTCTGGATGATGAAGGACCTCCGCCAGACGGTGTTGCTGAGGGCCTTGGATTCGAACGACTCGCGGTCGCTGAGGCTGCAGACGGTGTTATGTAGGGAGGATGTGGTAACGGTGGTGCACTCGAGGTGTTTACAGATGATACAGGCGCTACAGGTGCTGGTGCTGGTGCTGGTGCTGGTGCCCACGACGGATTCTGAGTGAAAACCCCCGAGCCATGGGGTGTCGCCTTGGCCTTGTTGTCGAAGGGACTCCGGTTAGACATTGAGCAGTGGCCTTTTTTTTTGTTGGAGAGGACACTGACAGGGATACAGGGGACGGAGGAAAAGATTAGGTGAAGGAGGAGGGGAAAAAAAGAAAAAAAAAGAAAAAAAGAAGGGCACAGCAATTGGCGAAGCATGGTTTGGTTTGGTTTGGTTTGGTTTGGTCTCTTTTTTTTTTTTTTTTTTTTTGGCGATCATGCAATGCAGCCCTTTTCATGCTGCACAACAAACCCGCTTTGTCACCTCGTCTTCCTGGTTGTATTCGCAGCGATGTTGATTGATGATTCGATGGTAGTGATAATTAAAGGTGATATTATTATGCGAATATAGATAGTAAAGACGATGCTATTAACTAAGTAGTTAAGTAGTAAACGGGGGTGTCCTCTACACCCTGTAGCCCTGCTCCTCAATCTCGGCCTTCTCGTCCAAGAACTCCTCCTTGTCGCCTACGACACCCGCACTGGGCGTCAGCAGCACCTCCTCTACATTAATCGTATTCCCCGCTGCTGCCGCACTCGCCAGACTCCTCAACAGCGTCGCGTTCGCCGGTCCGGTCTCGTCGACCATGCTCGAGAACACCGAGTCCGGTCTGCTCAACAGGTTCGCAGGCGTATCAAACTCCTTGATCTCTCCATGGTCCAACACGAGCACACGCGAGTAATCGATCACCGTGTTCAACCGATGCGCAATCGTCAGCACCGTCGAATTCGCAAAGTCCACCCGGATGGCCTTCTGGAGCATCACATCCGTCGCCACATCGACCGACGCCGTCGCCTCGTCCATGATGATCACCCGAGCGTGTGTCAACATCGCCCTTGCAAGACACAACAGCTGTCGCTGGCCCACACTCAGGTTCTCGCCAAACTCGCTCACTTGTGAATCCAATCCTCCGTCGCACGAGATCACGTAGTTCTTCAGATCCGATCTCTCCAGAACCTCCCAGAGTTCTTGATCCGTTCGCTTCTCGAATGGATCGAGGTTTGAGCGAATGGTACCGCTAAACAAGACGGGGTCCTGAGGGATGATCGCCAACCGTGTGCGCAGGTCAAAGAGTCCGATCTTGCAGATATCAACTCCATCAATCACCATCGTGCCCTTCGTGGGCTCGACCAGACGGAAGAGCGCCATCATAATGGAGGATTTGCCGGCACCTGTGCGTCCGACGACTCCGATCTTCTCCCCGCCCTGAATGTCGAGCGAGAGATCATGCAGGACCGAGGGCAGCTCGGGACGGTAGCGCATCTCCAAATTGCGGATCGAGATCGCTCCTGTGCGAGGCCACGATTCGTCTGGACGGTTGTCGGGAACGATCGCGGCCGCCTCCACCTGGAGCTTGTCAGCGTAATGGTGCAAACGTTCAACCGCGTTCATGTTGTTTTCCTACATACATACGATGGAATAAAAGCAAAATTGGATAATGGATTAGATCAAATTGTTTGGTCTCCGATCTTGAACAGAACAGAGCAGAACAGAACAGAACAGAACAGAACAGAACAGAGACAACACGAGAGAAAGAACAAGCAGACTTACGACTTCAGCATACTGACGGACACACCAGTTGAAGGTTCCAGTAACGCTCATCGAGTAACTCAGCACAAGACCGATCGTCGCAGCGTCGATGTTATACCGTCCACAAACTCCCAGCAGCGACGTACAGAGCACCAACGTATTCGCAATCGTCTCTAAACGAACGCCCAACCATCGCTGGATCGAGTAACTCATAAAGTACGGTCGGTTCTCCATATCAATGAAGTACTCGTTATTCTCCATAAATCGATCCTGAACACGGTACGCCCGAATGGTCGCCAATCCGCTCAACGTCTCCGAGAAATGTGCATACAGCGACGAACGCAAGATCGAGTCCAGACGTTTGAGCTCACGCGACGAGGCTCGGTAGTAGATCGCCGCATAATAGTAGAAGATCAACATCGGCACCAGTGGGATAAGGAAGTACGGGAAGATGACCGAGATCAGGATAAAGGTCGAGAGCACGATCGAGGCCGTTCCTGTGAACATTCTGTAGGATTCGCTCAGCAGGTTATCGCACGCATCCACGTCCTTGGAGAATCGGTTGATGATGCGACCGAGAGGAGTCGTGTCAAAGAATGAGGAGGGAGCCCGGAAGATGTTCTTGAGAGCCTTCTGGTGCAAGACCTTGGCGGCACGCGCACCACCAAGAGAGAAGTAGAAACCGTTGATGAACTGGAAGACACCCTGGGCGATGCCCCAGACGGCATAGAGCACCATGTAGAACTTGTGGCTCTCATGGAACCGATCCGCGGTCCACCAACTCAGCCAAAGATCGGTTCTGTATTTTGATAAACAACAGCGACGTTAGTGTTTCGAATGAACAGTGCTGTCCTATTTGCTTTCAATAAACAACGACTTTTAAGGATACATACCCGACTTTGGCGACCTGGGTGATGATGAGCAAGAACAAGAGCAGTGGCAGGAGGTACATACCGCCTGCAGCATTAACATAGTCCATGTAGATCGATCCAGAGACCGAACCCGTCGCACGCTCCTCCTGTGACATCAGTCCCTTTGGTTTGGCGTCCTTAGCATCCTTCTCCTTCTCGCCCACATCCTTCTTCTCGCCAGACCCTCCCTCCAGAGCCTTCTCAGCACCGGCCGTGATCGCAGGGTCGACGCTCTGCTCATCCACGGCTTCTTCCAAGTCTGGTTCAATATCCTCGATACCACCATGGGCCTTCATCAGCGACGAGAACTCTCCAGCATTCGCCATCAGCTCGTTAAACGTTCCGCGCTCGACAATCTCTCCATCCTTCATACAGATTACATAATCGACCTGGGGCAGAACATGAAGCTGATGGGTCACCAGCACACGGGTCTTGCCCTGGAGCGCACCCATGATACAGTTCTTGAACAGGTACTTGCCCACATGAGCATCGACGGCCGACAGGGGATCGTCCAGCAAGACGACATCCGCATCGAAATAGACTGCACGCGCAATGTTGACACGCTGCTTCTGGCCTCCTGAAAGGTTGATACCGCGTTCTCCAATCTCGGTCTGGTCGCCATCGGGCAAGATCTGAATATCGCGCTCGAGCGCGCAGTCCTTGAGCACCTGCAGATACCGGGCCTCATCGAAGGGCAGGCCAAAGAGGATGTTGTCCTTGACGGTCGCGTTCTGGATCCAGGCTGACTGGGGACAGTATCCGATCGAGCCACCGTACTCCATCTGGCCGCCCGTCTTTCTCATCTCCCCGACCAGCGCGTTCAGCAACGACGACTTTCCGCTTCCGACAGCTCCGACGATCGCGACGAGCTGACCACGAGGGATCTTGAGGTCAATGTTCTTCAGCGAGAACGAGCCCTTATCCTCCGAATGAACGGATCCTTCCTGACCATCATCGCTGTTCTCAGGGGTGACCGACAGGATCGACTCTGTGTCGGGCGAGGGATCCTTCTCCGACAGCTTCGTCAACATCTTTTCCTGCACCGACATCGTCTCGCTCGAGTGCTCCGAGATCGACTTTTCATGCTGACTATCCCTGAACAGCTTCTCTGCCTCGAGTTCCGAGATGTTACGGGCCTTGGCCAATTTCTTGATCGCCTTCTTCTCCGCGCGCTCCTTCTGCTTGAGCTCCTTCTTCTCCTCCTTCTTCTGCTCCTTCTTGTTTGCGCTTCGCTTCCGTTCCTCCTTCTCACGCTTCTGGAGGTCCTCCATGGTCAGGGCCTTGAGGGTCGTGTCCCACATGAAGACTCCATTCGTGACAGAGATTGCAAACTCGGCATCGGGGTCCATCGGTGGGAGCTCCTCAAGTTCCCCTGCCAACAACATCTCCTCGATACGACGGATCGATACCAGGGCATCGACCATGGCCGAGACGACCTGTGGGAAGATCATCAGGGGCATCCTCATAATGTTGAACAGCGACAGGGACGAGAACACGATGTCGGCCGAGAGTTCGTGTCCCGTCAACGAGTACGCCACAAACGTCAGCGTGGCCGCAATTACGGGCACGGTCAAGTTAACGGCCGCAATGCCGGAGCGAGAGATCAACAACGTCCGGACGTACTTCAGTTCCTTCGTGCGCAGATCCTCAAGTTTGCTCAGGAACGCCTCCTCCCATCCATAGAACTTGATCACACGCATTCCCTGGAGGACCTCCTGCGTGAGCTTGACACGGGCATCGGTAATGAGCGTAGACTTGCGGCGGATCACCGAGAGCGATTGGACAATACGGGCCTGGATCGGACCAAACATGACCAAGAACACGAATCCGACGAGCGCAGTCGGGCCCAAATTGACGATCAACAGAATGAGGATGACGATGACCATGAGGGGTGCGGTCCAGAGGATATGGAAATAGCCCGCCAGGAGATCGAGACGCGTCGTGTCTGTCGACATCAAATTCGTGATCTTGCCCGTCGAGAAGTCTTGCTTGGCCTTGGAGCTGAGGACGAGACCCTTACGGTAGATGGTAGTGATGAGCGACGTACGGACGCCGACACCGGTGCTGGTCGAGCGTTGCCAGAACTGGTGGAGGCACAGGGTTGAGAGAACACCCATGACGTAGAGACCGAGCGCCATCAAGATGCCGTGCCACAGAGGAGGTGCCTCGATACCTATTTTACGATCGTTTACACTGGATAGAATGAACAACGTTAAAAAAATGAAGAGAAATTTATCAATTTTCCGCCGAATGTTCGATCCTTTGGTAGGAAAAAAATATAAAAAAAAAAAAAAAAAAAAGTAGCTGTCGATGTTCTTACCTAGTTTGAACGAACTTGATGATGGCCTTGGTCACCATGGGTTGGAATGACTATATCCCAGGGGGAGTTTTTTTTTTTTTTTTTTTCATTTCAAAAGAATAAATAGAGGTCAGTTAACGGATCAAAGCGGTGTTCCTGCATTGCTGCACAACGAGGAGAGGCAGCAACGAACAAGGAAGAGATGAAGAAGGATCGATCCAACATCTCACTCTTTCTTCCTCGCCTTCTCTCTTTCCCAGATACAAGATTCTCAACATACCTGGAAGGAATCACCAAAGACCTTGAGAATACCAGCGGACCAGAATTGCCATAAAAAGGTGTTGTTCAATGCCTTCCACAGCTTGGGATTATACACCTTCTCGTTCTTCTTCTTGTTCATCCCCTTCTGATCACCATCACCATCGACCCCTTTATTCTTCTGAGCCTCAACACTGGCTCTGCCCTTGGCGACCTCGCGAGCCCAACATTCACGGAAGAGTGTTGCGATGTAGGCGGCGCGTCGCCGTTCGGTGAGCTCCCAAATGTCCTCCTTCTCGAGCGGGCGCTTGGAGCCCAGGGTCATCAGGGGTTGGACCCATGCGAAGGTGAGGCGGGAGAGGATCGAGGCTGAAAGTTCAGGACAGACGCCAGGGTTGGTCCCTGGCTCTGGGATCGGGGGGATAGGCTTCTCCTTGCGCTTGAATAGCTTCATGGTGAAAGAGAGGGTCGTGTGTGGGAGGGTTGTGGGAGGGGGATAGGTAAAATATTATCCCCGGGAAAATAAAGATCGATATATTAGGGATATATAGGGATATATTAGGGTAGCTTATTAATAAAGGGAATGAGGTAGGTGTGAAGTGTGAAATGCGATGCAGCGGCGTGATTCACTCAACACTTGGAATCAGTTCGCTGGAGTATTAGAGAGGGGGAGGGGAGAGGGGAGAGGGGAGGGGGGAGAGAGAATGAGGGAAGAGTGAAGACGCTTCTGGACTTTTCTCTGCTTCAAATGAATCCAAATGTCCAATGAAGCGAGTGAATGAGAAAAGAGAGAGAGAGAGAGAGAGAGAGAGAGAGAGAGAGAAAGAGAGAGAAAGAGGTGAAGGGCGTTTTGGGGGGGGGGGACTACGACAAAAGTGCGTTTTTGTAATGGGGGGGTTGTTGTTTTTGTTGTTTGCGCTCTTGGGCGCTTCTTTTCTTCTTTTGGGCCGCATCCATTAGGCGGAAGAGCAGAGACATCCACCTCCCCTCTTGATTTGTGTGTAGACTATGCGGTGTATGCGGTGTATGCTTATTTGCAGATCCACAACCACAGCAGTGCATAGACTACATGCATCCACATTTGAGGTCGTTTACAGGACAGGACATGCACCAGACTGCTGCCTGCAGGCTCATTCTTCCGGCGAGGACGTCCTGTCATCCTTGGCAGCGGTCCTTGGCAAACAGGCACCAGAGCAGGCGGAGTAAATTGAAATAATAAAAATAAATAAAAATAAATGAAAATAAAACAGGGTGTCCAGCTGGAAAAAGTTTTCCTGTTGGATTAAAAACCTGATCGATTCTTTTCGTCTGCGCAATTCCTGCATCCCCCACCCCCTCCTCTCTTCTCTGGACCGTTCTGGCCCTGCGCCTCCCCTTCATACCCTTACAAACAATATCCTTTTCGGGTCAGTTCTTCCGTAGACGGCGTGTTTGCGTGCTGTGTAGATGAAGCATGGGCAACCTCCTTCCTGTATTCTTCCTTTTCATCTGCACTGTGCTCGCTGTTGCTTCCATACAGCCGATACTTTATGCCGTCGCGTACGGATGAATGATACATAAGATACGAGGGGGGGGGGGGGGCAGCATTAGCCGCATGGTGTAACACCTCACCTATCGCACACACCTCTCATGTCATTTCCCCAGCTTCCAAAGAAAGAAAGGGCTGGGTAAATCGCTGCAGAAAAAAAAAAAAAAAAAAACTTTAAAGAAAAGAAGGCTACAGTTACAACTCTTTTCTTTTTTATTTGTGGGTCTTTTATGGAAACGAAATCTTTGAATGAATCGTTCTACATATTGCTCTCGCCAAGGGAACAAAAAAGACCAAGAACACTACCCTATTCGTCTATCTTGCTTGTCCCTCGTCATGCTCAATAGCAGCCATGGCTACACCAACTTTGTATCCTCTCCTCCTTCTGGGTAAAAAAGAAGGGCAAACCGTGTGAATCGTTATCAGATCATGGGCAAATATTCACCCTGGTTCCATCCGGCTAAATTGCTACCCTGGGGCATGTTAGTCAATGGACCATAAACACTCTGTGGGCTCTAGAGGCGATGGCAATGGCGATGGTGATGGTGATGGTGATGACAGTTCCTTCTGCGCCTCTTCCACATAAGCTATTTCTTGATATCCCGGATATGGCCTCCTTCTTAGACTACTCCTCGGCGTATCACCGATGATTTTGCGCTACCGGGTAAACTTTAACGCAAGAATAGTAACGGTCTCAAGAACAACCAATCAGCTCTGTCGAAATTTGTACATGAGCATGAGCATACCCCGTGGACGTACGCAAACGAGACGCTCGTGGTCAATATAGGTACATTCATGTATAATACATGTACATGTACGACGCACATATGCTCCCCTTCAAACATCCACAAACCCAACTCTGCTGCAGGGCAACTGGTCCGTCTTCAAACTCTTTCACAATCCACAAGAGCATTAGTCGATGAGATGGTTCAGAAACCGTATTGTTTATTCGTCCTTCTTCTCGGCACGCTCGCTATCAATTCTGACGGTCTTCTCAGGTTGGCTACCTTCTGCGCTCTGGGAACCGTCATCTTCCTCACTAACATATAAAAAATTAAGACAATTGCCCAGAGAAGTTACCTATTATTAGTCAATGAGTCCATGAGCCACAGAGAAAGAGGGAGAAAAGGATCTTTTTTTTGTCACCACTTACGCTTTGCGCTTGTTGCCACCGCCGGCTCTGGCCTGTGGACCCCAGTTCTTGGTAGGGTTCATCTGATAGCGTACAAGGTTATTTTTCCGCGACTCGGACTTAGCGCCTGGATGCATCTCAAAATCGGCAATCGTCTTTGGCTCTACCGCCAAGATCCTGCCTGCAGGCGACTGGGGTTTGACGTTCTTGACCGGGTTCAACTTTACCCACGATCTCATGATATCCCAGAGAGCAGAAGGCAGTGCATTTGTCTTGATAGATCCCTGACAAGCATGCGATCCCGAAACTTCATATCCCTGATGAAGAAGGGCAGAACTAAACGAATTCAAAAGTTAAAAAAATAAATATAATAAACCACGGCGTTGATTTTCGTATAAAGATGTTGTATTTCCCGTTGCAAAGATGATTTGCTGCGACATACATGACTTTGAGAAGTGGAATGCTGGTGCAGTGAACTGTCCCTGATAAGCCGTTGGCAGTGTAATAGAATGGTGCCTCGATCTCCTCCTTGCAAACCGAGAGCATTCCCAAAATACGAGGCTGGGTCTTGTACAATGCTGAGGCATCCTTGACATGCTTCAGCATGCGTTCAATAAAAGCCACAGAATGAAGTTCCTTGCCCCACATTGGACCTGCGACCTAACAAACCGAACAAGTTGAAATAAAGCATAGCCATATGTCAGCATCCCACTCAAGTTGCCAGTCAGAAAATGAACTGTGCGCTGTTCAAAGAATCGGGCGTACATGAAACTTGCTCCCGCAGTGTTCACAGTGCTGATCCACTGGTGGTCCGGTGTTGACGCCAAATTTTTTGTTGCCTTTGGCCGACTCTGAGATCTTTCCAAGTGATTGCGTGTAAGTCGACTGACACCCTGAACAGACATATGCTAAACATGTTTTGCTATGTAATTCATCAAATCGCTGGTCAGTATATCGTTTGGGAGCATGGGACGAAAATGTAGAACTCCACGATGAAATATCATTGTTACCTGGCAACCATCTTGACCTCTGCTGCAGAAGAATAGACGCGGACGAAAACTCGAAGGTAATAGTCGATGCTCAGAGACACCATGGGAACAATGTGTCGTTTGTAACGTGCTGCCGATGTAGAAAGAGTGCTGAGAACAAGGCGAAGTGCAACCTCGTGGCAGAAGTCCGCTTTGACTGGGTGTCCTCCATACTTCGCAAAGCTAATAGGTAATATTGAAAAATTTGAGTTGGTAAAGGTGATCTCTTTCTGTTCCTTTTCAGCATGTCGTACCCTGACCATAATTTTTGCTCCCAGTAGCGTACCATGTCTCCGTGTAGTTACTCCCAGCGAGAACGCCGAGATCCGTGCATGTAACACAAAGCAATCCTAGTACATAGTAGATTAATGAATGCTAAGGTAAGTATCTTGACGATTCCAGTCCTGATAAGGTTAGGGAAAGCGCCTGGGACTTACCTCCGTCTGACACCGCCTGGACTGCTCCATCGATAAAGGGAGATGCCGTTCCATAGGGATCCAGATCAATGACATCGTAGCGCTTCAATGGGTCCCGGTGCTGGTAAAGAACGTCGCTGTAACAATAAGTGAAGATTATGGTTGACCATGAGCAATTGCTTCTTTTACTCTCGATTGATCTTTCAATCTGTTGATCCATCAATTGTGTTGTGCTGTGCTCTCCTTACATGGCGTCTCCCTTGTGGGGTTGCAGCAGATCGGAGCTGATTCCGTTAAAATCTGCGTTGCGCTTGATCGAGGCCACAGCATCGGCTTCGAGGTCGTTGGTTAAAATGTGTTTGACATTGGGGATTTCCTTTGCATATCGAATCGATCTCAGTCCAGAGGCCGAAAGTGCTTCGAGAATGGTAATTCCGCGTGGTGCTGTTGGATCGACTCCTTCAGGGTATTCCTTCTCAGGCAATGGCTCCAGACCCTCCTGAGCTCTTTTGGCAGCATTGGCCTCTCTGCGGGCCTTCTTCTCCGTAAGCCTGGCACTTCGTTCCTCCTGAAAGATCTCATCCCAGGTGCGAATGGCCGCAATGGAGATATCACGGTTGAATTCCTGGATGGGGTTATAAAAGACTTCATTGGTGTCTGGGAATAGAATCGTAGCCTTTCCCTCAGTGACTTTTTTGAAGCCAGCAGGGGCGGGCGTGTCATTGTGCTCGGCCATGGTGGCGCCTGTTGAATAGAAAGCTGTCCTTGTGTGTTTGATAGTTGCTTTGCTCCCAAGATGCGTCGATGTTCTCAATGGTCCTGCTCCAGATACTGCTAATCCTGCTGGTTCTGTTGTGCGTGCTAACGAGTATAAAGGTGCGGCGGCGATCCGGGCGAGGAATGAGGATCTCGAAGAGAGTCGACCAAAAAGGAGCATGAAGAGGAGGGCTGATCAGCTTCGGCGCAAGCAGAAAAAAAAATGGCACCAAGGAAGCACACAATGTGGCTTGGTGAGAGGAGGAAAATCATGCAATTCCTGCGGGTTAGCGGTCGGCTTTTCTGGGCTATCCCGTTCGCTTCTTTCCATTGCCGTTCATTCCTGTTGAGTCATTCTTCAACTCTTTTCGCATCCTCCCCCTTCTCGTTCTTTCCTTTCCCTTTGAACAGGCCAGACCTTGGACTCCGCACTTTCCAACATGAACTCTCCAAGCGCTGCACACCACCGTGCCTTTGACGAGCACTCTCGCCTGTATGTTATTCAAGAAGATACGGAAAGGTCCAATAGTTGTACCAATGGAGTAGTATCATGTGTATTGACCCCTCTGTTGTTGTACTCTCACATAGGCAATCGAAGCCCCAGACTCTGGACGACATCTATGGCGAACCCGAGAACTTTTTGGAGATTGAGGTCAGGAACCCCCAGAACCACGGTAAGGAGAGCCGATAACCCCGCATTGATCATATCTCACCAACCCGGACAAACGCCATCATCAACTTCGGCCCACTTCCCTTGCTTGTCTCTGTTCCTTCACCGTATCTTCCATGCCGCTCTCTTTCTTTCCTACGGTCCTTCTTTTTCTCGCTCCCGGTCCACACCAGCACTCCTACTCCCGTCGCCAGTTTTAACGCCGACACTGCGAATAAGGGAAACGTGAGAAAGTGGCGTCGGCAGCGTCAAAAAAAAAAATTGGACTGAGATGGAAGTCTGAGAAGGAAAAAAAAAAAAAAAGGAAAAAGATGTGATATCCATGGGGTAGATGGAGACAGGTCAAAGGAATATGACGGCATTGCGGACCATCAGCAACAGTGCAAACATAGCAGGACAGGACAGGTCAGGAATGATATGCAAGGAGGAGAGTCATGCTCGGGATGGGTGCCCATCATGCCCTGCTATTTTTTTTTTCTTTCTTCCTGGCTGCGTCGCCAAGCGCTGAGTTGCCGACTGACCAGGGCCTATCTCCCTTGCCTCCTATTTCGCCTCCTATTTCGCCATGCCAGGTGTTGCCCGCAAGATGTTTACTGATTATGAGATTGTCTGCCGAGTAAGTTGCAAAGCGAACATCTTTTTTTTTCCTTCTGCTTTTCCGCATGACCAGCACCAGCCCAGCCCGTTTTGTACATTGTATCTCCTTTTGGTGCATCTGTGACAAGGATCTCTTGACACCATCATGCAGCAAAGGAAGCAAGCAGCAACCACATCACTTCCTGCTTGACCTACTCTGCGACTACTCGTTTGCTATCCAGACTTTGGGAAGAAGCAGGAGAAAGAAGAAATTGAACGCGAGGGAAAAATAGAGAGTCGATCTACTCACACTCCAATTTTTTTTATAATGGAATACGTGTAGACCAACATCCCTGCGTTCAAACTGAAGAATTCGTCTGTTCGACGCCGCTACTCCGACTTTGAGTGGTTCAGGGACGTATTGGAGCGCGAGTCGTCCAGAGTTAACATCCCCCCACTTCCCGGAAAGGTCTTCACTAACCGTTTCACGGACGAGGTCATTGAGCAGCGCCGTGAGGGACTAGAGCGCTTCTTGCAGATGTAAGTGCATGTGATATCATGCTACTGAACACGACGGGATCCAAATGCAGGTGCCCTGCGTCGGTGCCGAATGCATTGATGCAGAGACATGTGCTTTGAGGTATGGGTTTGTCTAAGATTATACGCTTTTTTTTGTGATATCTTTATAGTGTTGCTGGTCATCCTCTCCTGCAAACTGGAAGCAAGGTATTGGCTGCTTTCATTCAGGATCCCAGCTTCAGCAAGGACTATTACCATTATTAAGAATAATCAACAATCGCGCTACGGAGCTAAAATGGAGAAAGAAAGAAAAGGTATCTCATGGACCGGGGTAGTGCCTCCCCTTTTTATATCTCGGTCTCCACCTTCTCACCTCCTTTCGCTTTACAGCATCAAGTTCTTTTGCTCCTTCCTCTTCGAATCTACCTGTATAACACAATAAAGAAAAAAACGAGTTGAACAAAAAGCCCATATGCTCTGGCCATTATCAATGCTTGCAAAGGATGGACAAAGGAACATACAGAAAGGAAAATTGAGTGTCCGGTTTCGACATTCGCGGTTCAGCTGCAATGGCATCATCCTTGCATGCACGGAAAAGCGAGCATGATTCCTTGTCAGAGCGATTGCGGTGCTATGACGATCAGGCACGCGTCCGTCCCTATCCGAGCGCCACACGCGTCCACTGTCCAGGACTAAATGCCTCACGCGTTTTTTGCAGCCCGTGCATGAACGCGTCGCGACTGATTAGAGATTAAAAAAAAAATGGTGGCGTCAGAAGGACTTTGATATCTTTGCGGTGCGCGCGGACGCAAACTGTGTTTCGGGAGCTACATGACCTGTCGTAGAAAACTGTAGAACACGGTGTAGAGAACATGAAAGAAGGACCAAAATGAAAACATGGATAAGTATTATCCTGCTTCTCCTTTCTTCCGTAGGGAATATATTATGGACTTCATAATTAATAAGCGATGTGAAGTGAAGTAAAATGTTTTTTTTTTTTTTTTTTTTTCTGCGTTTAAGCGGAGAGGCGTACAGTACATGTCGCAGAATGTGAAATGGCGGGAAAAAAAAAAAAAAAAAAAAAAAAAACGATGCAGGGAATAGTCTACACGCGGACGTTTATGCGTGGCAATTGTGAGCCTTCGTCTCTCCTCCACTGCAGAGCCATGCTGTACTTTACCTATTAGTTTGTTACGTACATGGTACATACTTACTTTGCGGCCACGTCTTTAGGGAATAGAGAAGGCGCTGTCGGGAGTATAACCTTTATATTTCTGGTATCTTTTTGTCCTTGGTGCCTATAGATAGTGCATTTGTAAGGATGCATACGTTTTTTTTTTTTTTTTGCTCAGTAGATAGGTATGTAGTTTTCAAGGAGAATTCACTAGACCTTGGTCTCCGATCGTCTTTGCAAACTGTATCCCACGAAATTTCCCCGAATCCTATTGAACCTGTCCTGCAGTATCTATGCTATACCTTCGTCAGGGAACTATGATCATCATCATCAACTATGAACAAACCCCTCTCATGGGCATCTATCCTGCGTTCCCTTGTTGCTGACTCTATATGGTATGTCGACAAAACGCTTCATTGCATGTCTCGTGTGTCCAAATAAAGATGTGGGTGTGGCTACGCGTTTCAACGGATATTGTCGTTGGTGGCATGAGCGTAAACCCGATAGGAAGAAAAAATAATAAAGATGGACTACACAGCAGAGCTGGCAAAGTACATGCGTGCGCCCTTTCCGCAGATAATTGAAGTAGGGATCAAACAATATTTGTTCAGAGAGTGGGGACGGAACCCTCGGGGCCGTGTCCTCCTCATAGAGGACAAATTGGTTTTGGAAGGATCTATTGCCACCTTGCGTCGTAGGCATTATCATCAACATCATCATTATCATGAACAGCGCAGTTTTATTTTTATTCTTTTCGCATCCTTCTCTCAGTCCCGGTTTTATCGATCGAAAAACCGCGATCCGCGGTTCATCTGCTGTATTCATGCGGAGCAAACAAGGTGTGAACTTTTGGACGACTTTATCCTTATCGAAGAGCATACCTGGGTGCATCAACTGGCTAAACTGGCTTGCCTGTCCTTGTTATTTGTTCAGTATTTTTTCGTCGATCTTTTTTATTTTATTTGAAGAAAAAAAAGTATGTGCCAAATGGCGTTTGTACGACTCAAGGGAAGCAGAAGCTTTTTTTTTTTTTCTCCAGTCATTGTACGTCCGTATCGCGCCATTCTTGTAGTCAAGGTTGTATAGACACATCCCTTCCCTCTTGTTCAGAACCTACGCTCCATCCCTTCGTTCTCCATGAGCTGAATAAATGGATGGGGGCCAGAAGATAATCGGTTTACTGATTTACATTATAGACCACATCGTGTTGTGGCGCAACATTTTCTTCCGCACGAAACTGGTTAAACCCAAAACGCGCTTTCGCCTTTCGTGTCTTTCAAGAGGATGAGGAAGAGATGTGAAGTCATAACGAGGTGAATTGTCCCCATATCTCTCTTTGTACTCTCATTCTTGCGTACATGTGTGTGTGTGTGTGTTTTTTATCCTTCACGTATCATCCCAGAACTCTCAAATGGGATTAGTGTCGCAAACACGAGCCTTTTCTCCGCCCACAACCATGTGTGTTGTATCGTATATCGCGCAGTCTACTGTGTGAAGAGCTGGAATACATAGCTTAGCGTGTTGTACTTGAATAATATGCCATGATGGCGTAGAAGTGCGACTTTGGTGTACATATTTGTCGGGAAATGGGTTGAACCGCTCTGGTCTACTGCAGTCCATGCACAGTCTATGCATCCATTTTGCCTCTGGCTGGGTTTCGTTAGTCAGCCAATTGGCAAACGAGCCCTTTCTCGTCTTCGGGAAAGGAAAGGAACAAAGATCGACTGAGTCTGAGATAAAGATTTAGACCAAACCCCTTGATGTTGCACAATTCAAAGAGAACTCAGCTCGATTGAATGTGTCCATATTTTATCCGCCGGGTGGGGCGGTTACCCACACCCAATGGATGACGATGCCTCGCTTCGAAGGAGAGATACGGCGAACTGAATGAATGTGAATCAACCCAATCCCAGCCCAACCAAATGGGCAAAATACGCGAGCCAGCGACGGATGAGGACGAGGAGAAGACTCGGTATATGTTACCCTTCTCTCCCCTTCCCTCTCTCTCTCTCTTTCTTCCTCTTTTTCTCTCCTTCGCCCTCGCCATCTCACTACCTCTTTGTCATCCAGCTCCCTCCTCTCCTTCTCTCCCCGTCCTTTCCCCGTCGCTTTATCCTGCTTGCGCACACTCATTGCACTTCTCTCCATAACATATTTTCATGCACCAAAGTATCGTCAGCTCCTCTCACTCTATCTCTCCACTCTACTCAATTGCGCTTCTGCATGTGCTCGTAGCTCATTTTCTCATTTCTTTCCTTGTGTTCTCCCCCCTCTTCTCTTGAAGACGACTTTGCCCACTGACACCGTTTTGTACCTGCAGCAAATTTGTTTTTGTTTTTGTGTGAGATCCCCGCCACAGGGTCTGATAAAAAAAACTTCGCCTTTGCCCACGTTTTTTTCACACCTTTTTACTCTTTCATAATCTACCCGCTTGAAGACATTCCTCACGCACACACTCAGTCATGCTGCGACCATTGAAGGTCTTGACGGTGATGCTCACCGGCTGCCTCTTCCTCTTCACCTGCCTCCTCATCCATTCTCGTCCCGTCTCAACCTCCGCAGCTTCTGTGCGCTACTATACCCCCCGCCGACCCTCCTTCCAAAGGGCACCAGGAGCCCATGATACGAACCCGCGGTGCGCACCTCCAGCCCAACAACTGCGTCAACAGGGCCAGGATGTGCAAGTAAAAGGAGCAGGGCGTCGTATTCCGTCCAAGATCGCCCGTCAGGTCCACTCTATCAATACATCCACGCCTTCCCTCTCCTCGACCGACAACAACACTCGTAAGTCATCCAAGGCCCAGGACCATGAACAAAAGAAGATCAAGAATGATGGCGAATACTACGGGTCCCAGCCGGTGCAAGAGGGCGATCCACGGTACCTGATGTATATTCCCTACGCTGGCGTAACGAACCAACTGATCTCGATCTGGCATGGATCTATGATCGCCAAGGCTCTGAACCGAACGTTGTTGATCCCGAACCTGAGCCCGAATGTACATGTGGAGAATGGCGATTCCGGAGAGCACGAACCTGCGCCGACAAAGTGGTCCGAGTTCTTTGATCTGGAGCATTATTCGCAGCAGACGGGGTTGAAGATCGAGGAACTGGATTCGTTCTTGGCGAGGAGGGGGATCGTAGAGCGGTCGAGGGTTTCTGCGGAGGTGACGATGCACTTGCACCAGTCGGAGTCACAGCAACAACAGCAGCAACAACAGGACGGCATCGATACTAAGCGCAGGAAGAAACGGGCTGTTAACGAGGAAGACAATCAGGCCATGACGGCTGCGAGGAAGAGGAGGGCTAATAACAAGAAGCGCTGGATTCAATTCGGATCGCCGATCGAGGGCATAACAGCATCGACATCAACAGCATCCGTGCCTGTCACTTCGTCATCAGCTTCTCCCTCCGATCGGGAACCCCAGGCGAACCAACCCTTTCTCTCACCTTCTTCGACAATCCCGACCATCCGCACCGTAAACTTCCCCACGACTCAGAAATGCTTCAGCGAGGCCGGTTATGGAGCCGACCGACGGATCGACATGACGGGCCGACGGTTCCAACAGCGGTACAACATCGACCCGACCTTGATCCCGACCCCATTCCTGGACCCCGAGCGCGATAACAAAACGATCTGGTCCCGCTGGCGGATGGATAAGGTCATCGAGCGGTACCAGCAGCCCGGCTACGAGGACCAGGAAATCTTGTGCCTTGGACATGTGTATCGGTTGCTGCCTGGAGGGATCCATCGTGCGTGGGTCGAATTTGGACAGCATTTACGGTATACGGATAAGGTACACACCTTTGTGGATGAGATCTTGAATCAGCTCTTGCCGGCGTCTTCAGCGTCCGATCCTGTTCAAGAAGACTCAAAGACCATGGACGAGAACAAGGATGAGAACGAGAACGGGACGACCGAGGCTTTCACTTCTTTGCAGCCATCGACAGCTACAACAACGAGGATGACAAGGCCATTCATCGGCGTACATCTCCGCAGAGGCGACTTTTACCGCCACTGCCTCGGAATCACCTCACCCGCAGATCCTAATGGCTGGAACCGGTGCTACCCCTCCACCGAGCACATCATCTCTCTCCTCAACACCCACACTCGACGTCTCCTCTCCTCCGGCTCCCCTTCAGCATCACCTTCCACCTCCTCTTCCCTTGCCCCGCGCCAGGACTCTCCATCGTCCCCTTCGCCCGCCAAAGAAAAGCTTCCAGTCCTAGTCCTGACGAACGAACGCGACCCTGAGGAGCTCGCGAAGGCCGATGACCAGAACTGGATCCGAGTGGACCATCATCGCTTGGGGACGTTGGATCGGTTCGGACCTTATGGTCCGATCCTGCTGGATGGCGCGTTGTTGGCGAGGGCAAAGCTGTTGGTCGGGGTTGAGTATTCGACCTACTTTAAAACAGCATCCAAGCGTGCAGAGACCTGGTATGGTGGGCAGACCCTCTTGGTCACGTAGAAACGACGCTCTTTCTGCTCCTTTTTTTTTTCTATAGACTCTACATATCCCTCCACCTGTTTTCTTTCTCATCCTGTACTTTTAAACCCATTCACTACTACCACCTCCACTGCATCTGCATAGAACTTTAGCACTTTTTTTTTTATAAACAGTACATTACACTACATCACATTACGCTTCGTTATGTTACAGCGTATTAATGGTCAAATGGCGAGTGTGAGGATGACTTTTATTTATACAAAGATGCTACAGAAAAACAGGAAAAGGTGACAAAAATATACAACGCCAACAACTCGCATCCAAAAAAAAAAAAAAAAAAAAAAAAAAAAAAAAACCAGTAACGCAACAAACGACGCAATGGCTCAAGCTACTCTCCCAAATGTTCACTCTACATAGACCAAAAACTTGTCGGTTCCAAGGTACTGCCTAGCCAGGGCCTTGCCATCACCTGTCGGTTGCGAGAACGCCAGATCCTTATGTTCGAGCTTACAGGCATAGATGAACCGTTCCCGGACCGCATCCAACAATCGGCTCGCAATCTTCTGGCGCCGGTTTTGCTCCGAGACCCAGATCCGGTTGATCCCACAGATCGCAGGTCGGGGTTCGATGCTACAGAACACCGCCGATCCTCCGTCATCAGTCCCTGCCCTTGGCTTGAGCTCGGACGGAGTCATGAGCGTCGTTAGTGTTGTTGTATCTGCATTATTGCCGCTGTCATTGGCATCTGAAGATATCGGTGTCGATGTTGATGTCGATGTCGTTGTCGACGAGGGAGAAGATGAAGATCCAGAAGGCGTAGCAGGGGCGGTGGTGATGGTTTCCGCCGAGGACAAGATCTCAAAGCCCTGTTTGATCCGTTCTGCTACCAAGCACCCAATCGCCTTCTTCTTGCTGGAGATATACAAAAACACCTTGCAAGAGTCCAGCTTCTCGGGGTCAAAGTCCACAGATCCCAGCTCCTTGTTCACCACCTGAAGCACCTCCAGCACCTAATCAAGACAAGGTCAGAATTATCATTATAGAAAAAAAAAATATATCCAATGTCCCAGCTGCTGTTTTATTGCTTCGACGTACCTTTCGTTTCTCAAACCCGGAACCCGACGAAGCAGCCGGTGAGGACGACGACGTCGTCGTTCTTCCCGCATCCGACATCGATACCATAACAATCCTCGAGTACGCCATCCCCATCTCCCCTCTCGCGTTCCCTGTGCCTCCACCACTGCTCCTTCTACCACCTCTACCCCCTCCAAACGACTCATTCTCAAAATCGCTAAAGGTTGCCACGACGACCTCATGCTTATATACCGGATAATCGATCCCGCCCATAACCCCACGATGGTACCGCTCATGGATTTGTTCGTCCTCGGGCTGCCCACACACATAGGGCATTTTGCATTGCGGACAATGGTACCGTGCCAATTTCTCGTCCTCCCTCTGCAGACGTCGGGGTGCTGCTCGCGAAGAAGACGGTCCTTTGGGCGGTGTTGATGAGGAGGTAGGGATGGCGGATTTTGTCCGGTCTTTGGTGAACGCGAGAAACAACTGCTCGAGCTTCTTGGGCTGTGGATCTTTTAAGCTGGGTGAGGAGGCTGATTTTGTGGATACTGCTGTTGCATCAGAGTGTGTAGTTGGGATATGAGCTCCAGTCCGTGCTTTCAAAATCCCGGTGCCCTTGCTGGCCTTGGGCATAAAGAATGCGCTCAGGGTTGTCTGCTGCTGCGACTGCAGTGGTCGCTTCTCTGCCTCGGCATCATCCCTGGTGTCCGAAATCGATACGCTGGATCTTTGTTTAGGTTTCTGGGACGAACTGGCCGATGAGTCCAAAGATGCGCTGGTTAAACGACTCCGTTTGCTGCTAATTCTCTGACCTGGTGATCCTGGCGGTGATTGCGAACATGCCGACGACCATGACGATAACGAAGACGAAGACAAAGACCTCGGAGACAGTTGACTCAACGACTCTTCATTATCAGCACCTCCCCTTGCGCGCAGACTCTTTCCTACAGCAGGAACGACGACCTTCACCGCGACCTCACGTTTCCGTTTCGAGGGCGTCTGCGCCTGTGCTGTTAATGCTTGATCCTTGGTCGTCTCGTCGTGGTCGTCCCTCACAGATCCATTTCGATCCCGAGCTTGATCCTGCGGACGATGTTCCCGTGTCCTGGCCTTTGAATCCGCTGCCAGAAAGATATTCCCATCGTCTTCATCATTGTCTAGAGATTTCTTCCGCATATGCAAGGATCTCAATCTCATACCCCTGCCAGAACCATTGGCATTGACCTTGTCATCACTGTCACTGTCACTGTGCAGATCGAGTTTCGCCCGCTCCAGTTTCTCCATCAGCGAACGTGCTCCCGTCCGGGTATGCGACGTGTGCGACGGACTAGATGTCGACAGTTCTGCAAATGCACCGGAGAGCCGGGTTCTACGCTGCAGAGGACTATCACCGTTGCATCCCATATTGCTGCTGTTGCCGGAATAAGTCGTCCATGGATCTGTTGAAGAAGGTGTATCGAATGTGGAGATGGGCTTGGCGCGTCCGTATGTGTTCCTTACGGCTTGGTGGGACTTGTACGCTCTATATAAAAAAGAGGCAATTGGGTGCCGAGAGTTATTAAATTGTCCATATCGAGTTGTTGTTGTTGTTGCCGTTGTTGTTGTTGTTGTTGCTGTCGGAGAAAGAGAGCATGCTTCACCTCTTGGGTGTGTCTGGTGGACTTGAACTGTGAAGGTCTGCCTCAGTCGATGAGCTTGAGACGTAGGACGATGCGGGGGTGTTCATCTCCACTACACGCCTCGAGGTAGGATGTCGGCGAACGGGGGGAGTTTGTTTGGGTGTGAAGCACGGTCTACTAGTTTATTTTTTTTGGTTGCCACCAACTTTGTATATGAAGCAGTCCCAGTTGGCCTTGTTACATACATTTTGCGTCCACCTTTGACCTCCTTCTTTCACCCTAACACCTACACACCCCACAAGTCGAGTCACCTCCCTTCCCTCTTTCAAACCTCAGAATGTCGATCGCAAGAGCATACACTCTATCTAATGGCATCAGAATGCCCTACGTCGGCCGTATGTCTTCTCTCTTCAGTCTTTGCTGTCGCTATCCGAGGAACCTACAAAGCAGCTCGATCGAAAAAACAATAACGGACCGTAATGTTGCCATGAATATTCTCCAGTTGGGACATATAGAGTCCGCGACCAGGCTACGCTCGACACTTGTCTTCTCGAAGCCCTTCGCGCCGGATACCGCCTTATCGGTCGGTAGCACCATGACAGCTCATAAAAGGAAGCAGGCTTAACCCTCGAGTACTCTCGCCGCCAACTTGCAATCTTACATGTCCTCGGCCCGCCTATATTTGTTTTTATCTCCTATGGAGTTTTTAGATACGGCGGCAGTGTACAGGAACGAAGCCGCGATTGGGTCGAGTCTAAAACGGATTCTGGAGCAGAACCTCGTCCCGGGACTCACTCGCGAGGATATCTTTTTGACGAGCAAACTAGGTAACACGTTTTCTTCCACAGGACCATGCTCGCTGAATCTCTAAAGTATGAAGGCAAAAAGACGTTAACCTATGATCCCGTTGGACCCGATCTTTACAACAGCACCAAAGGATCAAGGATACGAAACGTGTCTCCAAGGTATACCCCGCCTCCAATGTTATCTACAGCTCGATCTGATAAGACCTTTTCTGCACACTATCTTCTCAATCTGACATGGCATGGAATACTCAATCACCTTTGATTCATTCCGCGCCCAATTTGGTCCGACCCCCTTATAGCCGTACAAGATTCTCTCAAGAACCTCGGCGTCGACTACATCGACCTCTACCTCATCCACTGGCCCGGGTAAGTTCCTTCGTACAAAAAAAAACTATTTTTTATTTGAACTTCTGTACACGAAACTACGGCTACCGATTCTAAACACAAAGCTCCCCTTTCCGTTTTCATTGGCTTCGAACACTCCCTCTGATCAACAAAAAAAAAAAAAAAAAAAAAAAAAAAGCACCGCAAAGCTAAAACTCCCCGACCCTCAAAACGCGATCAACCGCTCCGAGAGCTGGCGCGCACTCGAAGATCTCTATCACGCCAGAAAACTCCGCGCCATCGGTGTCAGCAACTACACCCTCGCCCACCTCTCTCAACTCGTCGAACGCCCTCATCATTCCCGTTCTCCAGCCCAGACCTCTTCACTCCCACACCCAGGATCTCCCCTTCCTACCGGAGCAGGAACACACGGATCCCGCACGATGGTGATCCCGCACGTCCACCAATTCGAACTCCACCCACGCTTGTTCCAACGCGACATGGTCGACTATTGCCAGCACCACCGTATCCAGGTCCAGGCCTACTCTTCCCTCGGCGAAGGCCGTCTTATCTCGCTCACCCCTCCGCCGCCTCCAGAAATGGATGCCCATTATAATGCGGCTCCTATGCCTGGTGCTCTGGATATCATGCCAGATTTGATCCGCAAGTACTTTCCTTTACCTTCTCCTCCTCCTCCTCCTAATACGTCCGCAGACATGATGGATATCGACGCCAATCCAGGGGGACTGCAGCTACTTCAAGAGAGCTCGGATATGAGACAGAAGAATGAGTACTCGAAGCGCGCGGCTCAGATCTTGTTGCGCTGGGGACTGCAACATGGCGCCGTCGTCATCCCGAAATCAACCCATCCGGACAGGATTCGGGATAATATTGACCTTTTTTCTTTCGAAATCGACGCCGACGTAAGTCTTGACCATCCTTTTTCTTCTCTTTCTTGTTTTCTTTTCTTGTTATTTTTGGATTTGTACGTATTAACGCTTAATAATGGGGATTTTTCTGGTCCTGCTTGACTACGTCCAAATACCCGGTATTCTCTTTTTGTTGCTCTTGTAGGACATGAACGCTCTGGATGCGTATTCGACACCGGGCGAACGAACTCGCTACTGCTGGGACCCGACAGACGTCTACTAAGCATTTTTGTTCCCAACAAAACAAACGCGAAAAAAATAAAAAATAAAAAAGACTTGTTTCCCAAATGTGACAATGTGCTTTATTTTTTGGCCTTTTTTGTCTTTTTATAAATGTCTCTATCCCTCTTTTTTCTTATGATCTCGGAATGCTTTGCCTTGTTAGCAAAAAAATTCCATCCAAAGTCATAATACCTTTTGTCCCAATTAAAATAATTTTGTCCCTCTTATGTTGTTATCATGTTGTTGTTAATCTTGTTGAAAATACAGTGCAATGAAAGTAAAAGCTAATAAAAAAAAAAAATGAAGTCCCCTCTTGTTTTGTTTTGAATAAAGCCCTGCTGTTTGTCCTTTTATGTATTTTTCTGTTGTTTCCCTCCTGTAGTAATTCTTTTTGTGATCCTATTTTTTTTTTTGGCTTTTTTTTTTTTTTGGTTTTTGGTTTTTGGTTTGGTTTACAAGGTGCTGGTGCGTGCGATACAAGAGTCGCCTTCACAAACAAAAACACCCGGTCGGACCATGCGCTCCAATGGACGCCTTTACAATCCGTAGCGCTGAGCAAGACGGCTTCTGGTATCGGGTGCCAACGACGCGGCGAATGGTTCCCAAGCACCACCCATCATGTTCTTGTAACCGAGCAGGATCTGTTATCAAAGAAAATCAAAAGCATATACATTATACATTAGTCGCTATTCATTCAGCTTATAATTTGGGAAGAGATAATTGTCACGCTCGCATACCTTTCCAAACTGCTGATCGAGCTCCTGAGGGACCTCGCTCCACTGCGCAACGGCATCGCAGAAGGGAGCAAGGCTCTTAATCAAGCCCTGGGGATTAACCTGGATCATGGCGCACAGACCACGGAAAGCAGTGTCCTTCTCGTCGTTGTCACGGATCGTACGGCAAGTGTGGCACCAGGCCTCGGCAAAAACCTCGAGATGAGGTCCAACCAACTGGGGACAGACCAATCCGAGACGACCAATGGTGATCGCAGAGTTGTCCAAGAGCGTCCTTGGCGTAAGCTTGCTTGTCAGCAGAGGGATCAAACGCTCCAGCAAGGGCTGGACCCAAACGCCCATGCCCTCGCCATACTGAAGGGCAATCTCTCCAGCAGCCCAGGCAGCATTGTTGCACACAGAGACAAACTCGGTGTTGGGCTGAATCTGTCCAATCAGCTCGTTCATGAATGCGTTCAAGTACGGCTTGATGTGCAAGAAGCAGCTAATCGCGAGGTCTCCCAGCAAAGCATACGACGACTGGCGAACCTCAGCGGACGAATCGGCCAAGCAGACGCTCAAGATCTGGAGGACGCTGGGCTGGCTAGAGGCCACCAGACTCTCGACACTTGTGTTCAATCCCTGAGTCAGGCCGCTAAGAAGATCCAGAGCGACAATCATAAAATCCTTGTCGGGTGCAGGGACGTTCTCGGGATTCTGGGCATGCATCTGAGCCTGCATGAGGTTGGAGTGCACGATCTTGACACATCGCTCAAAGACTGGAGGAGCGAAAGGCAAGAAGCCCTGGCCCAAAGCGGTAGTGACAGACGACAGGCACTAATCATGTCGAAAACGCAAAGATCGAGGACATGTTAGTATCCATGCGATAGATCAGAAAGAGCTCCAGAAGATATTTAAACTGCTGCTCTCAAGCTCACCTCAAAAAGAGGGAAGAGGTCTCTATCGTCATCCTGCAAGTTTTGCCACTTCTCGATCAGGCATGGCATCAAAAGATCGATGTACTCCTTCTTGTTGAGCGCACTTCCAACGCTATCAGCAAGAGTTCCAATAGCGTCATACAAAATAAGCAAGTTCTTCTGCTGGTAGGTCGAGAATGCGTGGACCAAGGTCTGGAGAATGCCAAACAGATAAGGGACCAGGGCCTCACAGGCCTCCTCCTCCAGAGTGGCGAAAGCACTGCAGCCAGCCTCCTGAACGCGCTTGTTGGTATCGCTCACCATGCTCAACAGCTAATAGATAACAATGAATGTTAAAGAGTAAAAGAGGGCAAAAAAACATCAGAAAGTGTCTTTAACATGCACCCCAGGATCAAGCTCAATTCTCCACTCCATCGCATGTCGGCATTTCGGGCACATACTCCTTCAATCAAGGGTACGAGGTACAATGGGCGATCCTCGGGGTTGGTGGGATAGACACACCAGCGGGCATAGCGACCTAAAGTCCAGCAGGTGATGGCACGGACCAGGGACTAAGGAAGAAGAGCAGGTAAGAGAGCAAAATGGGTTAAAAAATCTGACAAGAGAGAGCATCTAACCAATATTGTCATACAAATGAAATCCACGTGGAACATGCATGTATATATACATACCTTGGGGTCCTTCAGGGTCTGGATAAGGTATGGAATCAACGTAGGCAGGTGGGGTTCGATTCCAGACATGCAGCCCTCGGCAACGGCTCCCAAGGCTAAAATACCGCACTCGCGGTGCTTCCACTCGGCATGGAACAGCTCCGTCTGCAACAGGGGCAAAAGAATGTCCAACATCGAGTTTCCATAAACGGCAGACAATACATCCAAAGCCGATGCTGAGCACTTGCGGAGGTTCCACTCCATGTAGATATCGTCATCATCATCCTCATCGTCATCATCTTCATCATCATCGTCGTCCAAGGCATTATCGGCCTCTGCAGCGTTATCGGTCGATACTGCAGCGTTCTCGGTTGTGTGGGTCTTGGCGTGGTGGAAACGAGGCTTCATGTCCTCAGCACGATCAGGAACGGACGCATCCTCGTCGTCAATGTCCAATGAGATGATATCGAGCTCACTATAAACCATTCCCTGGAGCAGAACAGGGATGACACGGTGCAGATGAGGGCGCAAGTACTCCTGGAGGGCGTCCTGCTCAGCAAAGGCGAGCCAGAACTCGCATGCCTCCAAGGCCACTGATTCGTCGTCGTCCTTGGTGGAGTAGAGCATGTACTCTACAACGTTGTTGATCTGGGGAATCAGCTTGTCGGGATGGACCTCGAGCAACATGACCATGGCCTGGCACACGTGCTTGCGGACATCGGGGTGGTTGTCGTTCGAAAGCTGGCCCAAGCCCTCGACAAAGGCATCGACGTTGACCATGAACGACTGCGACTTTCTCGTGATAAATTGATTGATGCATGTCAAGGCGCAGACGCGGATGGTCACTGAAGGGGACTGAAAGTAGGTGATGATTTTGGGGATCATGAAATTGAGGGGTCTCTCGCCGTTGATCTCCATGTCGAGCTCATCGCTGGAATCCTCGCAAATCTTGGCCAATGCCTTAAATGCACCCTAATTATCGATTGGTCCAAAGAGAGGCGCAGCATATGCGTCAAGTTAGTAAATTGTTAAATAGTTCAATCATGTATCGGTCTCCAGCGTTTGAATCCTCATTGCGTCGTACCTCAACAACATTAGAGTCCTGCGAGTCCAACAAGCCCATCAAAGTGGGCAAGACCTCGGGCCAGCTCATGATGCTGTTTCTGGAGAGAATAGTCGTAATGACTGTGCCGAGAGTGTTGCGGATATCCGGATCTGGGTCTCCGACATGCTGGAGGGCAAGGGCCTTGACGTAGTTAAGGACATCCTCTCTGATGTCGGCGGCATGGTATTGGATGTTGGTCTTGAGCAAAAGTCCAGCAATCGCACGGGTCGTGGGAAGCTCCTGGGGCATCTGAGTCAAGATGTAGATGAGGTAATTGTTGTAGTCGGGAACATTTCTGAACGACTCCAGTTGCTAAGAAATAGAAAAACGGACAACGATGCCAGAAAAGATATACGGTTAGTGCTGGTCTTATAACAAATAAAAAAATAAATAAAAAAAGATCGCGCCATGGTCTTCTTCAAGGCCACCGACTAGCAACGGTTACTCCAGAGCAAATCGACAGTGCAGTAAGAATGATGCGAGTCGACAGCAGTTCCAAAACACGCGTTATTGCTCATATGTTCTGTGGAGGCTCATAGGGATGATTTGGCATCGAGTATACCATCATCTGATGGCAAAAACAAGAAAACGAGTGATCCTGATTACGAAACAGAGAAAAACAAAGAGGAATCCATACCTCTCGGACTTGAGTCTGTACAGCGTTGTTGGAGGACATGGAATCCCTGAGGAGCTGCGTGAGCTGGTTCAGCCCCTCCTGCTGTGGTTGCCAGTTGAGCATGGTTGGTTACTGTGGTCTATTGAAGATAAGATTGGTCCGTGTGGACAATTTCACAGTTAGTATGATGCTCAACAGCACTGTAGCTTTAAAAAAAAGAAAGAAAGAAAGAAAAAAGCGTTGTGATAGATTAGACGGTTGAATGAACAATATAGATTAGTGTTGAGAAAAGGGTAGATCATCCACAGTTCACAAAGTAGAAAAAAAAAGGATGTGCTGTTTATTCCCCTACAAAGTAAGTGGGGGCATTACACTGTGATCGTGCCAATCAAACAAGCAAGCAAAAAATAAAGTAGAATTCAAAAGAAAGAAAGGGAGACTCAAGAGAACAAAGGAGGGAAAGAAGAAAGCAGCAATGATAGTGATGGTGGCGATGAACAGCCTGTTGGCTGGTTTTTGGTCCTTACAAGTCGTCAGAAAGGGGAGAGTGAGAAAAAAAGAATATAAAAAAAAAAAGAGACACACTCGAATCAGGCACTGGTCTGGTCAGAGGCGAGCGACTGGGGACTGAGGATGAGTGGTGTCGTTTCGTGGGGGTGGAGTGGGGGAACGTAAGGAAAGCGACAGAGGGAGAGGAGGGTATGGGGCAGGCACAGAATATGGAGAGAGAGGACGGAGGTGAAGGATGAAGAGATGGGAGAGGAAGAGCGAAAGAAAGAGGAGGAAGAAAAAAAGAGAATCAAGGCCAAGGTGTGGTCCCTCAATCTTCGCATAACCCTCACCCCCACTTGAAAATAATATGAGGTTACGTCGGAGATGGAAGTCATCGCATGTCTTAACCTACATCAGCAAAGAAGCAGCCGCCAACTTGCTGCACACGTTCTGATATTACTTGATCATGAAAACGCGTCGTTCTTGAACCAAATAATAATAATAAAAAATCATATGGCTGTGGTGCCCGAAGACAGCTATCGAGCCATCGTGCATAATGGATCGACGCGTCCGTCTTTTCGTCCTATGCTCCACATTTTTCTCTTATTAGTTGCTTTATTCTTTTTTTTCTGTATCTTCATTGAAATTCTTGATCGTGTATGACGAATGAAGGGTAGCGAGACAGGAATAAAGATCCTCACTTCCGTACGGGACACCATGTTTACACGCATGTGTCCTAGTCTACTAATGACGCGTTGAATATAACTAGTCTCAGTGCCCAGTTAATGGTCTCATGACGTCTTTAATATTTCCATGATTCAATCATAACACGCGTAAAACGCGAATTAGTTACGAAAGAAAAGGATAACGAGCTTGACAAGAGCTCCATAATTCGTAGTCTTAATATTTCACGCCTTTCGGTCTCTAGCAGTAGTTCTTTATCAAATACTTCTCCAAGGTCGCTGCTCATAGAGTCGTAAATCGCAGCAGGGATCGTTGGCCCATGTATATCAACATACCTCAGTCGTCTCTTTCTTTTTCTTTTTTTTTTTTTTTTTTTTTGTCCACGACTTATAAACAACTCTTTAGACCGATTTCGACCATCATGTCACTGTCAGAGCAAATACAGTCGGTGTTTGTTTTTTTTGTTTTGTTTTTTTGGGGCTTGAAGGGTGATGTAGTCTAGGCCTTAAGTTTTGAACAACCTGTGGTGATCCACATATCCCTTCTACTATTCTAATGTACGATGCTCTTTTGCTCAGAAATATTTCATTACATAGACGCAGTGCTTCTACACGGTGTCCATGAAGATGCTATCTCTATGCGGAGTAATCCTTATCTAGACCCTGAACGCGACCACAGGGATCATATTCATTATATTACTTGCTATTGAACGTTAAGCACGATGGCCGCCAACGCATTCTCCGAGTTCATTAACAATATCGGTCTTAAACTGGAACTTTTAGAGCTTGAGAAAGAGATCATTGTAGAAATACAGCTGAATGCGTCATTCCTGGATGATTTCCACAGCCACAAATAAAAATATAAAAAAAAAAACTTGAGCTAAGCTAGAACTAGAACAAAAGACGCGTATTTCGGGCGCAATAGAACCGTAAAGTATTGCAAAACCGTTGAGAATTAATTGTCTTTATTGACTATATACGATAAGAATGGAAGTATGTACAAAGAACGGGGGAGCTCCTCATGAAAAAAAAAATGATGGAAGCTACTACCAGAAGAAGGACGACTTTTTTTTCTTTTATTATAATTTAGTTTTGCACGATCTTCTCGAGGAGGTGGGATAGGGGGAGAAGCCCTTCGCCTGTTGACAGCGAACGCTGCCCGGCTTCCGCTGCTTGAACGGGAGTACGTTCTCCTTATTGGAGAACTGCTTCCGCCCAAGCCGCACCACCGCCCTCAGCTCCCCCCTTTTCTCTTTCTTCTTGTCCTCCTTCTTCCTGTCTTCCTTGTCCTCCTCCTGTTGCTGCGCCGGTGGAAGGGGCTTGAAGGGCAATTGCGTCTGTACCTTCTCTTTACGGATCGCCTCCTGGACGACCTCACACCACCGATCACACTCTCCTTCAACGAAATAGTCGAATACGCCGTTCCATTCCTTGCCGACGACCGGTGTCTTGTTGACCAAAATCACGCATCCCTTCTTATTCTCGTGCACCGTCTTGGCAGCCTTCCTGACCAACAACCGCAGTCCATGCACCTTGAGCGATGTTCCCATGACAAGCAAAACATCCGGTGATCTCTTCAGGTCCGTGAGCTGGATCCTGCCAATGGCGTCTCCAAACGGGTGGTTTTCGTTGTAAAGGACAATGTCTGGTCGAAGGGTTCCTGTCGCGACCTTGCGCTTTCCTTGTGCGACGCGAATGACGTCTGATGTTAATTTAAAAAATCCCGAACGCGTTAGTGTATATAAAGCAAAGCCGCGTTTTTCAGGTACCCCGGACCAATCGCCATCAACGCGTCGCATAACACATACCATTGAGTTCGCATTTCGGACAATCCGGTGCCTCTCCCTCACGAAAGACTTTCTCGTAATCGTTCAAGAATCCATAGGGCTCGCTACAGAGGGTGCACTTTAATTTCCTGAGCGATCCATGAAGCTGGACCACGTTTACGTCCTTCTTGACCTTGCCCTTTTCACAGACCAGACTCGTCTCCATCCCGAGTTCTTCTTCCAGACAATCAATGTTTTGTGTGTAGCATCGTAGTAATTTGCCTTTTTCGGACAACATCTTGATAAAGTGGTGAGTGGGTGATGGTTTCGCCTTTAGGGTTTGTGCATGCAGTTCCGATATGAATGTGTAAAAGACGGCGGTCGTAGTACAGTCGCGAAAGAGGTTGGCGTCAAAAAGGTCCTTGCCCTTCAGAACAGTCTTTGGGTATTGCTTCTTGACGAGGTTGTAGAGTCCATCGGCCGAGCGAAAATCCTAGTGTTTGGTATACATGCAGGGCAAGCGGCATTATTAGCATGGTCGCGTAAAAATAATATAAAGATAAAAATAATGAAAGACTGGGCATTATCCTGGCGAGCTAACAACTCCTCCCGTGCATATGTACAAAGGGTGCATATGATGCAGATGGCAGGACTGGGAGCAGAAGTTCAGACCTGAAACCACTGTTCCAATCCCACTCAGGACACCAAACAAGAGCAAAAGAGACTAATGGGCAGAAAAAGACCACATGGAGACGACGAGGGATCGTCCCAAGGGGGGTCAGGGACACAGTAAAGGAAGCCAGGGGATGGAGAGGCTACCTACCGGGATACCACTGCTGCAGGATATGCCTGCGCCTGTGATGACGATGGTCTTCTTGGCCTTGAGCATCACATCCGTCACACTCTGGAGGTGTCTCTCCGACACGACATCCCTCGACAGCTGATTCAGGTCGATCGTGAGCATAGGGAGATCGTGGGGGAGGGGAGTGTGAGCTCTATGGATGGTTCGGTGTCTTCTTTCCCTGATGGATGGCAATGTGTGGGGGGCGTTGATGGGATCGACAAGGGTGGGATTGAAGGTGAGGGGGGAGGGAAGGGAAAAAAAAAAAGGATGAGCTCACACAATCACTCCCAGCAATCAATCAAAAAGTCGTAGAAACGAGAAAAAAGGGCCTCTCGTTTTGTGTGTGTGCACAAAGTGAAAATTTTACGAAGCAGTCTTCCTATTAGCGGGACGAAAATCCTAGGTGTGGCCACGCTGTGAATGGGTTTGCAATTGAGTTTGGATGGTGAAGGGAAATTAGGTTGGTTTTTTTATTCTTTGAAAAAATAATGCAGTTTGTCAATGGGCTGGTGAAGGGTAAAAGAATGAACAATGCCTGTGCCAAAAGCGACGATAGCAACACACGCTCCTCTACAGGTGAGGCGCAAACGTGGTGATCTCCTCCTCAACTCCATCAGTCGTCCACATGTTGCTGGTGACGAAGTTCAGGAGTGCGCTCCTGTCGTGGGTCTTCACAAGCTTGATCGCCTCCTCGTTCGTTGCCGTGCCCTCCGCAACGGACTCTGCAACGACCGCTGCTGCAACTTCAGCAGACACCTGACGGATGCGGGGCAAGACTGGGTACAACAGACCCTGACCGCGCTCCTCAACCGTCAACGCGTTGGCACAAGCACGGGCAGCGCTGTAGATCAGACGGTCACTGATGTTCTTGGGCTGGGCCAGGATACTGCCAAGACCGAGACCAGGGAAGATGTACATGTTGTTGCCCTGACCAGGCGAACTGAGGAGGCCAGTGTGAGGATCAGTGTACTTGGGGAATGCAGTGCCTGAAGCAAAGATGACTTTGCCCTTGGTGTGGACCATGGCCTGCTCGAACGAGCACTCGGCCTGGTAGGCAGGGTTGGAAAGAGGGAAGACAATGGGGCGCTCGTTCAAGCTAGCCATCGACTTGAGGACGTCCTCGGAGAAGGCACCAGACTGTGATGAGAGACCGAACAAGGCTGTAGGGCGGACGTGCTCAATCACAGACTGGATGTCAGGGTATTGGGAGCCGTTGTTGTCCTTGCGGGCAAAGTACAGCTTGTGCTCCGCCAACTTGTCACCACGATCCAGAGTCACCAAACCCTTTGAGTCGACCAACCAGACCATCTCGCGTGCCTTGTCCTCGCTCATGCCGTGGTCGTTTACAAAGAACGCAGCCAACTGCTTCGCAACACCCACAGCTGCAGATCCGGCACCAAAGAAGAGAATCTTGTGGTCCTTGGCGGGGATGCCAGCAAGGTTGATGGCATTCATGAATCCAGCCAAGATGACGGCACCAGTTCCTTGGATATCGTCGTTGAAGCAGAACTTGGTAGGTTGATACTTATCGAGGAGCTGGAAGGCGTGCTCAGATGAGAAGTCCTCAAACTGGATCAGCAGCTTGGGATAAAGAGAGGTGAGGGCTTCAAGAACGGCATCGACAAAGGGGAAGAATTGGTCGTCACCAACGCGCTTCTGACGCAAGCCCAGATAGAACTCGTCCTTGAGCTTATCCTCGTTGTTGGTACCGAGATCAAGGGTGATGGGGATCGTGCGTCTTGGGTCGACACCGGCACCGGCAACATACAGCTGAAGCTTTCCGACGGGGATACCCATTCCGCCCACACCGAGATCACCAAGACCGAGAATACGGGAGCCGTCTGTGATGACGGCAATCTGTGGGGTGAGGCTGGGGTCCTGAGGGTATGGCTTGTAGTTCTGAATGATCTGGGTGAGGTTGGGAAGATCGTTGATGGACAGGAAGAGGCCGTCGGGTTGGCCGGGAGGGGCGAGGAAGGGGTAGATACTGCAGTAGTTTTGGCATGCGGCGCCGACAGTGGGTGTGTAGATCAGAGGCAGGGTTTCCTATGATGTCAATGCAAAGAGTAAGACAGAAGTGAGATGGTTAATAAGCTGATGGTATGGTGCAATGCTAAGGTCCCTTGGACTGTTCATAACCAGCCCTAGATGCTAGATGGCCGTTTGGCAGTTCCTGACAACATGGTCGTTATCAGGATTCAGCTCCAGCCAGGCGGAGTGGAGCTGGTGCGTGCTCACAGGTTGATCCGTTGTGAGGAGATGAAATAAAAAAAATGAAGAGACCCCAAGCGAGAATATGCCCCAGGCGAATAGCAACTGTTTCTGGCACACCAGCCTAGACCTTGCCTTCAATTAGGAGGGTACGAAGGACAAGAGATGCGGGGAGGAAAGCAAAGGGCCTAATAGCCCGATCCACTAGACCCACTGTCGCTAGGACCGCGGATTACACTTTCCGACGGGTCGTTCTGAAGCGGGGAACCATTCTCGTCGACATGGAAAAATAAAATAATTTATGATTTTTACCCCATGAAAACAAAAAAAAGATTCAACGGCGAAAGACGACCTCAATCGCGCGTCTATGCCGAACGGATCAATCAATGGGGCAAGAAGTACCACTCGCACTCGTGTGCTCTCGTGTTCTCACAGCGTCTCATGGGAAAAGTAAGCGGGGAAAACAAAGCGGACCCATATTGCTCCACATTCCCTGCACACTATCCACGAAAACCCAGAGGATCTTGTATAACCAGAGTAAAATGCGCAGACCAAAAGGACATTCGAATTCATCCATCCTTACCTCGAGCTGATCGCTGACCAGGCCATAGAAGAGACGGACGTTCGTATTCCTGAGCCAGGCCAAGAAGACGTACTTTTCAAGATCGGTCGACTTGCTCCGGAGCTGGGCAAGCGCACGCTTCTTCTGGGTGTCGAACGACTCGACCTTAGCGGGGCTCAGTCCATTGAGACGAAGGGCCGTACGGAGTTCAGAGGGAGTTGCGGTACCTATAGTGTCATAGGAGCGATTCAACGGAAGTAGTTAGAGCATTGGTACGTCGTCGCTGTGTCAAGGCCCACAATTGGGTATGTTTATGTTGCCCTTGTCGAAAAAAAAAATAATGGCGACGTAGTGAAGGACGGTCGTTCTTTTCAAACAATAAGCGATCCTTGTTCAACTGGATTCAATTACAATATCATTATTGTAAAATGTATGAGTGAATAAGACGCCAGAAATGCGTTTCACGGACATTTTTCCCCATTCTTTAGTCCAGAAGCAGTCCAAGGGATAAAGCACTCTTTGGAACACCTCAGCACGAGAAGAAACAGTTGAACAAGGACCAATAGTGAAGGCGAGACAAGAACGAGAACGAGCTCAAATCAAGCAAGGGACAACACAATCGCATAAGCCAAGGACCATGAGGTGTTCTTCAGGGATACTTACTCTGGTTGAGGTAGGGCGATTTTGAGATCTGCTGGATGCTATGGTGGTTGAGCTTCTCGGTGACGGTCATGTTGTCTTGATGCTGATGGTGTTCACTATAGTTGTCGATGGTCTGTTCGGATATCGCGGTCGATGCTGATGAAAGGGTACGGCGAATGCTGTGAGTGGAGATGAGAGTTGGCAAAGAAGAAGAGGAAGAAGAAGGAGAAAGAATGGAGAGAGAAGAACCTCGGACGGTTGAAATACTTGAGAAGGATCGAAGCGAAGATGTGGGGGAAGCAGTAACAAAGGAACGCAGATGTGAGGAGGAAGAAAAGGAAAGGGAAGAGAAACCGGCCTTTTGAATGAAAAATGAGCGAGCTACGAAGGATCGGGAAAGGTTTGATGAAGCCATGACTTTTTTCGTATGTGTTTCTTCTGGCTCAGTTATTGGTTGTTGGGGGGTGTGAAGAGGGTGTTGAGGATAGAAATATATGTCGGAGGAAACGGGAAGTAAAGCGCGCAATATATTAAAAAAAAACGGGATGAAGTGGATGTAATGGATGGAGTGGAGAGGAGTGCAGGGCGAGAGCGAGTAAAGAGTAAACTAAGGTAGTCAATTGCGATATTGGTAATGGAAAAGTAAAGGGCGGGCTGCACAAGGACGAATTTAACGATTGTATGATTTTTAGAAAGAGAGATGGGCAAAGTAGGGTAAAGTTTGTTCAGTTAGTTTTTGCATGTTCAATTATAGATTGTGGGTTGTGTGTACACACCCCCGCACCATAAACAACGCACTCGCTTCACCCATCCACTCACTCAGAAATATACAAATGACAAAGAAAACGAAAAATGAGCAACCCACTCGATCTACATACATGTACACATCATCGCCAATTCATGGCACCATAGATAGAAGGTGGAGAAAATAGGAACACATAGAGTTGAAGACAATTGACGGACGAAGGGGAACCAACAGAGAACAAGAGACATATGCACACCTCCGCATCCAACACTCAAATAGCCATTGTCAGTGTCGGTGGTTAGTGTACAATGCCCTGCTTGTGTCTGTTGAAAGATGGACCTAATACCCGGTTCCTAGTTCAATTACTATTTCCCCCCTTGAAGGCGTAAACAGGTCCATTGACGCACACTGCAGATCCTTAGTATGATCTTTTTTCCGACTAACGAACCTTTCATTCCGTTCCCTACACACTATTCTCGTTCTAGTGGCCCAAGAGCATGTACCTTTTACACTTTTGAGAAAAAAAAATTGTGGGGTACGGATCCGACTCTCAGAGATGGTAGACGAGAGCAAAAGCGGCAGGATCTGGAACTAAAGGGAGCCGAGGAGGATAGGGGTTGTCAATGAGTAAGATGTTCAGGTATATGGGAGCATGTAGAGACCCTTTTGAAGGAGAATTTGACCATGTGTCATTTATAGAATTGTTTTCGTCCAAAAGTTGGTCTTTGCCCACGGAGCAAAGAACACGACGCGTTCGTGTCACAATCTGTTTGTTACTCATCCAAAAAAAACGCTTTTTTAGAGAGTGTTGGGCAAGCAAAAATAATATTATTCGTTACGTCCGCATGGATAGATTTTTTCGTGAGATGACTCAAAAAAAAAGAGGGAGTGAAGCTTTCTTGTTTCTTATCCTACAAGCAGCATTGGATATTCTAGGGAAGTACATGGCACCTCAGCCAGCTATATTCGCTCCCACGCAAGAGCAGCAATATGGCCTGACCATAGACCATGAACCATCCTCTGTGAGCCATGACCTTGACCACTGCGCCATACAGTGATGACTCCTCTTTGATCGATGCACCCTTCCGGAGAGGTGGGAGATGAGTGGAGTGCAGTGTTTCTTGGGGTAGACGACAGTTACACTTAGAAGGAGCGTACCTATAGAACGAGATGTGTTGACTGGAGTACACGCATCCAGACTCCACAACCCATGGTCGACATTACAGTACATCATCCAACGTTGAGTAAAGACTCAATTGTTGACTATACATCATGCCACTACCAACACCAGCACTATTCTTTATTTTGAGCATACAACAAAGCGAGTCAACCTTATCCAGGAGAATTGATCCACCTGGTAAGCTTAGATAGCGCGCTTAACCTCCCCCTACCTTAAATTAGGACTCTTAAAACGCCCCGGATCATTCCGAGCTGGTGGGCAGTAAATTCTCTTGCGCTGGCGAACACCCATAACGCGCAAACACACGCAAAAAAAAAAAAAAAAAAAGGCCGTCAATGCGGGCAAAATCACCATACGCATAGTTTTTTTCTATTCCCCCTTGATGCGACGGAAGGAAGATACGTAGTTCATTTTGAGTGATGTTATGCCGTTAAAAGAAGGACAGGTTCAATTGGTGCACTGGGCTGCAGCATCTCCATTGCGTGCTGGAGCCATGACAGCAAGGTACCAGTTGACACACCTGAGTCATTTTCATACAACAAAAGTATCCGTGTCTGTCCGGAGCATATGTGCGTTTGTTGTGTGTGTATGTGTGTGTATGTGCTGAACTCAATAAGTCGCAGAAACCCTCCGGTCGACACTTTGAAGTGCTCCGGTGCTTCTACTGAACATGAAAAAAAAAATTGTTTCGGCCCTGGATTTCACATGCTGTTCGCCAGGCACACAAACGCGTGTTTACGAATGCATGTCTCCATGCTCGCATGCGATTTGTTTATTCATATCCTCAAATGCACATGCTCGATCGTCAGTCCATCCATTCGGATTAGGAAAAACGCGGGGTAATCATCGATAGGCCAAGTCCATCATTCAATCGTCTGCACTTCCAACAATCAAACTGTAAAGCGAATAGTATACGAAGAAGCTCTCTATAGCGCCATGATGATCGCAGAATGACATCTCCACAAAACCCGCTCGAGGGTCGGATCTTTTCCTCGATGCCCATTATTCTTCTCTTCCAAGCTGACCGCACGCTGGTGTCTGATGCCAGAGCAACTGGACAGCCTTGCAGCATATAGATGAGTGCTCCTTCGTCCTCCTATTCTTACGCCCCCATATACACACACAGTCATCTCACGCATGTCATTACACCTGGGGAAAGAGAGCAGGTTTGATGGAGCGTTGCATCCTCAGGATCTTTATTTCTTCTCTGCCCAAGTTGGCGATGACAATCTAAATCTATGAATATAGGCTGGGAGCGAGCCTACTATGTATACATTCTCGTATTATATACATTCCAGCAGCAAGGGGATATCGACATCAACGCATTATCCATGATGGCTATAAACAGAGGGGTATAAGGTGATTTTCACAGCAATGACTCTCAATCTACTGTGGTTGCTGTCGCCTAAAAGAATGAAAGAAGAGGCGGCGAATGAAACGAACAGGAAATAGTGACTAAAGGATAGAAGCACCCTCCGGGGTTAATAAGCGATTTGACTTGCTCTACACGTGTACGACACAGCACCTCCATTTGCATATTCTCCTTCCGCTTGGACCAACTCGTCTTGTCATATTCTTTTTTGGTGGCGCTGAGAGAGCATTGTGATTGCCCTTTTTTGCCTTTCTTTTTATTCCCTCCATGATGATGCAGCTCTTTGGAGGTGCTCCTCGTACGCAATGACCCTTTCCTGTCCATCACGCCTTGCAAATCACAATGGATTTATATCCTGCCATTTGATTGCTTTATTACCTTTGTTACTGGGGAATATGAGACTATCTCTACCCTTGAATTCTATATGGACCTCGTTGACAAGAACCTATGCGATTTTTTTTAAAGAAAAAAATGGGCCTTGGTGGTCCCGACGCGTCGAGCTATTTACTCCACTATAGGATTGTAAGATCTCGCAATAGCGTACGTGCTCTATAATGCACAGGCTCTCCTCCCTTCCCCTCGATGCGTACATTCCAACGATTTTTTCGCGGAGCAATCTCATCGCACCCCTTGAGAACGCAGGAGTCCATGGTTCTGCTGAGGATAACCTTTTTTTTCTAGAAATAAACGCGTATCTTTGAGCTGCGCCTCTCCAAAGCCTAGACAGGTGTGTAATAGGAGCAGCACCCTGGCCAGAGGGTCCTAGAGGATTGATGCATCCTGGACCACCAACACTCCGCACGTGGTCGATATGCGAGATGGGAAATGACAGGTGGTACAGGAAGGGCCCTGTCCCCTGTCCTCTGGACTGGAAAATAAGCTGTGTCTGTGTCCTTTTCCTTACCTGGGAGAGAGGAAGATCGAGTCACTTATTCGCAAGGGCCCTGAGATGCTTAAAACTCTCCCTGACCAGGCTATCCGTGGCTCTTTCCAAATGAAGACATGCATGGTCCCTATTTTTTTTTATTCCTTTCCTTGCCAATCCTGCCGCCGCATTATGCCTTGCTTTACCTTGCCTGCGAGTTGGCCTTTGGGTGGGATGATGATGGGACCCGTGGCCTGTGTTCTTTGTTGGGGCGCGGTAAAGAAAGAGTCGTGATGTCTCAGTGTTGACTTGAAGGCACTCCAAACAAACAAACCAACTGAGCGGTCATCAAAACACAACGCTTTGTACACACCTGCTCCACCTCATCTTTCCTTCACTCCATTCCATTTGCATTCGCTTCCATCCCCATCCCTTCCACTCGCCCATATACCCTTGTATACCCATATATCCCACACCCCACCCACTCACACCCGGCAAAAGGAAGCATCAACTAATATATCACCAAACCATCCATCGTTATGAAGAACACCGCGCCCCTCAAAGTCCTTATCGTCGGCGCAGATGTTTCCACGCTCACATTGGCCTTACTGTTGGAGCAGGCGGGTGTCGACTACTTGCTGCTAGAGAACAGCGACTCCATCCCAGTCGTCGCTGGCGGCATGACCCTTCACCCGACCGTCCTCCCTCTCCTGGAACAACTCTCGCTCAGAGACGATCTGTTCTTCTTTTCCCAACCCATGGAACAAGTCCTCATTCTTAATTCCGACATGGACGATATTAGTACTTATGACTGGAGCGACAGACAAGCACGGTAAGGATGGACGTGCCATACTATTTTTTTTTTTTTCCTTCGCACGGGCTGAGAGGGGTAGGAAATCAAATGAGCTCACAATTCACCACTATCACTTTGCCACTATTTTTCAGGTACGGTACTTGGAGCCGTTTTATCACTCGTCCTGAATACTGTACCATGGTCCTCGAAAAGCTACCAGAATCCAAAATCCTATTCAACAAAATCGTCACCTCTGTCTCGACTATTGAAAACGATGATGAGACAGGTGCTAACGATGACCATGACAGGGACAGCATTGAGGGTCGACAGGATAGTATTCTGGACACGGACATCAAGGACGAACAGGGCGAAGCACGCGGCGTGACGGTCGAATGCGCAGACGGGTCTATCTACACAGCCCATCTTCTTGTTGGGGACATCAACAGCGAAGTAGAACGAAAGCTCCTCTATAGCTCTGGTCGCGAAAGTCTTCAGCGTGAGGGCGAGGATAGGCCAGGGATGGACAGGAGGGATACGCCAGTACGCGAGATACAATATCATGTGTCAGGGATCACGGAGGAGCTTGACCCACAGCGCATACCGTTACTCAAGGAGGACACAACACAGCTGCGGCTCGTGCTAGACGGAAAGAGTCCACTCTCGGTATGTTTTCTCCGTGCACAGGCGTTTGTGCATGGGAGAGTGGGAGAGGGGGGAATATTCTTTAATTGTGGCGCAATCTACTAAATCCTCCGATTCTTTTTTTTTTTCGATTCCTGCATGCATGTTAGTGGTGGGCTGCGACATTGGTCGACAAGCGGATAGCATGGCAGGTCACGAAGCGGGTCATGCTGTCTGAAAAATCGTCCCGTCCAGCTGATCTAGGGTCCTTTCCCCATGAACAGGCTGCAGCCGCTGCAGTGGTAAACCAAATCTCCCAGAACATGATGTGTCCTCTGGGAGGGACCATGGCACAGCTGCTTAGCTGGACTCCTCAGTCTCAGATTTCATGCAGGCGCTGGGATGATAGACATGGATCGGTCGATTCCAACTCTTCACGAGTACTCTTGTTGGGTGAAGGTACGACGACTCGAAGGAGGTTTTCTTTTTTGCATATATGCAGAGAAATAAAATGCAATCTAACTAATCTAATTATCTTCCATTGGTCTTGTATTCACGACTACCTAGCATGTCGCAAGGTAAATAGTTTCTCCCAGGCGCGTGTTTGCATTGTAGATATTTCCGCTATGCCTCAATATGATACTCATTGCAAATGTTTGGTTTTTCGCTTAGATGGTGCCGGTTCTGGGTGAGCCAGCTGAGGAGACGATACTCGATGCACTGGCACTGAGCGAGGTCCTCGTTGCTCTACCGTCGACAAGCATAAGCGACATACAGGAGGCCTTTAGCCGCTATCACAAAGAGCGTAGAGCGAGGAGGCAGTCTGCGATCGACGAATCGCGGGAGTTGGATCTGACATTGAACGCAAAGGTAAAGGAAACTAGGCAACAGTTATGTCTTGGTGCCATTCCATGGGTTCAGGTTGCCTAAACATTTTTGCATGACTTACTTTTTCTGTTCTGCTGTCCACAACAGGGGTCGTTCAGGAAGCTGTACCGCTCAATGATGCTGAACTACACACCAAAGTACATTCAGGACAGGAGGAGCGACGAGAAATATGCATACCGTCCTCAGGCCAATTTCCTGGAACGTGTGCCTGATTATGGTCGAGTTCAACCCAATGTGAGTTCATATTCTAGGCGATATAGTAATGGGGAGAGAGAGAAATGAGAGATCCAATTGTGCCTGTTTGTCGGCACGTTTGTATAATAAAAAATGCGTAATAGATTATTCTTCTTTCCCAAATTATGCTTGCAATGCTGCTGTGTATGCCCCTTCCTCCCCCCCAAAAAAAAAAGAAATAAGGGGCGAGTTCACCGACAATGAGATCGCAATGAACTCTTTTTTTTATTCCCGAGCAAAAAAAAAACAATTTCCCGCATGAAGATCAAATTATTATTGCTTGCTAGTCACGCTCGTGCTATTGAGGCTATCGATCATGTAATGCCCAGGCCTTTGGTGAAGTCCTTCTCCCCTTGCAGTCATATAGTTCTCGATCAAAAGAACAGTCGTCAGCAAAGGACGCGTCCTTCTCTTGGGCCCCACCGCCTTCAAGCGGCCGATATCCTTGTTCAGGACGTTCACCGCCATCTCCATGGCCTCAGGTTTCCTCTACGTCCCCGACGATCCGTCTTGAGTAGTTCATGTGTCTCTGTGGGAGGCTCGAGATTTGGTGTTAGGAGACAGGCTGGGTAGAGGGTCCCGGCCTCGATAAAGATGATTGGGTGGGGTGATGAGGATGGAAGCGGCTGGGGTCAATTGGACGCGCACGCCTATACATGGTCGTTGGGGGTAATGGTTTCTCCTTGGACACCTTAAGCGCGTCTCTCTTTTCTGGGTTCTAGATGGGCACGTAGTCAAAACGCTGCAAATTGCGTGAAAAAAAAAAAAAAAAAAAAAAAAAGTGTTGCAGGGTCGCCTCCGTACAAACACCATGAAGGAAATGGAATAAGGATATGTACTATATGTTGTTCATATTCAAAGATGTATTTTAAGCGCATTCCTCTGTCTACTGTCGAGTCCCCGAAGGAGTGGTCTCTCTCAGAACATCGATCAGGCTACTCCAGTCCTGATCTCCCTTTCCCTCCTCCTTCAAGATCGTCAAATGCTTATGTGCCAAATCCGCGGTCGGCAAGGTCGCGCCGTTGTCTGCTGCCAATTGACGCATATGTCCCACATCCTTCAACCCCAAAGTCACTGGAAAGCCACCTTCCTTGGTCGTCGACCGCTCCGCCATCTTTTTGCTGTACCCGATCCAAGACGGTGTCGGGAAGAAGGTCTCAATGAACTGCAGCACTGCCTCCGGGTGCACATCCGGAACCTTCTCTGCCAAATTCAATCCCTCCGCTAACAATTCGACGGTTCCGATGACGAAGAAATTGCCAATGAGCTTGAACGAGCTAGCGGCCGCGACATTCGTAGTCTTAAGGTCGATAATGCTCTTGGACATTGATGCAAAGTATGGGTTCAGCTTCTGGATCGCATCTGGATTACCGCTCGTGATCCACACCAACTGTGCAGCATGGGCGGCAGGTGGACGACCAAAGACTGGACACTGCAGATAAACATGCTGAGGGTGCGCTGCCAGTTGCTCCGCATTCTTCGTTGCCACACTCGGGTGGATGGTCGAGACCTCGACAAAGGTCAACGGCTCTTGGCTCTTGCTGGCGAGGGCAAACAGTTGAGAGTAAACACTCTCGACGGCGGCATCGTTAGAGAGCGAGGTGAAGATGACGTTGCTCTTGGAGACGAGGTCCTCGATGGAGGAGGCGACCTGGGCACCTAGTGCTTGGACGGACTCGGTCTTGCCGGGGGAGCGGTTCCAGACCGTGAGATGTGATGAGTGTGAGGCGAGGTGCTTCTGAAGGTTCGTGGCCATGCCGAGGCCCATCTCGCCGAGCCCGATCCAGCCGATTCTGATATCCTGGTGCGCCATGATCCTGTGTTGATCGAGTCTTTGAATGAAGAATAGAGCTGCTTTGAGATTGCCCTTGGGTTGATCGTTGAGAACGTGTTGTACGAGCGAAGAGTTGTGAAGACGTGTGGGAAAAAAAAAGAAAAAGACAGCGCATCCGGAAACTTTTATATCATATCCTGCATCCTGCATAAGTTCATGTGTGGCGTTAACGGAAAGTGGCTTCAGGATTAGAAATTAGGGTGATTTGCCCTGTCTGTGGAGGAGCTGCAGAGGGATTCCGGTCCCCGATTCGTCAGCGCGCTGCTCGTATTTGGTGTGCGAAACAAAACAAAAGAGCCGTAATACACGGGTAAATCGGACGACAAGGACGCGTCCGTAGGGAAACGGTCGGGAAGAGTGGATTCATGAAAAAGTGCGCGAGAGTTTTATCCGCTGTTGGGAGGTTGATATCATCCAGCGCTTTCAATGCTACAGAGTGCTTTGCCACCCGCTTACTAACAACTGCTGGAGTAACGCCTGCCTTTCCAATCCAACAGAATCGGCAACCAAGACGATCAACTGGAATGAGCACACAGCCAGACACATCCACGCGTACACCGGCATCCAATTGATTATCGTACACTGCCCCTGGCAGAATGTTGATGGTCGTTTACGTAAATGAGCGATCCAAAGAGCCGAGACCCTTCAAGAAAGCGGCGCGTGGGACCTTTAACTTTGTATATTCCAAATGCAGGGAACATTTCAGTTGACGGCCATGCGCATGAACAATACTTACCACCTTTGAACACCACATCAAATAAGAAAGCGCCAGGGTTTCCCTTCTTCCTTTTCCAATTACTAATCCAGCAAAAACTTTCATTCTTCGCTACTCGCTCTTGTCCCCCCCAAAGTCAAACCATTTGTGTATCTCAACCATGAAGACCTTCAACCTGGACTCCGAAACCAACTCCAAGATCGTTGCCTCCAAAGACCTCAAGTACACGCTCGCGTACTTTGGCATACACTTTGCCGGCGCAAGCGCCCGCGGGATCCTTGCCTATGCCGGCGCCGACTGGACACCTGTCTACCCGAACTGGGGTTCCGAGAAATCGGCCCAGCCCTTCGAGGTCATTCCCGTACTGACGATCATAGACCTCAAGAATGACGGGCATGAGCTGGTCCTGGCCGAGAATGTCGCGATCGACATCTTTTTGGCGAAGCAGTTTGGACTCCATGGAAGCAATGCCTGGGAGGAGGCGTTGATCAATGCATTTTATTCAAACTCGAACACGATGTTCTTTCAGGAGATCATGAACAATTTCTTTTGGGAGTCCTCTGGGAAGGATGAGGAGGAAAAGGCAAAGTATTTGGAGACGTTCTTGAACGATGCATTGACCACCTGGGGGAGGATTCATGAGGCGCATTTGGAGAACAATCATGGGAATGGACATTATGTTGGCAACCGAGTAAGTTTCTTAGTCCAAGTTTCGATCCTTTTGACTGTGTCTTTACGCTTCCCATACCCATGACCCCTCTAACGCCGCTCCTTCTTTTTAATTTTTTTGATAGACGACTCTGGCGGACATCAGGACCACGACGATGCTGGACGCGCTCGAAAAGATCATCGGCAAGGACCGCGTCGCGACCATCATCAACGAGACCAAGACCCCAAATGTCATCAAGGTCCGCGAGAATGTCGAAGCCAAGCCCAGCTACCAGACCTGGATTACCTCGGAAGAGTACCAGAAGCTCGATGTCAAGTCCACCGCCCTCGTCAAGGAGCATCATCCCGAGTTGGTCGATTCCAAACCCTGAAGCCCTCTCTCCTTCGATTCACATCGACCTGCAATTTGATTAAGCACAGAATAAACAGGGAAAAGACTAAATCTTTTAGTTGTTCTTTCATTTCCTTCATGTTCTTTCGATACGCTACTTGGGGGGAGAGGGGAGGGAAGGACTTGTTTATAGACTGGACAAAAGAGATAGATGGTTTTACGAGCTTGCGCCGGCAAGGTCCTTAATCTGCTGCAGAAGCGCCGTGTTATCAGCTCCGACGAGCTCGTCTACTTTTTGTCTGTTATGGAAGAAATGGATCGTTGGCATTGCTCGAAGTCCTGCCTCCTCACTCACGTCCTACAATGCGAATAAACTGTCGCATTAGCCTGTATTGATTATGATAGATTCTTTACTGCTGCATGAAGGGTTAGGGAGGTGGAGGGGGAGGAGGGAGGGGGGGAGGGAAGGAAGGAAGACTTACAGGGAGGTCATCAATATCGACCTTGATGAATGTGATACCTGCATAGTCCTCGTCGTACTGGGCCAATTTGGGCGCGATAGCTTTGCAGTGGCTATTATCCAGACGAAAGGTTCGATTAACACCGCTGGTAGGATTAGAAGGGAGGGGGAGGGGATTATTGAACTGCTGGTTTCAGGAGAAAAATTTTTCTTATACCTGCACCAAACAGCAGACCATTGGACGACCACCTTTTCTTGCGAGGACAGGATTTCGTCGTACTCTTCTCTAGACGTAACCACCTTGATCGCCTTGACCATTTTTTTTCTTCTTCTGAGAAATCCGATAATAAGTAGGAAAGGAGTGTTCGGTGCTCGCGAGTTGGAAGAAGCCGGATCTTGTGATAAACAACGCGGAGGAAGAATAAAAAGACAAAGGTGGGAGAAAAAAAAGAATTATGGACGCGCTCTTTTTTTCTTTCTTTTATAGACAAGTCTGGTCTGCGCAGCGCTCTATTGTCTTCAAGAGATGGTAGATCGATTGCGCGTGGAGATCTTTTACAAACAACAAGGGACGCGCCGGTGGGGGAGGGGATTATCGATCGCGAGCGCGGATGGTTAGGATATGGCGAAGCAGGGCCCCCCTCCCCCCACCTCTTCGCTGTCGTCATTTGGCCCTATGAATTGTGCAATCGTCACTATCCAATCAGGGAACAGACTGGTTCTTGGAGAACTCTGAAGTGCTAAAAACAAAAAACTTTTCTTTTTGACAGGTTGTTTTTATTTACAAGAAAAAAACACGTTGTTGAAAACAAAGGTGGTTCAAAGCCAGAAGATATTTTATCCTGGGAAACGACAACGACTAGGCTGAACACAAAATTTGGAAAGGGAGAGGCCAGGGCATTTAAGCATCGGCGAGCTGCTGGATCAAGTCCAGCAGAGCCTTTTGGTTGGCGCCCAAGACCTCGCCGATCTTGACTCCGTCCTTGTAGGTCTGGAAAGTGGGCATGGCTCGGACACCAGCGCTGGCGCTGATGTCCCCAAGGTTGTCAACATTAACCTTGACGAAGTTGATGTCGGGGAACTTTGTGGATTGAGCCTCGAAAACGGGGCCAATGACCTTGCAGGGTCTAATACGGATAAAGGGTTGAGTGAGAGAAAAAAACAATGCTTGTTAGTCACTTGAATATTACCCCTTGTACAAGCGGTTAAAACCGACAAAGGGTAAAGCAAAATAGAACGAGGCAGAGACGGAACAGTATTCTAACGCGCATGAATGTTTGTATGCAGTTATTTGTTTTTCTTTGTGTCTTTAATTCTGCGCAGAGTACAAAGCGCTCCTCGGCTTGCACCCTTTTTTTCCATGAAGAACAGTATCCTGATCAACACCAGCAGTTGAACGTGGAGAATGGGTATATGTGCACCACTGTTGATGTGCTCCAAGTCGGGGTTATGTATGTCCTGTGTCGTGCTTCCAATTCATTCTTTGACGTTCTTCTTGCTCTTTGGCTTCCATCCGGGACGGAAGCCAAACCCAAAATGATCCAGAACCAGATTTCTTGTCCCACGCTCAAGAGAGAGAAAAGAAAAAATATTCAGAGATGTCGTGTTGGTTGGCCATCCTGTTCGGTCAGCTTGTTGCCCTGCACCGAATCCATGAAGCAAAGGTAGAGAATAAAGAACAAAAGGAAGAACAACCTGGGTGAAGACAATATATATATATATATATTGTAGGTTACTCATCACTGCGCAGTTGCAGCAATAAAAAAATAAAATAAAACTGATCAGCCAAAGCAGCCATGAAACGAAGCAGTAAGAGATACATACCCGCACCACTGAGCGTGGTAGTCGACAATGACCTTGCCAGAGGAAATAAGCCCGTTGAATGTTTCGGCGGTGTCGATTTCTTTGACCATGGTGAATAAGATTAATAGGGTGGTTGTTGGTGGTTTGTTGGTTGGTTGGGGGGAGGGGAGAAAATCGGGCTGGATTGTGCGATGCGAAAAAAAAATAAAAAAGAAAGAGAGCAGCAAATTTGCCCTAATCCGCTGCCTTTATACTTGAGCGAGCCCCAATGACGCATTGTTTAATAATCTATGGCAACATCACCCTCAAAAAACAAGCAATCGAGGTCGTCCCCGCTCGAACTTGCCGGACGAATATCTGTTTGCTGACCGATCACTCGGTCCTCGCTCCTTACCGAGCATTTTCGGTTGCGTGTGCGTCTGTTTGCTGGACGCACTGCTGTGCATATCTAGTCAATGGTCTGCTCCGGCAATTAATCGATCCTGGTGCAAGCATGTCAGCAATGGGTCGAATGCAGTGCATGTTTTTAAGCACTGATTCCCACACAAAGACCGACCTATGTTTAGAGTCGATATCGGCGTAGCAACAGGCGAGCCCCTTGCCTTGTGCTGTGTGCGCATTGACCAGTGGTGCCTAGTTTTATGTATTGCGCAGCAGTGCTTCTTGTGCTGTACCTGGAAATCACATCTCGTAAAGGACATCCCCGATCATATTTCCTGCCAAAGACCAAGGCCATCGAAGATGCTGATAAAGAGGATTGGTTGATAATGCTTTTCAACTAAGCAATACACCAATATTCCTGCCATCAATCACAAGAAGAGCTCAAGTACTCGTTTTCCTTTTTAATAATATTCATGGACTTTGGACAATGTTCTAATATGTCGTACAAAGTCCACCTCGAGACGCTGTGAAGTCCTAGCTGCTCCACTCATTTGCCGAAAGAATATCATTCGACCGACTTGTTGGAATGCCTCCCGTGTGCCCACCAAAAGAGTCATCCGCGCTAGGCCGAGTGTTCGCATCCTCTGAGGCTGTCACAGATGTGTGGCCCTGTGCTTGAGATGGCGTTGACGCTGCTTGTTGCTGTTGTTGTTGTGCTTGACTCTGCTCCTCCCCAGCCCCGTTCAATGCCTTGAAATAGTTTTCCCACAACCCTACAATCTCGCGCTGATGCTTGACCATGCTTGCCAAGAATGCCTCCACGCTCTGCTTAAAATCCTCGACCTTTTCCCGGTCGAAGCGATCAAACTCTTGCCGGATCAGACTCGAGATCTCCTCGAAATCCTTCTTTGTCGAGTCCACACGTTGCTCTGCTTCCGTGATCTCCTGCTGCAGTTGCTGAAGGCGCTCCGGCTTGGTCTTGCGACTCGGCTGGCTCATCTTATCAAAGTTTGCCTTCTTCTTCGAGAGATCGTTCTGCGCCTGCACCATGTTTTGGTTGAACTTTGCACGAGCCATAAACGCAATTTTAATCGATCCAATCGTCCGAATGTACTCGTCCGCAGTGTGCTCCAATGTCAAAACGTCCATGTGGGCCTGTTTATCGTGCAGTTCCTTGATTCGGATCTTGAGATTGCCGAGGACAAGCAATGAGTTGGCCAGGGGTTTGTTCAGTTCTGCGCCGGCCAAAGAGACAATGCTTTCGCCAAACTCTGCAGAAGCAACGCCCAGATCCTTGCGCTGCTTAATGATCGCTTCAATTGCTTTCAGGAGTGATTTGAGCTGGCTATCGAGGACGTCCAATTGGTTTCGACGGGACTCAAACCACTAAAAGAACATGGAGTCAATAAGAAGACAAAGATTTAGTTCGTTTGATCGACATGACCGACATGTTGAACACAATCGTCTTCGTCCTATCAGCGCACCTCATCTGTCTCGTGTACTTTAGTAAATGTCGTTGCGCTCGAAAGTGTCTCGCCAAATTTTGTCATAAAGCCCTTTGAGCTGTCTTGCCGCTTCTCCTTGATCTAACAGCCAGTACCATCGCATTCATTTCAGTATTTCCGCGCAAACGTTTCATTTCATCATTCCACTGAAGAAACCACTGCATCATGAGAAGCGGATCCGATTTGTACCTCCGCAACAAGGCTGTCGCTCTCCAAGAATAACTTCAGGTCTGGGTCTCCGTATAGCATAGGATGGGCCGTCATCTTTCGTAGACATCTCTCCAATGCGATCCTACGACTCTCCACGAACTCGTCCTGAAATCGTCCTATCGCATGCTTCTCCGAGACTGGCGGCACAATTACACCAGGGTTGTGGGCTGTGAGTTGGTTATAGAGCCACAAAAAGTCCCTGTACCTCCTCTGTACCGTGAAGTCGTTCGACTTGAAGGCTGTCGAATTAGTCTAGCATTGACCAAAAAATAGATTAGATACCATGACGGTCGTTTGCGTCTACTATCTTCTTTTATCAGAATGTAATGGCCTCATAGTCTTTTTCTTTTTTACCCTGATATGAACTTTGTAAACGATGTGGGGATTGATTACGTCCCCAACTTTTTGAGGCTCGCCAACCGTGATTTCAAACCAGGGCAGTACACCATTCTCAGGCAGTCTGAATGACATCTACACAATGAAGAGGTAAGACAGTATTAATTTAAAAAAAAATACTCTCGATGGAACTGACCCATTAGACCGCCGCATAGCGAAGGATAGAGGTATCCACTTGCCTGAGATCCAAGAGACCGCGTCGATTCAGGACGGTACTGCCCAACACGTCCCTCGGGTCTGGCTGCAGCCTGTTCATCGCTGTCGTACCGGGGATTCGAGTCAACGCTGTCCCACCTCTGATGCCCGTTTCCTCCTCCTGTATGTAGCCGTCCACCATCCGAGTCGTGTTGGTCGTGTTGCTCCTCATATGGACTCTCTACCGTGATAGAATCCTCATGACCAGCCATATTCAGGGCTGAAAAGGATGTCTGAAGCGTACTAGTACCATAAAACAACGACGGACTGCCCGTGTGGTGGTGGTCGTCATCATCATCATCGCCTTCATTGTCATCCATGCTACCGGTGGTTGGCTGTGGATAATACTCGTTGAAGTTGATGGACGGAGACGGTTTTGCAAGTGGAGAGATAACAGGCTCAAGCAAGTCGTCCGCAAAGGGATTGGATTCTGAGAACGGGTCGATGAATGTCGATGCGTCCAGGGTATCGTTGCCACTGCTTCCTGCGCCCGTCCTGGAGGCACTGCCAGAGTTGGTGGCCAGGAGGTCAGAAACTGAGTTAGTAGGAGACGCCATACTAGACGTACGTTTAAAGGTCGACTGTGGGTCGAGATGTTCCTTGCGTAGTGTTGATCTCGTCGTGTCGAGGATGGACGTCCTCGCGATGTATGGGTTGAGAGGAAGAGGGCAAGTGATCGTCCATGGGGCGACATCACCCAATTCGTGGAACTCCACTCGTGGGCGTATGAGCAGGACAGTCACCTGTCACGATGGCACGCAAGATCCACATGGAGCCAAAAGGAGCCAAAGGTGTGGGAAAGTTGCAATCATTTATTATACCGAGTTCAATTCGTATTATCGCTACAATTCATTCACCCTCGCTCCAACTGAGACTAGGCTCTCTTCTTTACTCGCGCATCTTCTTTGCGCGGGGCGGTGTCGAGGCAGTCGTCTCCGACAACTCGTCCTCATCATCCAGTACGCTGGCCGAGCGACCCTTTGTCTTTTTCTTGTTGGTCAACTTTGCGGCCGCCAACGCAACATTGCCTGCCGTCTTAGGGCGGCCGCGCTTCGCAGGCGACTTCTTGACGGGCTCGTTCTCCTCGTCCACCAACGTCGTGACAGACGAGACCTCGGATGTCAAGATAACGTTACCGTCCTCCCTGATAATCTCCTCGGTTTCGATAACGGTTGTGCTCTCCTCTGTAGTTGTGGTAGTAGTTTCCAATAGTGCGTCGGTTGCCTTAGAAACAGCGGACAATGCATCTGCAGCCTTGGCTGCGGGCTCGTTCACTCTGAGGTCATCCACGGCCACAATCAACTGCTCCTCCACAATCTCAAGTTCAGCGGGCACAACAGGTTCAGGGACACGAACTCCGTAAACGCGCAGACGTGAGATACCACCGTCTAATTTTTTGCAGACAAAAACATAGCAGTTAGATTGTGAATTAGTTCAACCTCTCAAGGGTTCCTCTTTCAAGTTATGGCTGCGTAATGGCAATGGCTCTGTACCTGGGAAGATATTAACGCGCACATGCGAATATGCCTCGCCGTTCGACTTGAGGCTATAAATGTTCTTCTTGTCACCTTCGACCTCGGCCTTTTTCAAAAGGTTGACCCACTTGACCTCAGGATCATACTGAACATCGTTCTGTGTCAGTAAAGGAAAAAAAAAAGAAGAAACAGGCAGGCACCCGTTAGTATCAGGATCATTACCCATAAGGGACCTATGCACGTCATAGTGGCGGTTCCTACATATTCACTCTGGCACCCATGCAAGCTGACAAAGTCGGGGTTATTGCCACGGAAATGCGTCGTATCGACCTCGAGCGTCTCCAAAAGACCTGTGGCACCCAGCTTAATCTCGACCCAGTCATGATGTCCCTCAACACGCGAGCGGCGCGTCTGCCAACCATCGCGGGTATTGACTCCAGGGGTGGGAAGGATAAGGTTCGAGGGCTTTCCATAGCGGTCGTCGCTGGCCTTGATGACACGGGCGCCACTTGAAAGCGAAGCCAGGTCAATAACTGTCTTTTCGTCGGGGAAAATAGGCGAAACGTTTCCGTAAACACGAAGACGGGCCTACATCAAGTGTTTGCGATTGTTTAGAAAAGCGAAGGATATGGGGAGGATTAAAACCGAGGTATTTCATACAGCAAGAAGCGAAGGAGCAGCAGTAGTTTTCCGATAGCCACTTACGATTCCGCCGTCGGGGTACATGTTCAACTTAATGTGGGTGTAGACATCGTCCGACGCCTTGATTCCATAATAATGATGCGAATTGCCGCCCAGAGGGATCTTTGGCAAAATCTCTGTCCACTATTTTACACAAAGAACAAAAAAATGATGTTGAGCTGTTGAACCAGCAGGTTATGGCATGTTCACAATCCTCAAATATCTCACTTTCACACCACTCACCACGTATGTGTCCTGAACACCCTTGACGACGAGGCAGGCCTCAATAGAGGCATAGGCGGGATGACTTCCATCAAAGAATGAAGTATCAATGTCAAATCCAGCAATGGTTCCAGCGCTGGCCAGCTGAATAATCGCAGTGTGGTGAGTGTTCTTGTTGTGCCTCCTAGTAATATTGAACCAGGCAAATTATAGTGTCTTTCATCAGCTTGCTGCCTCTTTCGACGTGGCCACAGTAATAAAGGAGATGAGCTATAGAGATGTCGATAGAGATGTAGTCGTCTATTGTTTCTTTCTCACCTTGTCTCCCATCCATCCTAAAACATGAGTGTTGGTATCCACAGTAGCAAAGATATTAGCTGTGGTTCCTGAAAGAACAAACAGGGTAGACACATCACTCCCCTGTGGAGCATAGCCGCACGCCATCAGCGCATCACCAATTACCTTCCAGAAACCATTAGCTGTCTCGCGCTCCTTGTCCTCGATAGCAGGACCATCCTTGATCAATTGGGAAGCCTCGCCAAAGAGTTCGTCGGTGGTCTCGAGGACCTTGCCGCCCTTGGCAGACGAGGCTAGCTCTAATAAAGAGACAAGGTGGGACGGTATTGGTCAAAACGAATTCTTAACGGCAGATGGAGTGGTGCAATGAAACAAGCCAAGTGTGTTGAGGAAAGAGCGCGGCTCGAGCGGACAAGAACGCGTCGTTCGGCACACAGCAACAACAAGACACTCGCAAAAAAAAAAAAAAAAAAAAAAAGGGTGTTGAGGTCGCGTCCCATCCCTTGCGAACCCGGTCAATTGTGTCAAGTACCCGTCGGCTTCGTCCCCAGGCATGTTTTGACAGAAGACGCATTCTTTTGTTATTGGAGGGGAGAATATTTCGGCGCCAATTGCCCGCGTTGTTGCTCAGCGAAGCACAAGAATAAAACGGCTAGACATAAAAAAAAGCACTCTGTACATGGGGAATGATGCAGAGGGGCACACTGACACTCACCCGTGTATTTGTGAATCAATCCATCCTCATCGCTTGAGTCCAGCTTGAAGTGGCTCTCCTCCTGCTCTCGACTTTGAACTTGTCCCATGATATGTTGTAATATGTGTTTGAGAGTAAATGTGTGTGTGTTATGTGTGGATGAGAGTGATGTGAGAGTGTAAGATCGAACTTCGTACCCCACTTGCTCTGTTCGTGAAAAAGAAAAGTAGAGTTCACCCCTTCTGTCATTTTGTATTACGGGGCGGTAAGAATTTTTATCGCCCTACAACCCATAGTTAAACTGTTAACAATATGTCATCTTACCATAATCTCCCTCTTCACTTTTAGGGCCCCCGTAGCATCGTTCTTGGATGTCGCGAGCTTGAAGACGGCTCCAGTGTTTGCTGACTAGCGGTGATAGTGGTACTGGAAGCATTAGGATAGGGAGTAGCTTAGAAAAAAGCGCGAGCTGGGCGTGCTGAGTGTGCTGGGCCTGTCAAGCCTGGCCTGCAGGACATTCAGGGCTTTCGTATGCCATCCGAGATCAGGAATAAAAGTTATGTTTTGTATTGAGGCACGGTTTTGCAGGGAAATTTGGGTGTGCTTTGGTGGAATGAAGGTGCATTGCAAGGTAGGGAGCGATGGAGAATTGCCAAAAGGCGCGGATTGTATAGGTATCAACGCATGCATGCATTACCAAGAATGCGAAGCCTTTTGTTTGGGCAGGCCTTGAGAGATGTGGGGAAATAAAAGGACAAGGTGTGATTGACAGCCTGATATATCTCCGTTTATGATTGAGGCTAGCTCGCGTCAAATGTTTTATTCATACGCACAGAATAGACCTTGCTTGTGGAGCAATCAGTTTGGCTAGCGTTTGAAATTGATGGCCGGCAATGATGATTCTGAAAACGCGTTCTATGAAGAAACGCTCAATGCTGGTGTAAGTGAATCATCACCTGCAAAGTCAATGCCGTGCCCCGTTTTGCGGAGAGTAGTGTCTGGGCTGAGATCTTGTGATGAAATTTTGGGTGAGGATGAGATGGTTTTTGAGAAAAACGTTCGCGGCTAGTGTAAGCAAACTGGTGCTTGAGAAGACAACGGCGCGCTCCGATGCGCAAAAAGTTGATTCAGCAGCGAGATCCAGGGGTGAAGAAGAAGAAACGGCAAGACTTTGTAGCGATGTAGATCCTTCAAAACAAACGATGGAAACACGCTGTAAAGTCCTCCCATCTGAACTCAATGGAGTCCTCAGTGAGGTTGTAGAGCCGGGGGCTAGCATTCGTATTGGGGGAGCGTTTTTTTATCACGTTCAATCTAACTATCGTTGGTGGGTCTATACATGGTCGTGAAAGAAAGGCATTAAAATTTCTAGCATAAGAGTGATCCAACTATGAGGGACGATTTAGGCGCGGTGCAATTTTGGCTGGCATATTCGTCTTGCCAGAGGCCTTGCCAGAAGACAATGGCGTCGCAGAGACAAGTTGGTGAGGAGGCTTGTTGTACATGACGGGAATAACGGGTATAAAGAGTCTTGTAGGGGCCCCAGGGTGGGCATGGGGACCCATTCCAGGAGGTCCCGCTGCAATAAACTGAGGTGCATGACCAGCTGCAGCGAGTGCGCCGTGCGAGTAGTCGACCGCCATAAGCATAGGCGCAGGTGGTCGAACTGTACTTCCGTCTGGGGCACGAAGGTGGGCATAGGGCGTGGGGTAGGCAATAAACGGTGGGCAGTATGGTGGAGGAGCGGCAACAGCGGTCGTCATCAGGGGACGTGCATTGGGTTCTGCGGTCGAACCCCTCTTTTTCTTTTGAGTTGACTCAGTGGTCGGTTGGACTGCGTGGCCTTTTGAGTCCTCTTCGACCGTCATGGGGGTCCTGGGACGGATGGGCGCGAATTGCCGGGTCTGACGAGGTGTTACTGGTACGAGAGATTGCCGGCTGCTGCTGGTTGTGCTTGTGCCGGGAAGCGTCTGCGGGATGCGAGGGATCGCCACTACACCCGAGCGAGATCCCACAGTCGGTATTGCCACCGGTTCCTGGAACAACTGCGCATTAGGTGCAGGGTAGTAGGAGGCAATGTAATGAGGGTGAGGATATTGAGCAGGAGGATGGGTTGGTGCAGGCGCATGTCTCGGTGTCCATTGCCTACCAGCTGTTGCGTCGCTTTCTGTTGCTCTCTGACTATTCGATGATGTCGATGGAGACGATACCGATGAAGATGCACCTGCATCCAACCCCTCTGTTTCTATCCTCTCCGAAGCCCTCGGTTTGTACTTCTCCTGGCCTGACAAAGACTCAGAAACAGCCAATGGCTCAGAGTGAAATTGCCACGAATTAGCAACAGCTGGGGGCGAGACTGGGTGCTCATCGCACTGCATGGCATGATCATCTGCCTCGGACGAAGGCGACGCGATCGCTTGACTTGATAAGGACGGGGACTCGAACGGATTGTGTATTCTAAAACTTTGGGCATTGCTTGCAGATCGGTCCTCTCTGGTCATTGGCGTTGTAGGGGGTGTGGAGTAGTCCTGGTTCGCGTCAGTCGCAAATGATGAAGGGTATTGCTGGACGGTTCTAGGACCCTGAAGAGCCTGAGGCTCCGGCGGGAAGTAGAATGGCGCAAGCGTGGCAGGATGAGCGGATCCGGAGTCGCCGTGACTTAGCTCCTCGCGCATAGGCGACAGACTGGATCTGGTGGGTTCAAAAGTCAGCTCAGATGCTAGCGAGGAGAGAGATGGCTCCCGCGACCGGTGCTGGCGACGTCCACGCGATGTTGAACCAGCTGATTTGTAAGAGACAATGTGACTCATGGACCGTAAATGCTTGTCATGATCGTGTTCTTGGTCTTGCCCACTGTAAGGCGGTGGTGGCGGCTTCATCTGGAACGCAGGCGGGGCCCTCATGTGCCCTTGACCTGAACTTGAGTACTCGTCCTGTTGCCAGGACATAGCTCGCGAAGTAGGGGTCGCCGGGCTCATTGCGTCTTCAGAGTCAGTAAGATTGGCGCTTGACGAAGCTGGAGAGATCTTATGTCGGATCAAGTACGGATGAGATCTCAAGGTTGGTGGCGTGGGCTCCGGCTCTGGTGCTGGTATAGTCTCTGACCTATGCGAAGCAAAGGAAGCGATCTTGCGCAGCAATGGCTTTAGAATGTTCTTGTTTGATCCGGAAGCAGCGTTGGGTTTTTCGGCGTCAGAGTTCTTGCTGGGAGTATTAATGCGCTTAGCTGGCACTGGCTCCATTGTGCTTGACGACAGCCGCTGCAGTTTCCTCTTTGGGTTGGGTTCTGAGGCCTCTGGGGGAGGTGAAGCCTTGTTGAACTCCTCCTCGATTCTTGCGGCGTCCTCATCCTTAATCATGCCACCGTAGTACGTGCTGGGTGCGTATTTGATGTCCATCTCGTTTGTCGGCCAGACCATATGGTCCAAGTTCATCTTGTTTGATCGCCGGGTTGGATACTTTGCTATGGTGGTCTCGGCTCCGATCACAGGGGTGCTCTGTCCGCGCCGCCAGTCGGTTAGGGACCCAACTTGGTCAACGGCTTTTTCTGACATGACTTCATCGTCATCAATGATCTCCTTGCTATCGCGATATGGACCTACAGAAACAAATGCCCGGGACTCGGACTCAGAAGGAGGACGCTGTTGAGACTGCACCGCTGTCTGGATCTTGGGGGGCATGGGCCTGCTGTCGTGTACGATGTGTTTCTTTTCACTGAGACGAACATATCCTCCCTTGGCCGGGGTGATCGCGTCGATCGAAGCCCTCTCTGTCCCATTGAGTCGCTGATGGTACATCAGCAGCTTGTTGCCATAGGTCTGGAGCTCTGGCTCGGTTGTGTTCAGCTCGAACTGCGAGAGGAAGAGGAACTCGAGTTCCAGTTGATTGAGCTCTGACAACGGAAGACCACCCACCTAAATAAACATAAGCACACCATATGCAAAACGACATAAAGAGTAGGACACTGTGAGTATGTACGATGGTAACACTGGACGGATTGATGCACGACGAAGGAATGGATGGATGGATGGATGCATGAACACGTCTTTGATGATCAGATAGTCGACTTACTCTAGCATATCGAACATTGGGGTAGAACACGTCTGACGAAAACTTTGACGCGACAAGAATACTGGTGATGAGAAGACGATGGATGTTGAAGCTGTTGATGATAAGCTTTGAGCCCACAGGAGACTCTGAGGACGACGTGTATATCTCGTCTGCGATCGGCTCTTCCTCATCCATGTTGTCCATCTCGTCTTCAGCTGAGGATGCCTCCTGGCTGAACCGCGAGAATTCCGACTTTTCGTCGCGTCTTCGGACCTCATTCCTGGGATTCTCCGTCTTGGGTGCCGTCAGCTGGTTGATATCCTCCGCTGTCAAGGAGGCCTGCCGCAAAAGGCTCTTGGGAATGGCGTTGGTAAGGACCTGCGTAGGTTTGCAGCCGCCTCCGATGCGGTCAAAATAGAGAAGGATGATGAGAAGGACTTCATTCTGGAAGGGCGCATACTGAAGGATCCTGGAGAGGTATGCCTCTATGGAGATGTTTGGGATCGCCCTGGAGTGAAAGAGTGTGATCTTTGGACAAGCGAGACGATCGTTGACGGCGAGAATGGTATTGATGAGTGAGGAGACCAATAGCAGGGTCTGGGATGTGGGACAGTTGACGATATCGTAAACTGGAGGCGGAGGGAGGAGGTCGAGGTCGGGTATGTTGGCTATGGTTTCGTCGTAGTCAGGAGCACTGTCCTGGCCAGCCTTTTTGCTGGAGTGGCTCGTGATGACTTTCTGGATCGAAGGGAGATTGATGTATGGCTTTTTGGAGGCGAGGGTTGTAGCTAGCTTCTCGGAAAATGCGGCGGAGAGTGTGGGTGTTATTGAAGCGGTTTTGGAGGAGGGGAAGTATGCGCGAGTGGGGGAGGACGTAACATCCTGCGGGGGATGGTCCACTGTATCGTTATTATGAGCGTATGCAGACATACTGGAAGATCAAGAAAGGCTTACTATATAAAGGAGTGAGAAATACAGGCGCAAGTGGAGATGGAAGGTGGAAGGAAGTGTGCAGTGGCAAATGGGTGGAGTTGAAAAAATGTGCCTTAATTCAGGTCCGTGCAAGGGAAAAGATACTAGAAAACGAAACGTGGAGTAGAGGAGACAGAAAGACAGAAGACAAAGAAAAAAAAGAACAAGGGTGTCTTCTTGTTCAACAGTTAGATTATTGCTGTTCCCTTTGGGTCGTTATACGAGTGCTCTCAGTGGAGATTCCCTCTGTTCGATCGAAGCCCTGCAGCGATTTGTAGCCAGTAGACGATCACGGTCGTAGGGTACGCGATCTGATTGGCTGGGATCGGTAGATATTTCAATGGTCGAAGAGGGGCTACTGCAAACCGCACAGTCGAAAATACGTTGGTCTGGTCCAGGAACAAAGGTGTTGAGTGGAAAATAACAAGTAGTCTCTTTTTCGCTTTACGGATGAAGCTGCGGTTAAGGGATAGAGTGAACAATAGGAGATATTTACGTTAAAACTATATACACGAGAATGAAGATGCGGGTAAAGTGGAAGAAGGTGTGCGAGGTGGTGTTACTAACGGGCGTTACAAGCCTTTGAGAATGTAAAGCGTGTGTTTTTGCGAGTAATGGAGGGAATAAGTGCAGATAATGGTATGGGGGAAGTAGACCAGGAAGCGAATGAAAGGTGGAAAAGGGCAGAAAGAGAGGAAATTCAAACCTGGAGGTACTAGAGAATATAAAGGAAGGACTTCTGGACAGGATGCGTCTTTGAGGAACGCCCGTAAACAAAGGCAGGGTATCTGATAAGTCGATATAATTAGGATCATTCACTATTGAATGCATCGCCCTTGCTAGACCCCACTCACCCACTCACTCGCTCTACCTATTCTTCAATTCAACGCAACGACAAGAGAGAGACTCTCCAGTATCGCATCTCGAAAACAAAAAGAGGGGAAAGGAGCCGGCTATTGGCCAGAATTCATTGAGGCGGTACATTGAGTATTAATCGATCGCCTTTCCGTCCATCTCGTCTCGTTTCTTCTATTCTTTTTTTGGTGGACAGGTGGTCGGTCTCTTTTATCCAATTCACTAATGAAACATATGAATGGCACCGGAATGGGCATTAGATTTGAGGTTGCAGATGACATTGAAGTGGCTGTAATGGGTGCTGTCTACTGGTTTAAGATAGAGCAGAGGCGGTTGAAGACTCTGCATAAGGCGACTCTTTGCTGCTGAGTTGGGTGCGTAGAACGAGACAAAGTGCGGTATTTCTCTTTTTTGGGACAACACCGAGCGCGCGTGTCCTTTTCGCGGCCTCTGTGAGGACGATCAGCGCTAATGAGCGAATGAGATAAAGCGGGGCGGGAAGGCAAGCAAACGGGCAGAACATAGGACAGGCAGTGTAACCATCAAAGCATCAGCAATCGTCCAATCTATTGGCTCTCCATCGCTCCCTGCTAGTTCTACCCCCCTGGTAGATTTCCTTCGCGCGTCTGTGGCCAGTCGTTTGGGCATGCTGTGGGTAAAGATTTCTAGACGCGCAATCTGGTTGGCTGTTCGAGCGCACTCCTAGCGGACGCTCAT